TGTAGGCTCTGCCATTATCGATGAGATAGAACGAAAAATGACTAACTGTATTCCATGTAGCGAAACTTTAAATTTATAACGATGCTGGGATTTGCCAGTACAGCTATGGCGTCTTGGGAACTTTTACTTCCCCTCTTCACATTCGTCATGATTGATGGAGGGACGGCCGATCTGTTTTGGGGGTTCATTGTTGCTGCTTGTGGCATGTCCTTGGTATATGCTAGTATTGCTGAAATGGCTTCAATGTGCGTGCCATCATATCTTAAATCTGAATTCAGCTCATTCTCGTTTTGATAACTAACGTGTCGGAATTATAGATCGCCAACTGCAGGTGGACAATACCATTGGGTTTCAGAATTTGCCCCTCCAAGAATACAGAGGCTGCTCAGTTATATCGTGGGCTGGCTTTCTGCTATTGGATGGCAAGTATATCTTGCAGGTGTCTGCTTTATGATCGGTGGAATCCTTCAAGGTCTCATTGCCCTCAATAAAGTCGACTATGTCTATGAGCCGTTCCACGCGACTTTACTCGCCATCGGAGTTGTAACGTTTTCCGTTGTGTTTAATACATCCTTGGCTGAACGTCTACCACTGATCGAGGGTATCGTCTTAATTCTTCACTTGATCGGCTTCTTTGTTATTATCATTCCGTTATGGGTCATGGGACCTCGTGGCGATCCAAATACTGTTCTTTTGAACTTTACCAACGATGGCGGATGGTCTTCCAAGGGATTGGCAGCCATGATCGGACTGGTCAGTCCGATGAGTGTGTTGATTGGTTATGACTGCTCTGTGCATTTATGTAAGTTTCCACCATTGATAGCCGTCATCTAGATAGAATACTAACATGCTATGTGTGTAGCCGAGGAGATTCAAGACGCATCCTGGGTAGTTCCGAGAGCCATCATGTGGTCAGTAGGACCCAACGCTACTATGGGATTCCTCATGGCAGTGACTTTGATCTTCACCCTTGGGGATCTCGACGCCGTTCTTGAAACTGTGACTGGCCAGCCTTTCATGCAAGTATTCTTCAATGCAACGCAAAGCTACGCCGCCACAAATGTTATGTGTATGGTTGTAGTTATCCTCCTACTATCTTGCTGTATTAGTGAAGTGGCTGCCGCCTCACGCCAGATTTGGTCATTTGCTCGAGACGGAGGATTACCAGGTTCTGTTTGGTTGTCCAAAGTGTCGCCCGGTTGGAACATTCCACTTCGCAGTGTCTGCGTGTCAATCGCCGTCTCATCCCTACTCTCACTCATCAACCTTGGATCATCCGTTGCCCTCAACGCAATCAATTCTCTTGGCGGTGTTTCAATTCTGTGTTCTTACTTCATCACAATCAGCTGTTTGGTCTGGCGCCGTTTACAAGGTCCCCTTCCTCCACATCGATGGACTCTCGGCAAATACGGCATGGCTATCAACATTGCTTCTTTGTGTTTCTTAGCACCAATTACGTTCTTCTCGTTTTGGCCTCTCCAAACACCCGTCACCGCCCAAAATATGAATTGGTCGAGTGTGATGTTTGTAGCCACGTTATCTGTAGCGTTGATTTATTATTATTTTAAGGCAAGGCACGTATATACCGCACCTGTGCTTGCGATGAAGAGACGGGAATAAATGATGCATATAAAACTCATCCGGCATTGTTGAACTCAAAAGTTCACTAGTTTATAAGAAGCATCCATTTAATGCAAAAAATATATATAAATTCTTCATTCAGACTTTTCAAACTTTTCAAACAGCAAATTTACGTGTTCTCGGCTAATCCCAAATATTCGATGTTGAAAAATTGCAAATTGCACCTGGGATATGCTATCTATGTTAGTATCCGATTGAAGGACGCCATTATACACTGTATTTGGTAAGAAGTATACGGTCTTTAACATATTATTCATATATCCGATATCACAGAAGAGACGATCAAGCTCCAAATAACAACCCGTCGCGTCAAGAATGTACACAAAAATTATCGATGTGCAATGCGGGGATATCCACTTCAATGAATTATGATCATCATCATTTCAAAGCATAACTTATGGGACCGAACTCGAGCCGAACCAACTTAAGTTTTCAATTGAAGATCATCGACACCGTCACGTTTAAACTGAAAGAGATATTGCAGGGATACTTGAAGCAATGGACACTTAGTATCCTCTCGCAAGCACATCACCTCGGTGTGGACGATGTGGACGAAATACATGGGACACCAAAATCGATTTTTTTTAATAAAAAAAGTAATTAAACAAATAATCAACAAATTAACATCCTCCTTTGAAATTTGGATGGAAATATATGCAAGTCGAGACTTAACCGAGAATTCCAATCTTATCAGATCATATACCAAATTGATATCGTAATATAGCATCGAAGAACAGGTGTTGTGGAAGATTCTATGATGTTGGTGGGGGTGCCCCTCTTTTCCGGCCACACCGACATCACCTAAAGCCGAGACATTATATAGAAGATCTTCTCCTTACTGTGTGCTGCAAGAAATGTATACTGCGTAATCCAGAACATAGATAACAGATACAGTTTGCCATTAGACGAGAAATGGAGGATCGAGTAGAAGTGAGATCGACGTCTCAGGGGCCCATTTTCACCAAGTCAGAAACCGAGGTAGCTCAAGTCTCAAGGGTTCTTACTCTCCGAGGCGACGTAATGAATAAACCCATGCAATGATACAATCATCTTCGAGTCATTTGACGACGGATTTGTGGCCAGACATGACAACAGTGATGATCCTGATAGGGGAAACTTCGTCGTCCAAAGAAGCAGGGACGTAATAATGCTGAAATTTCATGGGATACTTCCACCACATCATTCGAACACGACTCGGAAATTAGTACCTTGTATTTCGCACAAAGACGATAAGCGATTTTGCTTTGAGGCATGCTGTAAACGATTGCGTAGACGGAATCCAGGCCCAACTTGGGATAATCTTCACTAAGTTAAAGCTAATATGGAACGTCTTGCTCCCATCGGGGTGTTCCAACATATAGCTATATCCCTCGAACTCAATTCTTCTTTTTATCTTCGATATTGATTTTCTCCGTCTTTTCAATCATTGGCCTTTTGATAGTTAGCCACTATTCACAGACTCGATTCCAAAGTTTGAAGGAAGGTCACTTACACAGCACTTATAATTGGCTTTTCTTCATGCCCATGAGTGGTCTCGTTCATCTCACTCCTTTCAAGCAGCATCAATGCCCATGGCATCCCTCGAATAGTATCAATGACAATATCCCTAACCCCGCGCTAAGTATATTCGTCTCCCAAATCCATTCCGTGTATCCGTGTTCCCATAACACGAAACCGCCCACTAATTCTGCAGTCACCATAAAGAATCCAGCGACCAAACCAACCGCGATCCTAAATCCTGGCACGCGTGGTATTTCATAATATACAATCACAGTCCTCGCCCACAATGCCACTGTAAGAATATATATTGGAAAGGCGACAAGTTCTCTAGCTGGAGCTGTGAGATGATTATATGGTATGACTCGATTCAGGGTAATGAACGATGCGAAGAGAGACGATGAATATGTGAGGATAAAATATATAAATGCGATGCGAACAATAAAGAATGCGAGGGCGAGATCCCACAACAGTTCAAAAACTGAGGTATCTGTTTCAAATAATATCATTTTGAGCTTTCTTCGTAGTTTGTAGGATGGTATATGGCTTTTCAATGTTTGGGTTGATTGCGGTGATGATAGTCGTCGTCGCTGATGCTTCAATTGTGGTTTGGTAAATGCAGGAAGAAGATTTGACTATGGTTTAGCATTCTTGAGAGTGAAATAGCTTTGTTCTTATATCTTGAGCATAAACATGTGCTTTCCGTTTTCTATAGTCCTCACCTGTTTCTTTGCGCCTCTACTTACCTGCAACAAATGGTCTGATTTGTGGTGAGATAAGTAACGAGCTTTATCTGCTCACCCATTCTGCCAATACCGAGGTATGAGTCCATTATTTGAGTGTGCAAAAGGCCAGATAATATGAGCTGAATATGTTTTCCTTCCATAGGAAAATATATCGGACTTGATGAGGTCGTTGCTAGGTTGTTGTAGGAACGAAGGTACACAATTGATGTTCATTGAAGCTCGGAGGTCAAGATTCTGCAACGGCCGCTAGCTTCGCAGGCCGTGAGCTACATATATCTTGGCATCAAAGCAACTCTCCCAGCCACAAATAATAAGATTCAAGAGTATATACAACCACAAACGACTTTTATCGCGGTGGCGAATCTGGACGTTATTTGCCAATACCTGCTCAATCTTTCTGTAATGTCTTTCTTGTAATAATAGCAACTTATCAGACCATCTCGTCGCAAGTGTGATAGAATATACACATTGTTCCTTTGAAGTCTCCCTTGTGCTTCTCCATGTTCTTATAATCCCACCAAGAATGGCACGTATTTGGTGAGAGAGTTAAGCTTCTCATGATTATAGTTGATGTTTGGAGGTAGATGTCCATCTTGATCACTTTTGACCCGCTCGATTGGTCCTCCCTTTTTTTAAAATTCGCACTCCTGATGAGGAAGTCGCCCACGACTCTTTCATTCGACTAAGTATCAATACTTCAATGGGATCGAAGACCTGCTCGATCTCATATCTACACAGGGCAATATCTCGAGAGCTTTTGAAATGTAATAGATAGGTACTAAGTACAAGATAAGGCTATACAGATGTGTTCTATCCAAGCGGGTTTACGGCTCTAAATCCATTCCAGGCCATTCTTGTTTAGTTGCAAGTACCGAAATATCAAATTTTTCATCGCACTTTCCTCGGATACGCAGTCGTGTTACATCACTATGGCTACCATATTGAGACCTTCCCTCATATTCATGGTCTTCATACTCATAGATACCTTCAATTCGTGCTTAAACCTCTCTTCTCATTAACATCTTCACATCAAGAACACGTCTACCAGCAATCAACCTTTACTACTGATCCGCTTAGTTGCATTCGCCGATTGATGATTTATCTCATAAAGGAAACATGGCTATCAACATAGAAACTTTCGAAGATCTCCGAAAAGAGATCGAACAAGTACGCTCTGAACAACCTACATTAGATTCCCATGAAATCTGGGAACATATAGTCAAAAATTCGGACAGTCAGAAGCCACTGGAAGAGATTACGGTGGAAACTTGTCTGGTAGCGTATTTCGACTACCCTGAGGAGAAGACTGTCAAAATAAAGGCCAGGAAAGCCGATCCTGAATATTCAGAGAGCGATGATAAAGGTCTCATGGAATTTCTTAAGACTATACCGACTAGCACCAAACCTATACTGCCGGTTACAAAAGATACACAGTCTGAATCCGAAGATACACAGTCTGACTCTGAAGATACACAACCTGAATCCAAAGATACACAGACTGATTCCAAAGAGATACAACTCGGCGCTGAACATACGGAATTAGATTCCAGATATACAGCGTTGGAGATCGATCGGTGGGTTTCAGCACGCGGAAATATTGTTCTCCAACTTCTTAAACATATCAACCCTGGACGATCATATGAGGATTTAGACCACAAATTATTGTTTCGACGCATTCACAAACTTAGCTTGAGGCAGCCTAAATTAAGCTCTCGTCAAATTTGGCGACGGCTTAACGAGGAGCCAGATAGTCAGAATTCATTGGAAGAAGTCGTTGTAGAAGCTTGGCTGGTAGTAGCGTTTGATTATCCTATGGAGAAAACAGTTCAACTCAAGGCTCGTGAGAGTCAGGTGCGGCAAAAGGAATTGGATCGAGTGAATTGGCAACTGTCTGTTAATAAATTCATCAAAAGTAAGCCGTCATTCCACTGAAGACACGGTCTGATTTTATGAATACACATTTTGACTTTCTAACCGGAAATTTAGGGTGGTATGCTTATCTCATGTCCAATCCTAACTTTGAAAAAAGAGTCGAGGATTTAGATAGAGAGGTTCTTGGAGAGATCCATGACCTATGGTCCCATCACCGTGGTTCGAGCTCTCGTTGGATTTGGGGAGAGCTGAATAAAAAACCAAACGGGCTGATGCCATTGAAAGAAATAGTTGTGGAGGCTTGTTTAGTAGCAAATGGGTATCCTTTGGAGGACACTATCCAGTTGAAGAATCAAGAAAACCGGTGGTGGCAGGAAACCGAAATTCTACGATATGATACGAAAGATAGCACTTTTCTAGCCTCGAAATTAGGTGAAGGAATGGAGTCTATGGTGCTAATTATCAACAAGCTGAACCTCAAGAAGGTTGTTCAAGACATTAAAGAGCTACGACATCGTCAACCTACATTAAGTCCTCGTCAGATCTGGGTCGATCTCGACAAACCGAACTATTGGCCAGCACCATTGCTAGAAATAACGGTAGAGGCTTGCTTGATCAAATTTTGTGGCGTTCGTCCTGAAGATACCACACAACTTGAAACGTTGGATTATCGCGAAGTGCCTGGGCAGAGATTCCTAGATAGGGTCTTGGATTATTGTTTTGGCTCCCATAAGCTTGAAAATACTGGCTGCGGATGCTGGGGTTCTGCGAAGATTGTAGAGCAAAGTGAGATCGATCATTATCGAAAGAATGGAAGAGTCAAGGTAGACCCTAAGATGACTCGAGCAGTCGGGTTATTAAGGATTATGCTCGATACAAAATATACTATCAAAAGCTTCTTCCCAATAAATACACCCACGGCGTTGGCTATCATGCCATATCGGGAGATGAACGCTAGTCAACGAGCTTACGCCCTTTTTTATGCTGAATGGGATGCATGGATGGGACCATCACGTCCAATCCATCCTCCAATTGATTATGTCGCAGGTGTTGAGAGAACTGCTATTCTTGATTCAGGCGACTACCTTGATTGTCAAGATGAGCTTCCAACATGGACTCCAGAAAATGTTAAGAGTTTTGAGGTACATGTACAATGCGCATTAATAAGCCCATGTTGGGGATACCGTGGTTCACTTGAATGGCTGATGTTTGCTCTAAAACGAACACGAGACCCGGACACAATCAAAATGGTTAATAGTGTAAGTTCTCTTATATTTTCCTTACTTTTGCATCTTTCATCAGATACTAACTATCCCGTAGGTTATCGCCGGATTCTACGGTCTTAAAATGTATCATATGGGAAGCGGCTTTATGGAATATCACAACTGGCATAATGATTGGTTCCATTCCTTTCGAGTTTCCCATGGAATTGTAGCGTTTGTGAGGGAGAAAGGGAATTCTCCAGAGGTGATGTGGGCGGAGAGAGATGAAGAGGGAAAATACACAGCACATTATCAACCGTATCTAATGCCAATAGGAGTATCGACACCAGTGCTCAAAGCAAGAGATAAAAAAGGATCGGCCGATTGGGATTTTGGAACTTTTGATCATGGACGATGGGCGTCCTCTAAAGACTAAAATTCTGATATCCAATTCGATCCAACTTTTTGCAAAACAGTTGAGGTGTGTATAGGATCGGCTCGCTTTCTATATTTCTTAGGCTCTTTCTCTAGTACATTACTTTCGGTGGGTTCTACATAGATATCAGGAACTTCAATTAAGAAACCAAGCTTAACAAATACACGTCGTCTTTTCATTGCGTGCGATGAGATTTGTGTACTTGGGAATAGCTTCAATTCATAATACCCATTATATTAATTAATTCATGCATTAGCGTTATGTCCCATGACGTCAATCTTTCCTATTATTTGCTTCCAACCATTTTTCAGCTCTCCAGTCTTCATATGGACTTCTTGTAACAAAAAACATATATGATACATAACATACTAGGTACTTAGTATCTATTGAACACTCGATATTTTTCTCCCACTCGGATATTTTATTCTATTTTTTATCCCAAAAGACAAGTCATCAAACAAATCCACCCCACTCACTATTTACACAGCTGAAAAATATGGACAAGTCACATGCCACATATCTCTCTCCACAAGATCTCTTGAAAAGTTATCAACCCTCTGAAGTGCCTTTCTCGGTACCATCAGAAGAGGAGATTAGTGAGCAGGAAGGGGAAAACGATGTATTGCTCATTCCGATCGCTATCCCAGATGCATCTGGAGAATTATATTCCGCGCCCTTGGATTCGTCGGATGAAATAATCGAGCTGGAAGAAGAAATCTCAATTATCCCTATCGATATCCCAGAAGCATCTTCAATATCCTATTCCTCACCATCCCTAGAAGAGCCCCCGATCGAGGAGTATAACGGATCACACGAAGTCCGACTCAACGCCCCCGCATCCTCATCTAAATCCCACACTCCCTATTCCATCCGCTACGAACTCCCCTCCCCCCGCTCCACGATCATCACCCAAAAAGACATCGGTTTCCTTTCCGATGCCGGAGTACGCGGTTCCGTATCCACTGTGTGTCATGGAACATTCCACTCCCAGCCCGCTACACTCATCCTCTTTACATTTATCTTCCGTTCCGGAGACCATGGATTTCGATTCAAAAACGCGAGTGTGAAGATTGATTTCTCCAGACACTCCTCCTCCTCATCTCCTTCTACCCCCAGCTCCAAAACCCAGGAAAACTGGACCCCCACAATAACCGCCCTCGCCCCCCGCAAAATCTACGGTCTCCCCACCACCATCCACCAAACCCGCAAACTCACCGGTGAAATCTCCCTACAAGTTCCTCTCGGCCCCACAACCCTCGGTCCTTCCACCTCTTTATCGCACGAATCTTCTTTTTCGCTTTCGCATCGCTACTCACTCACCGGAAATCTCTGGTCACAGCCCCATTCCTCGACCTGGGATTCCGTGTACTGGGATTTGAAGGAAAATAAGCAGACGAAGGGGGGAATTCCGGATCGGGTGGATGTGGGGGTGGTGGTTTGTAGAGGGGGAGGCGCGTTTCAGGGAGAGGTGAGGGTTGAGGTTGATACGCCGGTTATGAGGGGGGTGTGGGGGTGGCCGTGGGGGAGGGGGAGACCGGTGGTTTTTGTGGAGGGGGTGGAGACTGGAGGGGAGAGGGTCAGGACGAGGAGGTTTGAGGAGTTGGGGACGGAGGATTGGAGGGGGTTGGTGGGGTGGGAAGGGGAGTGGGTGGATGTTGTTGTGGGGGGTACGGAGGTAGGGGAGAGGGAGAGTGGAAAGGGGGAGGAGAATCTTTGAGGGTGGTGTGTATATAGTATGGTGGATTGTAGAATCTTCTATTCCCAGCATACATATCTAGACTAGATACGATATCTACCCAAGCGTAGTATCATAGTCTTTTAATCACACAAAAGCTTATAAATATTTTCAATTTTTCATCATTATCATGAATACTATCTGGATATGCTATCAAATCAAATCCCAATATAAATCATAAGTATCCAAGTGACTCCACTCAAACTATGATACCATGGATTCCATAAACCGCGGCGTCAATTATATCCATAACCGCCGGAGCCCAAGACGAGGTTTTTGATTTTGGGGAAATACTGTTGTGTTGTGTTAGTAAAATTTCATACCTATCTCTACTAACAAACCTGCAGAAGAGAAAGATAAAAATAAAAATACGTAAACTTACAGGAGTACCGAAACCGGTCGCTGCGTCCCAGCCAGTTGTTGCAGGGAATCCATTAGTACCGCATCCACTTGCAGATCCAATCGTCACATCTGTGAATGCTTTATATCCCTTTTTATACAACCACGGGTTTAACCATCCCAAAGTTGGTTTTCCCGCTGCGATCAACGCATCGTTGATTAAGGCGAGAATTGCCGAAGCGGTAGGAGTAGCAGCCGAAGTTCCATCGAGATGAACAGTAGTACCGTTCCAAACAGTGATGTAAGCGTATCCTTGGGCAGCGATATCCGGGAAGGCACGGCCGGTCGCGTTGAAGAAGCTTGTGATATTCTTGGGCAAAGAGGCGAGATATGGTTTTACCGCCGCATCTTGCCAAGAAGGACGAGGGAAATAGCGAGAAAATCCACCGCCGGAGACATATCCATTTCGGGCATCGGTAGCTACGACTTCTGGGTTGATGAATTTTGTTCCACCAACTGATGTGACGTAAGGACAAGTAGAAGGGAACATGGCGAGGAAAGTAGTGCTGTTGTCCACGTTGGAGATACATGTACCATCTGCTCCGACACCGTTATCTCCAGATCCGAAAAGAACGGAAACACCTCTGGCTCCCAATTGGGCGAAGCCTTTGCAGACGGAAACGGCGTAAGAGTATGGAACAGTTTGTTCAGTATCTTGATACGAGTTGCTAACTACTCCTGGAAGATTCTTTTGACTGAGCACATATTGTAACCATACAAGGTAAGGTTCATTAGTATCGGTAGGTGTTTGCTCATCTGGGGTAAAAGGAGGTGAGCCTCCAGTTGTGTAAGCAATCAGTGGGGTTGGATAACCAATTCCTAACATAGTTTCCGAATCCAAATTTCCCTCAAGATCTTTGCCAGCTGCGAGTTGTGTGGCATTCTCTTGTCCTTGATCATTATTGCCCCCAGCAATGACTTGAACATCAAAACTGTATGCTGCTGATGCTGCCTCGGGTCTGTATTGTTCAAGGAAGAGTTTGGTATCAGATCTATTGTTAGATTCGCCGAGGTAGTTTGAAAGAGCCATCTTGTTTTTGCCAGCTGCTTGAACTTTGTAGTCTACGGTACCGTAAAGAGTTCGGAGACAAAGTGGGGTTACGGATGAGACATTGCATACGTCTGCCGCAGTTTGTCCAACGGTAGGAGGTTTGTAGTTTGATGGTTCTAATGCTTGATATTCTGCGGCTTCATTGATTTTCTTCATAGTCTTTGCCACAGGACGTGGTTTGAAGAAAGAATTAGTAGGTTGAATGGTCTCGATGTGATCATGGAGATGAAGAGGTAAAGACCATTCTGGAGTGCGAACGATATATTCTCCATCTTCATGTTGATATGTCGAATATTCGGTGTCGAGAAGAGTTTCAATATCCTCAATGGAGATGGTAACTTTAATCCAGTCTTTAGCTGGACTGTACTCAAGAGAGGCCGGTTCAATGTTGTTGTCTTGAAGCCATTCATGAACGAGATTATGAGTTTCATCAGAAGGCTTAACAAGATCATTCACCTCATCAGCACTGAGATGTTGACCATAACGGTGGTGATCAGGATCAGAGACTATGAGTTTGTTAGTTGATTTTCAATCTCAATTACTTACTCCCTTGTCTTTCAAAAAAAGTATTCATACCTTCATAAAGATGACGTTCCAATTCATCGAATTGACCTTGCTTCAAACCAATTTGAAGATTAATCATGTGGTTTGAACGAGCAGGTCCCACTCTTTGCCATTGAGGTGGTGGATAATGAGTTTCCTTCACAGCATATGGAGTACGAGCTTTGATAGGAGAGCTCGATACCAAACCGACTGCAAGAAATGCCGCGAACGTAGCAATTGAAGTCACCATGATTGCTAATTGATTGATGGAGGTGAAGAGGAAATCCTATCACTTTCGAAGAGGAAGTGGGAATGAGGGGTATACATATTTATTCCCAATTGAATACTCAATCTAGCTTTTAGCTCTGTATTCACCAGAGTAGCTCGAGGGTAGTAGCTCATGTACAAAACAGGCAATACGAGTAACATTCACCCCATGTCCCCATGTCCTACCACACCTTATCAATTGGAAATGCATATCGGCTCGTGTAGCGAGGTTTTGGTAACGATCAACCTTCCTTTTGTAGTATCGTGTGAAGGTAAGGTACCATGGATAAATGAAGTGGCGATACGTTTCTCCATCTTTTCCTATCTTGATATGGAAGGTCGACAATTGTTGGTGCGGTGTAGAGCTATAGCTTTAGTTTCCATATGTCATATATACATTTCCATACATTTCCACGACCAAGGATTGGTGAATGGGATTTCAATGGTTGATGTATTCGGGATTGTATAATCAATGTGGTGTCGCTGATGGTTAATCCATTCGGGACATCTCCGCTCCAGTAGATAAGAAAGAAGCTTTGCATGGGTTGTGGAATTGCTCGGGCCGGCTTGGAACCAACCACCATAATCAACAATACCTATCACCTAGATAGTATGTTGAAACAACAATCTAACCGTCGTCCTGAAGATAATATATCTTCATATCCGTCAAAGGTATAGGACATTTCTCGAGATGCTAATCAGGCTACAATACGCCTCATAGTTGGAAATGCCTTTGTCTCATGCGGCATCTTGGCCCTTATACCCGATTGAAAGCTTTATTGCTTCAAAACTTCATTGTTCAAATTTCACTGTTTAAACATCAGAATTAACATCATAGATAACTAAACACCATCCAGGAATCCCACACTTCCCAAGCAACCAATTTCAACCTCTCTCAAATCACCACCTCTCCCCAACAACCCACTCGCCATGTCCCTCCCCCTCCCCCCCTCCTCCACCTCCTCCCCACTCTCTTCGGCACAATCTTCATCCTCTTTGGCCTCAACGCCATGCTCCGCCTCCTCCACGTTCTCACACTCTACCAATCCATTTCCCCTTCACCTTCCTTCCCGCAAACCCTCTCCAATACCATCCTCATTGAAGCCCTCATGACCATCTACAGCGCACGAGATATCTTCATGAGCCTCGCCATGTACGCCGCGTCCTACCATCGCAATTACAAAACAGTAGGATGGATCGTGGTTGCAGGGAGTGGTGTTGCGTTTGTGGATGGGTGTGTTTATTAGAGGGGGACAGGGAGGTCATTGGGGGTATGCACCTGTACATGCGGTTGTGGGGATTTTGCTGGTGTTGGGGTATTGCATATGATATCATGTGTTGAGTTGCTCCATAAGTTTGGATTGTTCATTCAATCTTTTTGGGATGTTCGAATGGTTTGATTGTTTCGAATCGATTGGTCATTCCAGATCTTTTATGGATTGTTCTTAACGAGTCGAGAATTTAGGATGACAAAAATATCGCCATGTCGTTGATTCAATTATCAAGTGTGAATATTCAACTTGCATCTTTAGTTTTTTCCACCGCAAAGCAAACTGTCGCATTCAATCGTATGTAGAGTTGTCATTCTCTTTGAAATTTTTCGATTCAATCTATATAGACCTGTAGCGAAGGTCGGTAGAGGTGTTACTTTAATGCAATTCCTGGAGCATGGAATTATATCCTGGAGAGCCATCTCTACCAACTAAACAATTATGACGAAGGAAGCAAGAGCATCTCACGAACGTCGTGAAGATCTATAATCATTTAGAAGAACTATTGCCAAGTCGTATTGACAGTGGAATGAGACATCATTCGATAGTAAGTCCAAAGAGGTAGTGACTCAACATTTCGATCTCTTAGCGAATTTCAAACCCGCCATTGTCTATGCATTGTCAGACAGATGTGAAACTTGACTGACGAGTATCTTTTAGGAAAACATTATAATAAAGAGATGTTGCTTATGTACTCCGAGTTTCAAGTCTCTATTTCTCTGGCAACACCAGTAGATCAAGGTATCTCCTCCTACACTCAAATTATGTCAAAGAGCCAATCCTTCACGCTCCTTCTCCTTTTCCAAATTTGTCTTGTTTTTGAATTCTTGCAACAGCTTTGTATTTCTAGCAATTGTATCCCGTTTTTTATTGCAGAGTTGAATATAGCATTCTATATCTTGCATTGTTCCTTTTGTCCGAGAAGATAAATCTGTACTTGGAATTCCTTCCTCCCCCGTTTTTTCCAGTGCCGCTTCTCCCTGCAAAGTTAGATGCAGAGACGAAGATTCTCCAATCCGCAAAGTTGTATCCGTGGATGAGGATCCTGATTTTCCAGTTTCTCCCTCTAATTGTTGTTCCAAAGTTCGGATTTCGGCTTTTCTTCTCTCAATTAAGCCTCTGATATATTGGCAACGAGATGCCGAACTCATATTCTCAGGTAAATCATAAGGAGGAGGCCAATCATTCTCAATTTATTTTCCCTTAATGGTTGTTTTTTATTGATCAGGAAGTCTCGAACTCGAACTCGGACATGAAGTCTGAGTGAAGGAGTAGGCTGGAAGATTATCATTTCTCGGATTATGCCTCATTAGATTGAGGAGACAGCTTCTTCTTCTCTCTAGACTGTCGACGGATCTATTACGTTTTCTTGAAGATTGGTGTGTGTTCTTCTTCGTTTCGTCATTGCGATCTGATTGGATTTCCTTCTCGGCATCGTTGATCTTTTCATACATAGTGCCTTCTTCTTTATCCGAACCTAGTATTCGAGATAATCTGGATCGTAGCCTTGAAGACATGATGGCTTCCATGCTCTTGTTCTGCACAAGAGCTCCTTCGAGTGGATGAGATGTAAGATGGAAAAGGTATAAATCGGACCCTTGAATTGAAAATCAGGATAGTTGGTTGTAACGATGACTGAAATTCCAGCCCTACAACTGACATCAAGACTTCTGGACTTTGTGGGGTACATAACCGATGTTTTCCCGGTATCCGGCACTCAGTAGTCATCCTCCTATTTTCGAATCGACCTTTGAAAATATCACAACCAGGAGAAGCATCAAATTGGAGTGCAGACCTGAGAAAATGATGGGTGCTCGAGAGCGTCATTTGAGGTTTAAACACTGAACGATAGAATCGCATGCATGTTTAAAGATCGCCTAGTAATGAATACTATTATTATCGTAACGAAAAATCTATACTTCAATTTATGAATCGTCCGAATCTCTCAAAGAATCTCCATATAGTAAACACTAATGAATATAAACATTAACCAGCTTCTGGTATGCCGTCAAACTTCCTGGTCGTATATATTCAACCACATCAAGCGGACTCAAATCTCCTTCCACAGGAGCAAGACGTCCTATTAGGCTCGGAATGAATCCATTCGATTTCCGCACCCAGCTGCTTATACTTTTATCCAGCTGCGCTTCTTTTTTTCTGAAATTCTCAGCTAGATTCATTCGGGAAACCTCTTCCCATTTGGCTTGCAGAGTGGTTTCGTCGGTGAGAAAGGTGAGATCAATAGGGGTTGCTGGCTCTAAGGACAAATTTCCGACTCTTCGGCCCAAACTGTTGCGGATATGGAGTATGGGGGGATGCGTTATAGCTGAGGGTGTAATACTGTAGGCTTCGGTCTTTAGACGTTTTCGGGATGGAGATAGATTGTTGGATGGATATTGGGAAGCTAACAAGGGTGGATCATTTCCAGTAAGAGATGATTGTGATGCCGCATCAGATCCTATCTGTCTTCCTTTCTGGTTATTTCTTATACGCTCTAGTAATCTCTTTTCTGTATCACATTGGTCCGCAGGAGGTGGTTGCCGGGAGTCCGTATTCATGGTTTGATATCTATCTGCCGATTGACGAGATTGAACATCCATCACTCGAGACCGATTAACGGCCCATCTGGATGAGAAAGTAGCCGACGAGCTTGACTGAGTATCTTGCGTTTCTGCATCTTTTTTGGAAGCCGCGAGTCCCCTATTTATTTTCTGTGCTGCTGTGATGCACAGTTGGGTTTGAAGAACGGTATCTGTCAGGGCTTGATCATTACTCTGACTGTATCTTACGCAATTGCTTGTGATGACGGCGAACGTAGCAGAGTTGCTATCATCCTTGACAAAAGATGACCACCGAGGAGCAAGTTTCCTGCCATCATTACGATTGAAATAAGTAATATCCCATGCTTGTAACTTTTTGTCGTCTCCAATCCCTGTGAATTTTAGTATTTTCAATATCTCTTTGAAGCTGAATATCAGAAGCTTCCTCTGGGTGGCCGGTATTGTTGTCCAAATTGAGGATAACGAATCAACGGAAATTAATCCATCAAGCAACCTCACAATGTCCCCAGAATTCTCTATTTGATTATCGAATTTCTGATAGAGATAACCTCTAGTAACAAGATCTTTGAGCAGTGCCCACAAGCTAATCCTTCGAGCATGACCAGAACAGCAACTGAAATCCAATACAGCAAGACAATCCATTAAATATGGATTAGGTGTGTGCGATGCATCCGTTTTGCCAGCATTGACCCAGTCTTCGAGTATCACGTCTTTCAAAGTCCAGCCTGCATCAAACTTGTATGTGGCTCCTAAGGTAATTGTCAAATATTGACCACCGGAGGCCTGTGCGGTTCTTTCTTTCATTTTCCAATTGGGAGGGCGCGTACCAAGCTCGAATGCGCGGTGGCGAGGCTGAGAGATATATTGGTCAGGACAATTACACAGATCAATCTTATGGAATCTGGGTAATCTCTGAAGTTCTTGGGAAGCTTGTGGTATGGTTCTTACGCCAATCAAGAGGAGTTTGGCTGTGTCAATGGGAGTTTTGTTTTCGAGTGAGTTCGTCTCCATCCAACTAGACCAATGACAGAGCAACTCTGATTCTAGTGGTTGAACCGAAGATATGTCATGTTCGGCACTTAGGAGTCTACCGCCATGAGTCTCAATCGACGAGGCAGTCAATACCTCGGTACGATTAACTCTCAGGGGACCCCATAGCTCCGCAAGATGATCTATAGATGAAGAGAGATAAAACCCATCGCATTCAACCTTTGACAACTTCGAGTTTGTGGGAATAAAGTTCAATGCCCAAACTGGCTGCTTGAGGAAACCATTCAGGCACTTCAATCGCCGGGCTGCCAAGAACAATGTACCTCCAGGACACTCGATGTGTAACCCATCACTCAATGACCCGCTCGGCGTGTACCCAGAATTATCCAGATGTGACCTGACGAATGAAAGTAAAACGACATGCAGAACGCTTAGAATGGAGCTCATTAAATGGCAGATATCCTGTTGTCGTTCTCGATTGTGCTCACCCACAGCTAAAACGGTTTGAGGGATACCTAGGCCAAGACTCACAACAATGTGCATTAATATCTCCGCTACATCCTCTAAAACCAAGTCTCGTTGCTGGTTGTCTTCTTGCTGGATGAATTCTTGCACCTCACGGAGAAGTTCGAGGATTAGAGATAAGCTGGGAATACTAACCGGTCGAACATTCAGAACTTTCGGACGGTCAATATCTGCCACGATAATACTATACGTGGAGCTGTTACAAATTCCTTCGTGCTGTAGCAATTGCGTTCCTTTCAGTATTGAGGATAACGTCTCTGTACTTATCGAAGCTTGAAACTGGATGTAATCGTTTATTCTGAGCTGTTGATCAAAGGGTGGGCTAAGGGGCGTGGATGGTTCCGTTCCAATACCCAACTTTCGTAACGATAATATGTATCGCTTGGTCTCGCCATCTTCTTCTATGTTCTCGAAGGTGTTTTGTCCTAGCTGGATGATTCTGTGTTCAAGAAGGGCAATATCTTCAGAATAGGAAGTGGGGTTCTTAATGAAGCGGTCAAGTGCAAACTCCGAGAATTTTGGTACAGCAAAAGGGATTTGCGAATTCAGAGGATCTTGTAAATCCGAGGACTCTCGTTTAAGACTGGAAATGCCACTTCCTTTGAACCCCCTTTCTTCCGCATTGGAACTCTTAGCGCTTTTCTTGGTAGTATCAACCATGTTCAAGTTATAATGATCAGTATCGAATTCTTTAACTTTCCCCTCTTGCGGCTTAGATGCGTCGGTATCTTGAGGGATTGAGTCCAGATTTAACTCAGCCGAAACAGATATCTGAGCGTCCTGCAACAATGCCGCGTTGATGGTTGAATCGATCGTAGACTCTAGTACGGCATCTGACTGCGGAATTTGACCTCCTTCATCTCCGTTCCCGCTTTCCCTTCCTCTGCTACTGCCACTCTCCCGGGCTCTAGATCCTGTGGCCCTCGTAGACCTGGTATTTGAGGTCGAATGTGATGAACGCCTTTTGACCAACTGAACAGGGCAGTCGTTACATCGAACATGAGCGCATCCAGGACAGCTGATAATTTCTGTTGTCATTCCAGTACCGGTATAATCGCTGCACCAACAGCAGCTCCAAAGGCATACACTTTCTCCCATCGCCACTATTGCAGGCACTTTATATTAAAAATGAATACGATTCAAGATAGAAATCGTTTTGGATTCTCAAAATGCCATGTACCTCTATTATACTCATTCATCATGGCTGAGTCCTGCGACACATACGCCTTATCATACACCTTACCATCGTAGTGGGGTAAGCAGACACATCAACCAGGTTTCCCATTGGTATGAGATTGAAGAATCCAATCATCCACAGGAAGCGGCATACACTGCTATCAAACCAGCTCTTCCAAGAAGGAGAAACCTTGCGCCCTGCCAATATAAGCATATGCAGAGTGAGGCTGTGAAGATATACTACATTCAGGCTGAGTTTTCGATTGTGTAACAATTTATTGTTGTTGAGAGGAAATCTGTACCTCTATTAGTATAAGCAGATGCAGAGTGAGGCTGTAAAGACTTACTAGATTCAGGCTGAATTCTCAACCATGGTATGCTTTATCGTTGTTTGTTGAGATGTACTCGTTGATATCTGGATATTAGAGTCTGTGTTCAGTAATAGAAAAGAGGCTTCCTCAAATTGAGAATAAAACAGGAAGGTGTGTTTGCGACTGATCAATGATACGTACCAATAGTTAGGTAGAAGAACTCATCTGCCAATCAAATGCACCTACCTGCCTACTAAATAATAAATCTCAACACATTTGTAATACTTGACTTCAATAATCGCAGTCTACATTTTAACTTGCATAAAATAGACTGTGCAGTTGACAGATACTCAAGGGCCAGGTAAAGCGTGTGATGACTTTCCAATTTCCAAATATGAAATCTCAATCACACCTATGCAAACAAGATTTTTGGAAATCTGATGTATCTTTCAAAATTCGTAATTAATAAGAAACTTTGATTTCAAATGAAAAATATACAAGATTGAATTTGTATTGACATCAATGAAAACATTTGGTAAACTTCTGACCAAGCCTTCCAAAAAGACTGACTGGCCTTGATAGGTTCCTCTAAACAAAGGCAAAAACAAAAATATCAAATATGAAAAATTAGAATCAACAATTTTGATAATCAGGTGTTCTGAGAATTTTGTCTACCACCTATGATCATTGAATAGACAAGTAGGTAGCCATGTCGCCCAAGAAACCTCAAAAACCCTCAAAAAGACTCCAAACATTTCTTCTTCTCCCCTTCTCCCCCTCTTCCCCCCTCCTTATCTCTCTCAAATTCCAACCAACAAAATTCCAACATGAGCAAGAAAACTCCCCAATAGATGACTTCAAAGGTTTGAATTCTGTCTATCCTAAATCCTAAATCGACTTCCTGACCTCAATTATTGAAGTTAAAAACAACAGAATTGCTATATACCATTATTCATTTTCAAGGATTGAAAAATATAAAGAGAGAAAGAAGTAAACGTAAGGAAAAAGGAGGGAGAAGCGAGGAAGAGGAGGGCGAGAAGAGGGAGAGGGGAAAGGAGATAGGAGTAGCTATAGAAACCTAAAGTGATTATAGAAGAGCTAAAAGATGAAAAAATGATATTCCGATGACATTTGAGAATCTAGATTTTGATCTACTTGTACTATTGATCAACCGACCATCGGCCAATCGTAGATGCCCAATAGAACATCAACGGAATTCTGTTGGATCATTAAATACACCCAAAGCTTTGGGAATGGTTGAAATACATTCACAGTTCACGTTTCACAGACCAAGATGAAGAAAAGGTATTGTAAAGTATTATTGTATTTGAGTTGTAAAATAAGACAGCAACAGCAAGGGAGGATACTAGTTGCAAAATACTCACCATATAATACAGTTGGTCTAGCGAGACATTTCGCAAAGAACCGGGTAATATTTGTCATAAACCATTCCACCCAACCAAAGAAAGAATTTTTACATTATGCCCTCGGAAAGCCACATGAGGTGCGGTCCCCTCTCAAGGTATCCAAAGATACAAGAAAGGATCATACCCAGCCTCTTAATATGTTCAAAGCCATAGACCACAATGTTTTTACCTAAACGCCCCAATGAACCAATCAAAAAGCCGAAAGGGACAGCCACAAGCCGACGACCACGTAAATCAAGCCCACAAGTTGTAAACTTCTCTTCCAATGAAATGATCCAGAGAAAGCAGAAGATATGTCTCAATAGCCACATTCTCCATAAGGAGTAGAGTCAAGAGCCCACAACCCACAAAGCCAACGACCCACATATCAACATGAAAGTATCTTCGAGAAGAATACTCAACATGTGACGAAGTACGGACAGACAATGGTAACCCTCATATGATATCATCAGCTTATTCGAAAGACATCTTCTTTCCCTTGAAGTCACCGAAGCCCCCACGGTTAGTGCTGCCTCCACGACCTCCACGGGCACCACCACGAGCACCACCACGTCCTCCACGGTCACCGAAGCCACCACGTCCACCACCACGTCCGCCACCACGGCCACCGCCACCACGTCCACCACCACGGCCACCGAAGCCACCACCCTCACTGCGCTCTGGACGGGGAGTAGCATAGTCAAGTCTGACTGGACGACCAGCAATATCGGCACCCATCATAGCATCGTAAGCGGCAGTAGCATCCTCAACGGAACCGAAGGTAACATATCCGAAACCCTTGGGGTTGCCAGTTTCCCTAGTGATTGTTAGTTTGTGTAGATGAGTATGGGACGAGGATTAACTTACTGGTCAGTTGGAAGTCTGACGTTGACAACAGTGCCGTGCTCACCGAAAGCCTCACCAACAACGTTCTCATCAGCATCGAAGGAAAGGTTACCGAGGAAGAGGGTGTCGGAAGGTGGGTTCTTGGCATCACCGAATTGAGCAGCACGGTTGTTAGCACGCTCTCTTGGTGCGGTGGTGTCACGGGGAGTGGAGAAGTCAACGTTGGCCTCACGACCATCAATGAGAGCACCCTTCTTGGCAGCAAGAGCGGCAGCAGCATCACTTGACTTGACGAACTCAACGTATCCGAAACCCTTGGAGCGTCCAGTAGCCTTGTCACTGATGACACGAGCACCACTGATCTCACCGAACTCCTCGAACTCGCGGTAGAGCCACTCATCATCAATGTTCCAGCTCAAGTTACCAACGAACAAGTTCTTGCTTCCGTTATCCTCAACAGTCTCCTCAGTCTTGGACTTCTTGGTGGAAGCCTCTGGCTCATCCTCGGCCTTACGCTTCTTGGATGGTGCTTCGGCCTCAGCCTCGCTGGCAGACTCGCTGTCGGAATCAGAAGAGTCGGAGCCAGATCCAGATTCCTTCTTCTCTTCTTCCTCGGAGTCATCAGAGCTATCGGAGTCATCAGAGTCCTCCTATAAAGATATTAGTATGCAGTTCAAGTTATGATAGGATTGTGGGAAGGATTGATATTACTTACAGTAGCCTTAGCGACGACCTTAGCAGCACCGTTGACCTTTGCCTTACCGGCATCGACAACCTTTTGAACCTTCTTGGCAGCAGCAACAACTGGCTTAGCCTCCTCCTCGGATTCGGAGTCGCTTGAGTCGTCACTATCTTCGCTCTCAGAAGCAGCAGCCTTCTTGGCAGTCTTTGCGGCGGGTTTAGAGTCAGTTTCGGATTCAGATGATGAGGAATCATCTTCGGATTCAGACGAAGATGAGGAGTCAGAGGAGGATGATTCTACCTCTTTCTTCTCGACCTTAGCAGCCTTTCCGTTAGCCTTAGCCTTGGTGGCCTTTGGCGCTGGCTTCTCCTCCTCAGATTCAGAAGAATCCGAGTCGGAACCAGATTCGCTGTCGGAGGATGGGGTGGCAGCCTTCTTGACTGGCTTTGGGGCTGGCTTAGCGGCCTTGGTGGCAGTAGCCTTTGCGGTCTGTTTAGATTTAGCTTTTGTTGATTGAGATGGTTTAACAACTGCCGCATTCTTGACAGTTGAGAGTGGTAGTCTGACCTCAGTCTTCTTGGAAGCCTTAGCAACCTTGGTATCCTTGGTCTTAGCCATTATGTATGATTTACTTCTTGAAGAAGATGAAGTAATTGAGTGTTTTTGAAGAAGAATATGAAGAAATTGATATCTTTTAATCAAAAAACTGATGAATCGATACAAGTATTGAGTTGAAAAGGATGTATGATTGAAGGAGAAAAACTGAAAACTTGGGAGAGTGAAAAGTTTAAGTAGGTTTGAAGAAAAGCTCTTATCGAGAATTTTTTTTCAATTGCGCTAGAGTGATAAAAGGTTTTTATCTGGAGAGTGGATTCAGGGTCTCGAGGGAGTGGGTCTATCAGCTCGAGTGATTAGTTAAGCATTTCATACCGTGAAGGAGTCGAAGCAGGTTCGGCAAGTCTTGCTCATGTCTTGCCCATTCACTAAATTTCACCCGACCCATAATAAATCGTGACTTTCATCGTTGAGCTCAAACAATCAAAATAGCTTCATTACAAACGCATTTGTGAAAGACGTCGACCACCTCAACTCTACCGTTGGATCCACATTACTCGATCGACCATATACCCATTGATCCTTCAACCCTCCTCATACCTATAATTCAAATTCTGTACAATGGCACCAACTCCCGAATCTGCCGCATTCCTCGCGAAGAAACCTACTGTTCCTCCAACTTTCGATGGTGTCGATTATGATGATACAGCACGATTGAAGCAAGCACAAGATGCGATTATTAGAGAACAATGGGTTAAGAGCATGATGGCGCGTCTGGTCAGAGAGGAATTGGGAAAATGTTATTACAAGGAGGGGGTTAACCATTTGGAAAAATGTGGTGCATTAAGAGGTGAGGACTAATACTATTCTATTGGAATAGTCTACGGATTTCTTTGAAGGGGATTTAGTTCCTTCAATTTTGCAGAAACAACTGGTTTCCCAGGAGGACCTTTTCATAGATCTTGGGGCTAATCCTTTCTCTCAGATCGTTATTTCGAGTTATTGAAGGAGTCCAAGATTAAAGGTTACCTGTTCGAGCAACAAAACCACTTCAACAAGGCTTAATGAACGTATTATGAGGGCTTTACTAGGGGAGGGGAGGGGAGTAAGCGGCGAGAACAGGGCGAGAGAGGTATCGTGCTGGGTGAGGGTTACGCTTGAATGAGTTCAGTGCGGCTTAAGGCAGGCAGGAGATCTGGAATCAAACACTGAAGGTATACCAAAACCCAGGAAGCTTCAGAGCATTTGACCCAAAAATAGAGACCTGAGAAAGGTCTACTAATGGGACTGTAAATATGAAACATTGTACAACCAGTCTATTTCTAAACTTGTGATTTTGATGTTTAAGAATGACATAGCCAAGATGAATTTTGACACAGTATGGGCCTTTGAAAATCTCATATCTCGTCTTACTTACCTCGGAATTTATCAGAGTAATAGTTAAGAAAGTATTCAATTGTCTACATAAACAATTCACCATGTGATTCTCAATCCGAATCATGGACACAGCAAAATAGATAATCCATTTCCATTACATACCCACCCAGCACCGGACACCCCACCAAAGAATTTGATATCAGCAGCACACCCGGTCCACCCAGGTACCCGTAGCTATCCCAAAAAAATAAATCTCCATATACACCAGCACAAGAAACTAACCCACCATATCTCACCTACACAGCCAATCCTCCCTCAAAATGATTTGTTCACGCTGTCTGACCCGTCGGTCCCTTCCTCTCACCCAACAAACCCGTCTCTTCTCGCACACAGCCTTCCTCTCCTCCACACCCCCAACATCCACCCCCTCCTCACCTCGCACCGCCGGCCCTCCAGCCGCAACCTCCACCGGCGCAGCCCAACCCTTCTCAACACCTCTCTCCCCCTCCCCCGCCGCCCAAGGAATCTCCTCCCATCCTTCGCCAACCAAAAAATCAACCCCCTTACCTACATCCAGCATCCCCGCGGGCACCATACTCCAAGGTCTCAATTTCCTCAAAGGAAGAGACGATCCCGTTGCTTTAAAAGAAGAAGAGTATCCAGAATGGTTATGGCACTGTTTAGACGAGAAGAAAGCTACGGATGGGGGTGCCGCAGCGGGAGGCGATGAATTTTGTATGTTTTCTATTCTATCCATTTTATTCCTATATTCCTATTCATCCACCTTTCCTTTCCCTCTTCCCCAATTGCATCTCGAATTGACTAACATCTTCTCTAGCAAAATCTAAAAAACTTCGTCGTGCTGCTGCCAAAGCCCGCAGAAAGGCAGAAGAACGCGCGCTTCTCTCAGGCGACACCTCTCTGCTCGAAGTAAAGGTTCCTCTGCAGCAACAATCAGTCGATTTGTCTAGTGAAGGCGAAGTCGCATTAGAACAACGAGGAGATTTGGTAAAGGCGATGAGGAAGGAGCGTCGCGCGAAGATTAAGGAGGGTAATTACTTGAAGGGAATGTAAATTTGAGGTTGTGGATAGGTCGGAAAATCGATGCACCCTCTTGGGGAATGGGGTGCGGATTGGGCTCAATTCTTGGGGCATTGTTTGAGAGCTTTGAGAGCTTTGATCCTGAAGTACTGCTCAATGAGGAGTCTTCATGTGGGATGGCATTTTGTAGAAAGTATAAAGCAGATTGGAGATGCTCAAGTCAAGAAGACACGCAATTGACACAGCTAGAGCCATGAAGATTGGGCACTAAGAGACGAGGAAAGATGTAAAATTATATCACATCTGTGTAAGGATACTATAGACAAGAATCTGTATTATAAGGCATCTATCATTATGTCAACCAACATGTTTGTGGTATTCATGACGCTACCTGTTTGATAGTAGCTCGTTGTTTTCCCTCACATTAAATGCACCGTTGCAGCGTGTCACCATGCAATGCCACCCAGCTCAAACTCCAAATTGAGACTGTGCTTTTGAGCTGTCCATCCATTTCAAAATGACCCAACGCCAATTGTCCAACCCAAGCAGAGACAACCAGCCAGCGCCGAATATTGTTTAGGTCCCACCCCATCTTCTGTGAAAACGCCTACATATACATAAACCCAATACCTAGTGACCTTTAAAATGTATCTAATCATCCTCTGCCTCCCCAATCGAAGATTTCTTGATCTCCAACTCAGCCTTAAGCTTTCTCGATTTATCTTCGATTCTCCTGCGTAGAATTGGATTGTTTTGAGCTGCCAATTGTGCTTGGAGACCTTCAATCTGCTTCTCCAAATCCACGATGTCTTCTTTTGCTTCTTGGAGCTGGGCCAAGCGTGCTTTTTCATCGTCATCAACATCATCCGCTTCACTTCCTTCATCTCCACTTTCCCCATCTTCAATTGATTCATCACCGCTATCATCTTCTTCATTGGGAGCTGGGGTCTCGCCCAGCAGCATAGGAGTGGCCGCGACACCTGACATAGACATAGGAGTAGCAGCAATATCTTCAAAGCCTGCCCCTGCTTCCAATTCTGCTTCCATCTCTGCTGCGAGATCAGCTTCGAGATCCCCGCCCATTTCATCCCCAGATGCGGCACCATCGCCGTTATTAATTTGAGAAAAGTAACCACCGTCATCGGCTTCTCCTTCAGCATCTTCATCTTCGGAATATTGATCTTCTCCTTCGTCACCATAACTTCCTGGACTGAATACTTGACTACTTTGTTCTCTTTCTGGGGAAATAACTTTGTATTCTGAAGATACAGCCTTTCGGTCATCTTCAAGAAGTTTCTCAACAGCTTCCTCTACAGCCTCGATCGCAGTTCTACTAATACGTTTTCTGAAACGCCGTTTTCGTGCCAAATGCATTGGAGCAGTGAGACCATGTGGATATTGAAAAGTTTGTGGATCAATAATTGAGGGCAAGGGAGCAATTTTGGCCTCATCTTCATTCTCGACCCTTTGATAAATCCAAAGCATTTGACAAATATCCGCACTTTTATACCATCCTCTTTTATCCCAACTCTTCATTCCTTCAACGATACATGGTAAGTCGACAAGAGTAGCAGCATAGACATTTCCACGGATGATAACAGCAGCTCGTCTACCTTCGGCATGAAAGAATTTCATTTGCACATCTGCACCTCCGATTTTTGGATTGACACCCATTTTTTTCTCGGCGATGCATGTTCGTAGGTAGTCACAATCGTCGCCGGGAATCATTCGAAAGATAAACGCTTCTTCGATAGAGGGATCTTTTTCCGTATCACTGGCTTCAGAGTCATAGCCTTCTCCAAGAGGTCTTTTCGGTGGCTTGCCCTTAATTTTAGCCTTCATCATAACCGGTGTCTTTGGAAGTCCATTATTGATACCAGCCATAGAAGGCGTTTTTGGCTTGATACTAATCTTGACTTTCTTCTTCGCAGGTTCATCATGAAGGTTCGGTTTCCTTGGTATAACAGAGATAGTTTCATCGCCACTGTCGTCTTCTTTCTTAACTCTCTTGCGCGAATCTGCGAGCTTTTGTGTAGGTTTAGGTGCTCGACCTGCTTTTGTAGGTTTTGGTTGCGATGAGCTAGACGCAGGTGGAAGAGGTGGTGATCCCGCAGGTTTACTGCTGATCTTTATTTTTGGTTTGGATCCGCCAGGTGTAGAAGCTGATGGTGTGGTAGGTGTTGAAGGTCCCGGCGATGCATTCATTCCTCCATTTGTCTTGAGACTCAACTTTAGCTTGAATGGGCCGCTCATATTGGCGGTTTATCCTTGTAGTTGTGCGCTCTTTTTGAAAATAGGTTATTCGTGTCGCAAGATTGATGGGAGTGAAATTTTATAAAAATCGCAAAAAAAGAGTTTCTTCGTTGTCTGTTGTAGTTCTGTAGAATTTAAGAATTTAAGATGTTGAACTGATCAATTGGAATGGAAGGAGCTCCAGTTCGACAATTATACGGAGACCCGACCGCACAATCGCGCAACCGCGTTTTCCATTTCACTTATGCGATGAATGGGAATTCGCATTCACCTTTTGCGCTTCACGGTGAAATACAAGAGACTTTCTATTTAATCAACTATATAATTTCTGCGACATGCAACCATGATAATATCTAGTCCCTCCGCATCTTAATCCCGACTTTTTCGTCATTCAAGATCGAAAAACTTAAGATGGCAACACCTCAAGCTCTTCATCACGCCCTCCTTCGACCATGTATTTTACATATCCTCCGCGCAGCCGGTTATCACTCAACGCGATCCTCAGTTCTTGATACCATAACCGATCTAGCTGCTCGTTATATGTACATACTTGCGCAATCAACAGCAGCGCATGCCGATCTAAACCATGCGGATCTCGACATAACGATTTCAGATGTACGAATGGCCATGCAAGATTGTGGAGCTCTTATGCCAGAGAGGGCAATAGAAGAACAGGAATTCTATGGCGAAGAAGATATGAGAGGCGTAGAAGGATTTATAGCCTGGGCCATGGGGGAAGGAAATAAGGAGATTAGGAGGATTGCGTTAGCAGATGGAGGGGAAGATTATCTGACTGGTATGCTCTCGTTCTTCATTGATTTTATATGGTCATGAATAAGAACTAAAAGAAGATAGCTCTCAAAAAGAAGCATAACACGACCGATGAGGATTCACGATATCATGGCACATTATTAGGAAGACCTGCCGAACCTCGAATAGTGAAAGTCGAGGGAGGAGAGATTACAAGCGTGAAAGAATGGGCAGACCGGATGAAACCAATACCGAAGCAGATTGAGGAAACACCTTCCAGCAGAGAAGCATCTTCAGCTCTGAGTTCTGTCGGGGATCAAGTTATGGAAAATATGGAGTTTTAATATCATGAAGGAATGGTCGCTTTGAAGTTCGGGCATGGCGAAGGAGTTTGGGTTGTTTGACAGATATAATACACGACCATATGGCAAGGTGGGATCGTGAGAAATCACATTTTGCAGAAAGAGCGACAATGAATCTGAGTGAAAAATCAATAAAAATGATTAAAAGGATTGAATTTAGGTTTTCAATTCGCTTCAAACGGATCCCAACCCTTCGTTTTCGAGTCTTCCACCTGCACCTCCATCTACATCGATGCCTTGCTCTCGTTGACTCTTGATCTTCTCTCTAGCCTCCTTCTGCTCTGCCTTTTGTCTGTCCAAATCACTTGTATAACTACCCTCCTCTCCCCATCCAGCATTCTTCTTGTCGAATTGAGCAGCCATGACATCTCCTTCACCTGGGGCTCTCATTTGCTCTCCTTCTAAATCCTCTTGTTGAGGCCCGACCTTGGAACTCGATAATTTGGCATTACTGTCGTCCGCATTATCTTTTGGATGATCGCCATGGCCCATTGCTGTAGCCGATCCTACTGACATCCCAGGAGTGGCTGTGGATGATGGTGCGCCGGAGTTGGGACCAAAAGTTGTACCGGCGGGGGTGGAGTTGAGTGAGGATTGATTTTGTGATGCAGACATAGTGAACGGTGTGATAGAGAGGATTGAAGCTTAGTCTTAATATGAGAAGAGTATTCAATGTGTTTTCGAGTATCGACGATTGAGTATTTGGTATAATTGGTTGTTAAGGATGAAGAAATGAATAGCATGCAATGTACCTTGAAATGTACCTACTCTTGGATATCATTCTTTACCTACTTGGTGGTGGTCTACCCAGTCTAGCAAGCAGCATTTTCTAGTAACAAAGATGACGTAGATAAAAATGAATTGGTCGCATTTGATAAGGTTACAAACTCCAATCAACAATCCATATGGTGGGACAAGGTAAATTGCTACGGTCATCTCGAAAAGCCACGAATGCATTCAATATCATTGCCCCGCCAAATTCCAAACAACGGTCCGACCATTCGAATGGCACTCTCACCACCACCCCTTCCTCCTTGATTTCCCAACTTATATCCCCATTCTTTCGATACAAGTTGAGGAAGCGAGCATAGTCGACAATAACTGCATAGCTACCCACTCTTCAACAACAAAGAGTCCCACCGTTTAGGTTACAAACACTCGTTACAAGTCTCAAGGAGTCACGTGTATTGGTAGTATTGAACTTCACGCGGCGTGCAAAGGCATTCGACTGATTCGCATTAACATATTCAATCATGCCCTTCCCACTTGAGCTTCCCACAACATCTTCGTTTTCGTTCTCATCATATTTCACAAGCGACTCGCATCCCTCACTACCTCTAGCCGCAAGTACGTACCGAGGGGTTCTTCGTGATGTGCTGAAGAAGCACAAACGACTTACTCCTTCACAGCAATCTTCAAATCTTTCATCGATTCTCCAAGCACTCAACAACTACATCCCATATCTCTTAGCCATAGACTCTGGCATATCTTCTCAATTCGATCCCGGAGCAGAACACATAGATATCATCCTCACTTCAACACCAACTCTAGAATGGCGTCCAACTCTTTCGGATCCGCCAATGCCAGGCAGAGAAATTCCAAGGTTGAAGATACAGAGTTTGGAATATGAAATTTATTTCGTCCTTTCAACACTAGCCTACACTCATGTTCTTCTTTCACGATCTTCATTACATCCACTCTATTCATCTGCGACAGCGTCACCATCACCTGACCAAAGAACTTCATGTATCAAAGCTGCTACAGAGCAATTACTAGCAGCAGGTTCGATTCATAACTATCTGTTTACCCGCTCAACGAGTCTCACTTCTCCACCCCCCTGTCCTGATATCTCAAACCCAGTTTTTCGTGCCCTCAGTAGCTTAGCATTGGCCGAAAGTACATTACTGGCGGTTTTAAAAGATGATCCATATCCAGCAGCAGTGCAACAAGATCGTAACAAAAACGATAAGGAATGGATGATTAAGGCTCCTGAGATGCCCAAAGTTCGCGCTCATCTGTTTGCAAGATTATGCCTTGCTGCTGCCGATCATGCGGGTAATGCTGTAGCCATGCTAGGTGGGATGGGTAATGGAGGGAAGGGAAAGGTAGATGCTGAGTTGTTAAAATATGTTGAAGATTTGCGAAGAGTAGGAAGAGGAAAAGCTTGCAGATTTTTTGGAGTGGATGCCGAGTTAGGAGGGAAGACAGGTGATGGTATTGGATGGCTGAGAGCTGGCTTGAGTGAGCTGGGCATATTAGTGGGAGACGATGGAAAGAAATCCTCTGGGATGGGATTTGGGAGATTAAGGAAAGAATGGACAGAGAAAAGAGAGGATCGTAGGGTTGAAAAGGGGAAGGATTGGGGAAGTGATGCAGGGAAAGCGGAGGAGGGTAGAGTTCTAGAAATGCTGGAGAAGAAATGGGTGAAGATGAACGACACCGTAGGCTACACCCTTCTATTCTCTGCCTTACTGAATACTAATGATTATCCCAGATTGGCACTCAGCTCGTACCTTCTATTGGAACGCTCATCTCAGCACTACCGTCCGGACGGGAAATGCATACACTAAAATCTTACAACCCTCCAAGCCTTGACAATCAAGTCCTTGAGAGCATGAGAGCTCCGCCAGATCGAGCAGATACTTATGAAGAGGACGATAGTTCCGATGAGGATAACAATGGAACACCAGTTGGTGCATTCCCAGGCACAAAGGGAGATTATGCTGGAAATGCGAATTATTTCTAAATCATACATCTCTATCTCGTGCTCGAGAGACCAAGACATGTTCTAGACCTAGATCGCCATGCATGTTACACAAGCTCCACTAGAACCATTCATCCCCAATCAATCCGCATCACTACACCGCCAGTTCACGACCCTAGCAGGACCAGTTCATCCCATCACTCGGTGCAACAATGAGATGTGCAACAAATCAACTTTACTTTCATTCATATCTTTCTAGTGGTGAGATGGTATGATCATGGGTACATTGACGTCTTACATACTTGCGCCACGTATCCATTTACACGTGATATGTGGATGAGCTTTATAGACAAAAGTGATGTGGCTTGCATTGAATGGTAAGTCAATTCACATAGTTTGTGATTAATTACCAGAACGACGGGTCTGGTAGTAAGCATTGTCTCACTGCTTTCTGGGGCAATGTGGGGAAGATGGTGAACAGAATTCAAAAAATTTAACCCAAATATACTCACTCTTCTTCTCAATTGCATCTGTCTCGCCCCTCACGAGTATCACTTCTGTATATCGTATGCAATTCCACAATCATAAGTTTTCAAATACCCCAACGTTTGATCTGCGCGCTAGCCGTTGCGATTTCTTCATCGCTTGGCATGCTTACTACTACAAGATATAGAATATTCTGGGATATTTGTTAGCAACCAACTTCTTGGATTCAAGATGTTGAACTAGGGGGTACTCACATTACCCAGAATCTTCTTAACCCCTTTCGTTATGATATCAGGGCCACCAAACCCTCCAAGTCCTCCTCCTAATCTTTTCTCTCCTCTTGGGTTACTTCCCTTCTGTTGCTGTTCTTCACTACCCTCACGCTGAAGACCTATCCTGCCATCTGATTGTGCTTGTCTCCCGCCTAAGTAGGAACGCTCGCCACCAAATACAGCACCAAGTCCACCTAGTCCACCACCCCTTCCACTAAACCCTCCTCCTCCCATCCTAGCAGCCATCAAGTCTTTTCCCATTGGTGGATTGAACTTTCCACCCGTAACCAAACTCCATGGATTTCCACTACTAGCTGGATGATTTGGATCCGCATACCGACTCGTAAACTTCTCCTTTGGCCCAGTCGATAAAAAAACATTGGGATTCTGGGCCGCGTATTGTGCCCGTGCTCTTCGATCCATGTAATCGGACACAAAATTTCCTTTCCTTTTCAATTTCTCCTTGAGTTTTTCTTCTCCTTCTGATCCCATATTTGTCAAAGCCGCATCGAGAGCCGGGAAAACAAGAGGTGCAGCTTCAGGAAACTCGAAATCACCATATGTATTTCCGGAAGACGTATGGAATTTATTCCTCGTTTTTGATTCTCCGGTTTGTGGATCAATTGATTTGGAAATCGTAGATGTCATATCAACCATACTTGTATGATTTCCATCGTCCGGATTCCACGTCAATACCAATGCACAAAGACCACGAGGACGAAAGAATTGGTTATTCATTGCGTCCAGAAATGAATTTGTTCGTTGACGAGAATGCATCTCATTTGCAGCTTTGATAGCAACTGCAATAGCTATCTGAACAGCAATAGCAATGCCGGGAGCTACTCCATGCGCGGCCAACCCGGCAAAATTGATGCATTGGATCCAGGGTGAGGCTTGCGTTGCTTCGTTAAATGTACGTAGAAAATCTAACCACATGGTCTCGGAAATATCGCAATCTTGGAGGAGAGGAGCGTATGCGTGGATGAAGCCTCGAGAACGGCTTTTGGGTCGGCGTTGGGGGAGGATGACGGGGAGGAGGAGTCGGTTGGTGATGGGATGGGAGGATGGATATTGAGGGACGGGGTATTTGGCAATGAAACGGGAGACGGATGCTTTTATGAAGACGGTGTGTTTTTCTTTTCCTTGGGGGGTTTGTGTTTCTGCGTCGGATTCCTGCACTGTGAGATCTGAGGGGGAAACTTGTTGCGTCTCGGCGGGTGCAAGCTCATCTTGTGCAGCATCCAAATCCCAGATCTGTTGATCGTTTTCTTCATGCAAGACATCAGATTCTACAGCCGTAGAATCTCGATTCGAGATACTCAAAGCATTAGAACTAGCTGATCGAAGTTGAACATCCTCGCTACTGGATGCTCGTAGAGATTGAGATTGAGATTGAGATTTACTAGCTTTTTTTGCTCTATGCGCGTGCACACTCTCGGATGCGAGACCGATACCGGCTGCAATGCCTTTGATTGCTCCTTCGAGTATGAAAGACATGTGTGGGTTGGAGCTTTAAGAAGGATGTGTTGTGATGTGATGATATACTGGAAGAAGTGGGTATGAAAAATGGGTAGAAGAATTTATGACGGGATGGAAACACTTGGAAATTATAAAGTAACAACGATTGAGGTATGAGATGAGAACTATCTATCTATCTAGATACTCATATATATATATATACTGGAATCAACCATCGCAACACACCTACGTTTTCAGGAATACATGTCTTTCCCCCCCCTTCCCGCCGGGGATTGCAAGTAACGCTACCTATCTAGGTACCAGGTACTCAGCCCTGTAGATGCACTAACAACTTCTACATTTCCCCATTAGGACTTTGCATACCTTACACGGATCAATTAGAATGGCCGAAGTGGGTAGATAATATGTAGTTAACTCCATATTACAGCCCGTATAGTGAAAATTGGTGCTGCGATGATCACCTTCAAGAAGATTACTTGGTGGTTGTAGATGTCCTAGGTATACAGGGGTATGATTGGTAGTGGAGGTTGGATGACGCTTTACCGTTTTGGTAAACGAATGCGAGGAGGGTCACGTGGGAGGGTAGGTTTGTTGGATGGTTGAGACTTCTCTTGGAGTGTAATTCTGCGGATTGTGCTATTCTAGAGTTTCTTTTTTTGATCTGTTCTGTTGTATGTGTTTCAGGTGTATGTATGGATATTGGATCCTAGATTTATTGTTATGGGTTTAGAATCCTTTGATTCTTTGATTCTTGGGTTTAAGGCAAGGGTTGAGGTTATAATTTGTGTCGACGATGAGGTGTTGGGATGTGAGATAGTTGAGATTTAAGATAATCTCGCTTGCGGTATGAAGTATAGGGGAGGAGATCAGTTGCTCGCGGGCTATAATTATCGTTTTTGAGTTTTGGTTTTTGCAGGTTTACTTGGGAGTTTTGGTTTTCAATTATGATCTGGGGGACGGTGGAGAGCATGTGTTTTGAAATGGTATGGTGAGGGTTCTTTCTCTTACATGTGATACTTTGGTAACTTCTTGGCTGGGGTGGAGAATGGATAGGGAAGATATACTGCAACCAGGGCTAGGTATTCTTTCGAAAACATGATTGACAGTGATTGTTGTGTTAATCACATTGAATTAAAAATTAGACACTAAGTCTGTCTATATCTAAACTGTAGGTTCATACCGACTTCATCATCATGACATTATTGTTCATCCATGCAACTCTCTAGTTTACCCTTTTGAAATGACAACTTCGGATCATTGAATTGAGATTAAACTCAATGTATATATTGGATTTGAAACAATGAAACAACATCACTGTGCAGAACGAAATCCAATGTAAACAGAGAGATCTACAAACACCCCTCTCTAAAAGCCCTCTTATTTTTCTCCGGTTCCTCTCCCAACATATCCGGATACTTCCACCTAAACCCCCACTTAAACCACAACGCGAACTTCTTACCCGCACCCATCTCCTTCCACTGCGCCTTCAACCGTTCCTGTTCCTCCGCACTCTTCGCTTTATACGTGGGTCCTGTACAACACAGGAAAAGCATCAAGATACAACACCACGCATACGGAACTCCTCGTTTGCGATTCAACCCCAACATAATCCCCTTGAACGAAAGCCAGGATTCGAAAAGTCCAAGGAATAACCAAAGCACGACCCAGCCGACAGGAACACAGATGATGATCAGCAGAATTGCGTGGTCTCCGCACCAATACACATCACAGGTGTACGAATCGTAGTATGAAGAGCTACCTCTACCGCTCGAGGAGGAGTCGTAGCTGGGATATCTCCACGTGGGAGTGCAGGTTGCGGTCGAGAGAATGGTGGTGCATGTTGTTGTGGGGGTGTAGCAGTAACTCATTGAATATGGTTCGTAGTTTGCAGAAGCGCTGGCCAATGTATCGGCGGCCACATCGGTGGGATTGAGAATGGCGTTGACGTATGTTGCGGCGCTCACACTATCATCGTAGTATGTATATTTTGAAACAGAGGTCGTGAGAACCGAAGGCGCAATAAAGCTTGCGACGATCGTGGGGATGTAGATCGGAACGTTGGTCACATATGTCCAGTTCTGAGCGGTGCCCGTACAGCTGGGGTATGGGGTGTAGGTTATCGGAACCACGAAGCTGGTTTGGAGAGCAGTGGTTGTCGCATAGTAATCATAAGTGGAAGTCGGTCGAGAACCGCTACCAGGTGGAAGAACTACTTCGATAATGGTAACGTGTGCATAGGCGGATGTGTCAGTCAGCGTTTCGATAGCATTTGCGACGGGAGTCGCATTTGGAACGACCCCCCTGGTAATTGTTTCGACTTCGGCGGCGTAGATCGTACCGGAAAGTGTTTCGGCTTCCAGGTGGGTGTATACGGATAGTTCGACGTAGCTTGTGACGATGTAGGGTGCTGGTGCTGCGAGGATTGGGGCCAAGAAAAGGCAAGGGATGAGAAGAGACCTCATATTTGTGCGTTTGTATGATATGAAACTCGAATTAAACTTTTCTGTCGAGGTTGGTGAACAATGTTGAATAGCAGGTAACAGTGCATGCAAATTATTCTAATTTATTTTTGTGCGCTTGTGCAAAAACTTTTAACGAAAGACGAATGAAGATTCTAGTGAGAATGCGACAACAGCAATAGCGACAGTGACAACAACAACCAACAGCAACAAGAAAAATGACAACGACAAAACAATACCAAGCAGAAAAAATTGCGCGACAATAAGGATAAATACCAACTTATAGTACGTGAATCATTCACAACCTTAAATTAAGCATGAAATTAGCTATTGAATGTAACTCTCGGCGCATCCACTCCTGCCTTACAAACTCCCCTGCTGTGCCTCTTTCTATCATAAGACGGAGTGATAATTCTCCCTCTCATACTTGGCATTGTAACCGAGTGGGATTATTCGCGCAGAGATATTGAATGACCGATATCATCTTAGAGATGCAATTCGGAGCTTCGTGGAGATATAAATATACTTATACGAATCCCTAATCACTGATCCATCACATCGAAAAGAAAGTATTCACGATATCCAACTCTAGATCTCGAGAATACATATTTTCCAGAGAGATTTTTTTTGGATGTCTGGTGGAGAGTGTGCAGAGGGAAGCCTAAAAAGAGAAGATGGCAGTTCATGGATTCGGCTAGTCTGTCGGATATATATCCTAAAAGGGTGATCTGCCGATGCGATCTAGGCTTGTTTGTTTGCACGGCTGTGAAGGTGGTCGTGGTGAATTTTTTTTCGATAGCCCACTTATGGTGACTCGTTACGAGGTAGATGGTTTTGCAGGGGGTTGTATGGGAGGAGATTTCAGGAGAAGAGAGAGGATCTGATATAATAGGAAGATATCAATCATGAAGGATTTGAAGATTGAGAGAGTTTTAGATGAGCGGTTCTTGAATATTGGGTAGAACGGCTTAGCCATTAATCATTCATTTGCCAGTAAATATGAGAACATCTTAGATATGGTCGTTGGAATCCATGTAATCTTCACCCCGCTGTCATGGGCGGATAAATCGATATTCGAATTCATTCGACGTCCACCTGAGAAATCGAGACGACGTGTCAAGTAGTATTGCATATGCTTCGCGCATACTCCTAGGGCGCCGTGCTATCCCAAAAAATTCTTACCGCATTGGACTGTTACTTTTCGAAAAACATACATTAGCATAAAGAAAGACCTTTCTTGGAGAATCTTAGGGTGAGTAATAATTGCATTTTTTATCATTCTTCCCCATCCTGAAACTGCTTAGTCCGTTCATTCAATTGCATAATCTTACACAGCCAGAGATTCCCTTACAAGACATTCCAAAGACAAAATCCACCTTGGATATCAAGTCTCCAAACTCCACATTGCCTCAGAAACAGGTTTGTAGCATGTGATTGCCTTCGTCTCTTGCCCAGTACATTCTTCTGATTCGGTTTTTCCACTCGAGATTTCTACTCAAACTCTGTCCCTTGAGGATTCAATATCCCCCATCTACGTCCTTCTCATCAACTTCTGTCTCCTGACCCAAATCCATACAAATGTTAATATTAGTATCAACTTAGTGATTGAAATTATAAGTACTGAAATCTTAGATACATTATTGTAATTCTTGATATCGTTGAAACTAGGGAAAGCTAGCACTATGAACATGTCCATTGTCCCGACACTTAAGAGCCTCGGCATCGGCCATCTCGGATTCTGAGAAGTCCAGCTCAGACATAGAAATAACATCCATATCAGGTTCGACATCGAAGTCGCCCACAGAAGATTGACCGTCCAGCTGAGTCGGTTCAGTCGACATCTTCAGCGGTAGTCCCGCCGGTTTGAATTCGGATCGCCGTGTCTTGATATAAAAAGCGAAAGTGCCACCCGTTGCTTGAGAATCCGTATATCCAATACCGATTGCACCTCCCTGCAACTCCGCAAGCTCCCGACAGATGAACAATCCCAGACTAGAATCACCATACTGCGTGTGCGTGCTTAAAGATGTTTGAGAGAATTTCTTAAAGAGTATCTGCCTCTCGGCTTCACTTAATCCTTTGCCTGTATCGGTAATTGAGCAATGAAGGTATACTATCTCTCCTGTTCCCGACGCGTCTTTCAAAGTTGGGTCGTTTCGTGCTGTGCGAAGAGGTATGTATTGTATCTCTCGCCCAATCTCTTTGTGGTAAGGGGATCCTGTTGTGGCTCCAAGACGCACCACTACATTTCGAGTTTCGGATGATTTTGTGTATTCGTTGGCATTCGTAAGGAGATTGAGGAGTAGTTGTAGAAATCTTGAAGGGTCGAAGCAAAGCCATTGCGAATTCAAAGCTTCCATGGAGGGGTCCACCTCGAGTCGGATACTAATATCTAACTTGGATGTTTCTCCAGAGAGCATAGACATAGCTGTATCGACAACACGAATTGGCTCCGTTCGCGCTGGTGAAATTGAAAACAGATTGATGTCCAGTTTAGACATCATACGAGCGTCCTCCATCAGTTTTCGCTGATGTTCTCCACAAACTAGAATGATTTTGGCAATTTCGATATTGCGCCTTACACTAGTCTTAATCTCCCCATAACTCTTTGAATTGTCATCATGAAGGACGTTATCATGAGTATGAGAAAGAGCTTTGTTGATCTCATCAAGACTAGAGATCATGGTGTGTGCTGCTTGGACGGTGGCCAAAAGTGGGTTCATCAGCTCATGACTTGTCATGTTCATGAATTCTTCTCGTTCTTTCTTCTCCTTCAATGCTTCATTTAACCTCATTTCCTGTACTCGAGCAGCCCATTTAATATGTGTAATATCACTAAGACACCCAACGACATGCTCCACCTCTCCCTTATCGTTGAGCCGCGGGACAGCACTACATTCGCCCCATGTGTAGTAAACTTCATCATCTCCAAATAAGGCGGGATCTGGGACTTGAGGTCTCCAGAGTGTTTTGCACCTTCCTTCAAAGTGAACTGGACGTTTCTCGGATATAAGAGTGTGCCATTGTTCCAAAACAAATTCTCTGTCCTCATCAATCAAACAGTTGAGCCATCTTAGATCCGAATGTTCTTCTACTGTTCCACCGGTGATTCTTGTCCTTGACACAATCCATATTAGCTAATGATCTGAAGGCAAACGATTCGTCTCATCTAAAATACGAGGAGATATGAATGACTAGGCGGAACATACCAGGCCTCATTCGCGAATAATATGCTTCCATCTTTGGCATCAATAATAAACATGCCTATAGGAGATAATTGGCTGAAGTTGGAGATTACACTCGTCATATCTAAGAGCTGTTCCGAGATGGACTCTACGGCGGTAGAAGACCAATCTTTGCTACAAAAGAATCTGGCGAACGGCGTCTCAAAGGATAGAGAGGGTGTAGAATATAAGTGAGCAGCTACAGCTGAGTTATGTGAGCCGGGTGACCTCATAATGGAGGAGTGGTTTTGGCAATGAGAATTAGAATTCTGGTTCCAGATTCCAGTCGGAGGAAATCTATGCTGTGCATGTCTCGATTGAAGGTGCTTGCAATGAATGGCGTCGGCATCCTCTTGTACTGATTTCGAAAATGCCATCTCATGCCCGGAAACCACACACCACCGATCTCCTAATGAAACCTTAGACCATCTTTGATGCCGGAACCAATATTGATTGACTGCCTTGCTAGGCCGAGTATAAATCCATTTGACAAACGCACTTCCACTCTGACATGACTCTCCTGAAAGCCATGAAGCAATGTTTTTGAATTTCGCGTAAGTCTTGAAGGCATCATTCGTGAAGACTACGGGAAGTTGACAAATCTCGTTTCTTATCGACATATCAACAATGAAGGAGGGCCTGCTGTCTTGCCGGAGCAAATCAACCGCCCCAAGCTCTGCCAGAGCCAAATCTGTGCCTGCTGTCTCTTCATTATTGTTGTGCCTGATATTTCCCCCCACATGTTCGACAGCAAGAGAATGTCCCGATTCGCATTGAGTTGTCATCACTCTTATCTCCACACAATGGTGTTTGTTTTGATTATCTTTGTCGTAAACCGTAAAAGCTCTATTTTCAGCCGTTTCGTCTCCCTGAAATCAAGCTTGCCTCGAGATGATGATCTGCCAACAAAGTTCAGTAGACAATGCAGGAGAGTGATGATTGATTCGACGCAATATAGGTTTTTAGCTTTTAAAATATCGTTTGATCGAGATGGATACCTGAAATAGTAAAGTTTAATACTTACGACTTATTGTAAAGAAAAAAAATTAAGAATTTAATTGACTGAGTATGAAGCTCAAGATTTAAAGGACCCTTTTCCAGGATTGCACACATAGTTTCGATCATCGAATCAAATCTAGCCAAAAATTAAAGTCTATAAGTACTGTAGTTCTTTTTGGAATTGAAGAGTAATGAGGCACATTTTAGAGTTTCTCGTGATGTAAGTGTGTGGGACAATGCTAGGTAGTCCCGGGCGGTTACTCACTGATCATTGACTGGCGAGACTGGCAAAGCTTCTTGGGTTTAACAAGAAGTTTTTCTGGAAAACTTGATTCTCTAGCACAAGGTCTGAGAGTCAAGAGAATTTAAGAATATATCGGTTGTTGGAGATGTGGATATGCTATCGATCTCTCCGCTAAGGAATTTACTGTCGCATTGACAGTGAGCTAACCCTGTCTCGAGCTCGTAAACCAATGGTGTACTGAGTAAGAACCATCACTTGAAGATCATTTCTTGGTAACAGGGGCTTGATTATTTGAACTGCACAATCTTGACGAGCAAGAAAAGCTTGTCAGTGGCGACTTGGGGGAGCTTACTCGAAATCTCCACATGGATAGATCGATGGGCGGATGGGACAATCCACAACTTTGGACCCTTGATACAGTAGGCATTAGGAAAGTGGCAAAGGGAACATGCAGATGTGGTTTATTTGCACCAAATTAAGTGCTCTTGTGGAAGTCCAAGCATTGAAAGATTTGTTGAAGCATATATCCCCTAGACTGCCAAATCATGGCGCTTTCGGTTAATAGGACCTTATTGACCAATTAGATCGTCAGAGTTTCTGAAATCTGACCAGCTATTCACATTCAATCTCTATTATAAAATCCAAATAATATAATTTCTATTTCAAAAATTTCAATACCGCAATACATATTGATTCCAAATAGATCTCTCTTTTATAATTTTCAAAAAATCAAAATTTGAATTCAAGATTCTATTTTATAAAAAGAGTAAATGAAAAAGCAACAAAATAGTCAATTCAACCAATCTAACCAATCAGACTTCTTCATTCGAGGTATATTGCACAAACCATATGGGAGCCATGAGTCGGCAGTCTAGGGGATAGAATACGAAAAATCGATACATCATAACATCGCATACATACCTAGAGAGGTGGCTAGAACAAACGTAGACCAAGTTTAAGTCTTGGCTAGCTTTGCTTGTTGGATGATCCATGGATTCACGTGATGTTATATTTCCATATTCCTTCCCTACGTTTTGTCATGTGCTGTCTAACATTATTACCATCACGACAAACATCAATACCAACACCAACGATCACAGTTTATGTTGCGAATCCTCCTCTGTTATGGTATATAAAATATCTAGGTATCTATAGATTATAGATTATCTTGTATCTTGTCCAATAATGTACAACGTTCGGGGTCACCGTTTTCAAAGCTGGGGAAGTGAGCAGATCTAAGCAGACTCAAGTAGAATACCTTCTTCTTAACAATAATCCTTCGGAGAATTCTATGATTGAATCCTATGAACTATGTACAGTGTACACTGTGGTGGAATGGTATGAATCAAGCCACCTAAGGCGATCGCTATTCCAATCATGATTTCCGTTTCAATTTAACATATCTTGTTCGATTTTGTTATCAACATCCAGGATGCTGGATAATGGAGGACTGTGATTACTCGCAAAAGTGGCCGTGATCATGGCCAGCCCGATGATGTTATAAGTACAACTCTCATCTGGTAGCTTCAAGAAGCTTGCCATGTCAAACCATCAATATGCGTGTACACCCGTGCAAGACTCATATCTTCCAAAACTCCGATCAAACTTTTATACCGGCCTGGAACGGCGACTTTAATTCGTCATCATTCGATATTTCCCCACGCGAATCTTTCTTCTCAAGAGGCGGCGTTGTTGAAGCCAATGCCAAGCAGATAAGCCTAGGTATATCGGTCATCTATCTTATTTTTGGGTCAGACTATAAGTTCTGTGGCACGCGAGTAATAGTGTTGGGGTATGCGGTCATCTAAACGACCTCTGGATCGAAGCTTTTGTAGGATCCCGTTGGATACCCGCGTTTGTGCGTGATCCGCTTCCACAAATTCTAATGCTCCAAAGGATTACAACCACTTGATTATTCAGACTTTGAAGCTCTTAGGTTGACAATGCATTGACAGAAATTCGAACTGTCAGGCATTTGGTTTAATGCTATTGGAGTATTGAAATTAATCGATTCACTTGGAGCAACCTACTATCTGTCAGCTATTTGACCAAGCTTACGACCTTCTTTTTGCCGTGTTTTCCATTTCTTTCGCGTCTACCGCGCCAGATAATTCCCTGGTAGTCTTCTGTCAATTTCTTTTTGCCGGCGAAAGGGTTTAGGCACAAACCCATGCTTTTCATCGTACTACAGCCGCCTCATACCGCGCTTGTGGTCTCTTTTGCGGTCATCGGTGGTCGAGTATCTCCCCTCCCCGAGGACAACTTTTGTGTGAGCAAAGATCGTACTCAAGTCTTTTTTTGCTGCTATGCCTTAATTGGTGTGAAAATTTCATAGCGCTTCTTATGAAAGCCTTGTTGGATGCTTGTTGCAAAGCGGGTAAGGCTGAGCATGACTTGCATATAAGCTACCATTCCAAAAATTATCTTACGATCATCCAACCTCAAACACTCAACTCATAGCAATCCGATTGCACTCTCCACATTTTTGACTTTATCATCCCCATAATATTCTTTACTGTTCGCTCGAACGGTACCCACAAAGTTGGCGAGTAAATTGATGAGTAGTTTCTTGTATAGACGACGCAAATTAAAAATATGAAGCCCATCAAGCCATCCAATATTTCCTACTCTTGTTCTTCTGCAAACTTTTCTTCATCCACTTCAGATCCATCATCTAATATCTCCATCCCCCCACAATATATGCAAACAATGCATTAAATAACAATAACTTTACTCCACCGACTCTCCCCAGCATTTCCACTATCCTCCAACAACCTCTTCTTCCATTACCAATAACAAGCACAAGAACCCACAACCCCATCACACGACTTTCAACCAGAAACCCCGCTTCCAGCGCCGCAGTAGTATCAAACACCTCTACCACCACAAGAGGTCTAGTATCAACCCAAAGAACCAAGATCATCAAAACATTCGTCTCCCCAAAAGGCTGCACCAAAATCATCCTGATGATCACCATCACTACAATGCAAGAACCATTTTTCGACAAGGAAAAGAACTCCTGGGTTATGCGACGCACGACTGAAATACGAAAAGTGATGGTGAGAAAGCGATTACGTCCGGATTCCAACGATAAGAAAAATGGTATCGTGAAACGCAATGCGAGAGGAAAGAGAAGAAAGGGAAGAAGGGGGTCAAAGAGGAGAGACTTCGATTCAATGTGAATATTACTCGATATTACATTATCTCCTCCTGTGACACCAGATGAGGGGAGATTGCACATACATTACATGACTTTGAGATAACTTGTATATATGGGTGAGGGCATGGTGGGATATGGTATGGGGGTTGGGTATGGCATGGCATGGCATGGCGGGACTGGCACGGGGCACACAAAAGGATTGGTTGGACGGATGCATTGGTAGGACAAGGACAAGGACAAGGAAAAGGGACATACCACGGCGTCGCATAGCATAGGATAGCATAACGTTGGAACTTGGGGATAAAAAAGGGATGGTGTTGAGGCGTAATTTTATTTTGATTTATGTTCCATTGTTTGACTTGATGAGTTTCGATGCTGTCTCAGTATTGATAAATACGCTTCTATGTGTAGAATCTGTTCAATGATAGTGTTTTGTTTAAGAACTTCAGACAGATCACGTTAAGATAGTTAGACTTTATATCGCGAAACATCCGTACATATTTCACGACACTATACCGCATTAAGGTTACTATTTAGCTATGCGCCAATTCCCTTCATTCAACCGCTCACTTAAAATCTCCAATCTCAACGCAAACAACAACGACACTAAAACACCCACCCACAAAAGAAAAACAAGAGAACAAAAATCTCAAATGAATGTCCATCCATATATCATTCCATGTATACCATTTCCCAATCATCTCCCTCCCCTCGTCCCCCATTTCGTTCCAGCCTTAAGCACCCCCATCAACCCACTCGATCACCAATTTCACCTCTTGACAATTCGCAGGTAGCCCTTGTGTCCCATTAATATACGCACGAACTGGACTTCCTTCCAAAAACGCATCGGGTTGGCTTTGTGTCGCGTCTGGGTTCGCGGATCCATAGGTTGAAGGAATGGAAGATGATGTTTGAGCGCAGAAACGGGCTTGGTTATCTAAATTTGGGGAAGTGATGTTAGTGCGTATTATTTACTCGTCATACCACTCAACTAATCATCAAAAAGAAAGAAAGAAAGAAAGAAAGAAAGATCAAAGATGCCTCAATCCATCAAAACGAAGTGAAAAAGAGATAAAGAAAACATACCATTTCCAATAAACTCCCCATTTCTCAACTTCAACAAACTCCCATACGGATACTCACTCGTTGAATCCACCACCAACGTCCCGTTTAAATCCTTACCCTGCATATCCCTCAACCTATTCCGCGTCTGTAAAACCGTATACCCAGAATCCCACGCGCGAGCGAATTCATCTCCGAAATATCTCGTTTTTGCATCTTCGGTGTTGTTATCGGCATTTCCGGTACGAGAATGAGAGTTGGAAGATGAAGAACCGGAACAGGAAAGTAAGCCGGATGAGGAGATGGAAAATAAGCATGCAGAAGTACGAGAATTGGTTGTGAGACCCCGGGATGATATGAAGGGGGAGGGGGGAGAGAGGTTGAAGTATACGCGCATGATGTATGTGAGGAGAGAGTAGCGGGAGGGAAGGAGTGAGAGTCGGAAGGAGGGGGGGTTGGGATCGGTTGGAGATGTTGGGATGGCTGGGGTGGAGGGTGATGTGAAAGTGGGTGATGATGGCGCTGAACCGGGATTGTAGCCGTAATAGCCTCCACTGGCTGGTGGTGTTGGAGGGGGGTTGTTTGAGTTAAAGGGTGAAGAAGAAGAGGGATTGGTTCCAGAGGGGAAGCTGGATGGATTGTTTAGCCCGCTTGAGATTGTGGGTGGAGACGGATCACTGTTAGTTGTGCTTGGTGAAGATGGATCTCCATTAGAAGTAGTTGGCGAGGAAGAATCTCCACCCGTTGTACTTGGTGATGAGAGATCTCCACCAGAAGTACTCGGGTTCGGAGGGTCGCCTCCAGAAGTGCTAGGCGCTCCAATCGACTGGCTGCTCGAAGAAACCGCTCCCGTAGCTGAAGAAGATACCGAAACACCACCACTTCCCGATGGATCACTGGGATCGCCTCCATTTCCAGTCGGTGTGGGTGTGCTAGAGGGGTAATAAGTACCATATCCATGTCCATATCCATAACTTGGTCCATTATCATTTCCACCAGGAGGCGTGCTTGATGCTCCAGATGGGTCTGAAGAATATGTGCTGGAAGCTGCTCCGGTGGGATCCACACCTCCTGCTGGATCTGTGGGGACTGGAGAACTGCTAGAAGGGAATGAACCTGGGATAGTTGATGATGATCCAGAAGTCCCGGATGGGTCTACACTTGTGTTGGTTGAAGAGGCTGATCCTGGATCTACGGGAGTTGAACCGCCTGACGGGAAAGAACCACCACTTATTGGAGAACTTGGATCAGTGGGCGAAGATCCAGAACCACCGGGTGGATCTGCACTCAAACTAGTTGAAGAAGCCGATCCTGGATCAGTTGGAGTGCTGGATGCAATTCCAGATGGATCTGCACTGATGCTGGTCGAAGGTGCTGACCCTGGATCCGTAGGTGTGCTAGAACCAGCTCCTGAAGGGAAAGATCCACTACTTATCGGGGAACTAGGATCAGTAGGTACAGATCCAGAACTATCTGATGGATCTACACTGATATTAGTTGAAGAAGCTGACCCTGGATCAGTTGGAGTGCTGGATACAGTTTCCGATGGATCTCCAGCACCTGAAGTTGGTGATCCGGGAGGAACAATTGGGTTTGACGGCGTTGGATATCCATAGTATGATGGACCACTTCCAACACTCCCTGGATCCGTGGGCGCTGCTGAAGAAGCTGGAATAGGTGGTCCGCAAGGAGGTAGTGCTGTAGATATACCGGATGGGTTGCCGGTAAGACTTATCTGTGTTGGTCCATTGGCTGTTACTGAGCCCGTGATTGATGATGATGAATTATAGAGAGTCGATAATGCGGTACAATTGTCAACTTGTGATCTATTGATTTCTGTGCCAAAATTAGCCTTCTGGTTTTGTGCTTTGAAGCAACCCAAAGAATTCTTCGCTGGTTGATAGTATTGACTGAAAGCATCGAAAATTTTATCATCATATATATGGAATCGAAGGTTCAACCCCCTTTCAACATGGGTAGGTCATTTCGTGAATATTGAAGCATCACTCCCGCCCCTTTTTCGTTCAGCCCGAAAGGAACACAACAACACTAGCACTAGAAGAAGATTAAGGAAGAACCTACCAATAGCAACAGAAACCCCGTTTTCTCCACAATCTGCAGCTATACAATAAACAGTAGCAGCCTGAATAATCTCCGCATTGCTTTTCTCACACTGACAAGTAAAGTTGGTGAGTCCACAAGAAGTGGACCCAATAGCATTCTGAATGCAACTATCTGCACAAGCAGGGATAACAAATGTGGCATTTGGTGACGCATTTGGTACCGAGGAGGGAACAGCCGAAGAAACCGAGCCCGCAACTGAAGATGGAACTGCAGATGGGGGACTAGAATCAATGGGAGTAGTAGTAGGGACAGATGACGGAACTGCCGATATGCTAACAGGAACCGAAGTTGGGACTGCAGATGCTATTACTGAAGGGGCCGCTGAGGAAGGGGCCGCATTAGCATTCCCAGCCGCAATTACAGAAGAACATTCTGCAGTAGCATCATCCAGGACCTCTGTACAATATTAGTCTGAGCTTTCAATTGTATTCATTTTGCATAAGAGGAATACTAACGAAGAGCTTCCTGGATTCCACAAGCCTGAAGCACGCAGCTTGTGGCTACTCCTTGGATCAAATTAGCATTGTCAGGATTACACTGACACGCTAGATCCGTGGCACCACAACTTGTTTCTGCGGATACTGCTGATGCAATACATGGAATTGCACATGATGGGATCGATGGGACTGGAGCTATTACTGGGCTAGGATCATCGCGGTTAAGTAATTGAGCGGGAATTCTGAAGAATTACTGTATCAGCTGTTCTGTTTGACTGAATTGCAAAAGGGAACTTACAATGCAGAGTTGACACATACGAATAGAGAAAGTAAAGTAACGAATGTCTGAACCATCTTGGCTTATCTGGTAAGCTTGAGATGGACAATGAAGACAAGAAATGAGAAAGAGAAAAGAAAAGAAAGTTGCTCTTATCACATACTAGTTCGGTGGGTATGGTAGTTATATATATTCTTCCATAACACACACTCTCTCTCATAAAAGGCTACCAAGTTACAAATACAAATTTCCTCATTATCACTTAAAGATGCATGATCTTCTGTGACGCACTTATTGTAACTTCGTCCCATCTCTCCACGAGGATTGACAATGTTTATAAATTAAGAAATATAAGCAAAAAGAAATCAATCTCCGACGACGTAACTAGTTCCTGGCCAGAAGATCTTCGATAACGGATGAAAGACCCTCAAAAACTCCCCTCATTGGCTCCAAAGCCATGTTGCGAAGCCATGGTATCACGTGGTGATGTCCGACATATATGTTCCAGGCACAAACGTGTGACGGAACAATAGGACAAACTTCTATCACCCCGCACAGCTAGTGATATATGATGATGTTTACATCGAAGTTATACCTCCATTGTACAAATAGCTATAAACCCTACAATGATCTGCCTCTTTCAGACTCTGCTGTAGCCATTGTATACTGCTCATTCTCTAGAGTTTGTAACATATGTTCTCGCTCAGCAATAACAGCGTCAAACCATCGGACCTCGGCGACCTTATTTCTTGCCCACTCTCTCCACTCATCGCGCATTTTCAACCTGAAATTGGCATCATCCAAAATTTGAGACCTTATCAGAGATGAATTTTTTAACTCGAAATTCTTAGTGCACTCTTGTAGAGCGATTTTCCTGTTAAAGTCCCAGTTTCTGAACGCTACAATATAACCTTCCTGGTGTGAATCTTTTGCAGCTCGAATAATATATGCAGCATCCGGTTTGTCTTTCCAGAAGGTTTCAAGCTTCTCCGTATTTTCCTTCTCAGCACGGATCTCCTCTTCCCGACGTTGATCGTATTCATTTTGGAAACGAAGCTCTTGGTTCGAGTATTCTGTTTTGTATTCTTTCTTTAACTGGTCACATTGGCTTACATGACATTTGAGTAGCTTGTAGAACCCATTTCCTCGTTCTTGTAACATTCGAAATTCCTCCTGCGAGCGAGTTGCAAGACGTGATTTTTGTGAATGATGTAACGCATTTAGCTCTTCTCTTATTTCGATGAATTTAGAAGCCATATCCTCTCGGCGACCCCGAACGGCTTCTTCAAATTGAAAAACACTTTCGGCTTCTCTTCCTAATCCGTCGGCCTCTCGTCGTTCGAAATCCTCGACCATTTGAATAGCAATGCGTTCTTCTTCTGCCGCTTTTCTAATTCTTACAGCCTCCCGCCTGATTTGTTCCTCTTCTTGCCTAGTTTTTGTTTCCTGTAACTGCGTTTCTCGAGCAGCAGCTTCTTGTCTTAGTTGCAAGTTTAGCACTAACTTATCAAGATCAAATTCTGTACATCCACAGGTCTTCCATTTCGCAGAACAAACGTAACACCATTCGGCTTTACAACGGCATTTCATATGCCTACAGCCTTTGTTAAGTTCGATGAAAATTCTGCAATTATAACATTGCTTCCAGCCTCTCTCATCTGCTAAACTGGCTGTAGCTTGAATATCTTTGTCCTGAGGGCACTCCATATTTGCATGCCATGAACCTCTGCAAGTGACACACACCTTTCCTTTGCAAGAAGGACAAGATGCACATTTGCGACCTTTGTCGATACAACTGTTGGGAATCCAACTTTCACATCTTGGCTTAATACAATAGATTCGGTCTCCTGAAGCGATCTTTCGCTCGCAAACCTTCAGTTGAAATTCTTTTGCCAGGTTTGGGTTGACATTTTTTACAATGGCCTTATGTGATATATCGTTGAGACAGCACTTAACCGGCCACATCGACTCTGTTTCCATGGCAGTACTGTATTGTGTTAAATAATCCTTGATACGTATCTTGGAAACAACTTACATGACTAGTCTTTCGAAACAATCTTTGCAATAGTCGTGGCACTGCACATGAACCATGTCGCTCACTGGAAAATCATCCAAACATGAGACACATTCTCTATTTAATCGGTTAGCAAGATTTCTTTCTGATTTCGAGGTTCGTACCTGAGAGGCTCCGCAACTACAGATTTGCCCTTATGTTGTCTCTTCTTAAGCATCTTAATAAACCTAGCAAGGGGGGTCAATTTGCTACATCCCTGACGAGGAAGCCTTGAACTCGACCCTGAATGATATTTTTCGGCAGCAGAAATATACCCAGAATCAGACGTAGTGCTAGTCTCCTTCAACAGTTGGCTGTTTACTCGAGACGGTTGATTTTCCTCAATAATCGAAGTGTCTTTGTCTCTTGCAATTGTCTGCATGTTACGGTCAATAACATGCTTTAACGTAATAAAGTAAGTTACTTACTTCAAGTTTTGATCTGGATGGACCTGCTACAGTGACACTGGATGAACTGGATGCTTGAGATTTCTTGCTGATAGTTAATATACTGGTCGTCTTGTTTGATTGAGATGCGGCTTCGAGAAATCCCAACTTTTTGCGCGACGCAGCTTCACCTATAGATCTTGTGATTATTGTAGAGAGTTGCGGAATACCCCATTTGGAGCCATTGAAACCTTCAATCCCAGATAAGATTTCTGCCGGCGGGCTATATTCTTGCCAATTAATATTGTTCATTAAAATATTAGATGTAAAAGTCAAAGGTTCATTAAACTTAGAATATAAGACTTCGTGGAAGTGGCGTGGCTCCGCTCGATATAACATGCCATCAGGATTTACATTCGAGGCAGATAGTTCTCGTATACTAACCTGCATTTTGTTGATAACTATTTGTAGGTTTGACATTGGTACGTTTTCCATATTTGCTTGAGGATTTCCAAACGAAATATTCAGGAGCGCTATATTTGTCTTAATAGCTTGGTGGCAGAAGCTGATTGTAGTGAATGAAATCGAGCACATATTCCTTGGCGAATGTTATGGCTGACAAGAGATCAATGGAAGGTTGATGCTTAGAATGAACTGAAGTGGCATTCTATAAGATATATGTAAGTTCAGAGGCCATACGTTGACGATTTGTTCTATTCCTTTCCCCATACTCATAGAATGCACTAGGAGGCTGCTGGAGTGAGTTTGGAAGCTATCCATAGAAGAATTAGAATCGTTAATTGCTGTAGCTCATTGATCCACCAAATGCCAAGAGCCAATCTAAATCATGAATCATACCCTGGAAAGTTGGGTAAGGCCAATCAAAGTACTTTTTAGCAATGCATTCGAATTTTAAGTTTTGATGTACTTCGCCCTTATATTTGCGGCTAGGCTTTCCTCACTTCATGGCAAGGCGCATGAATATTTGTGTGTGCAATTTGCTGGGAGATATCGCGCTTGCCTACTCCAAGGCTGCTCAGCCTCCCACAATGAAACATATTTTTCAATCGACAGGCTTCACCAATAGTGAGGTAAATTGGCATACTGGAACACACTGCAAACCTTTCAGTAATGTAGGAATAGACGAAATATCAAAATTCCAATGTATCAAAGCTAAGGAGGTCATAAAATTCCAGTGTGCTGTTGTGACTTCGAGTTGAGACTAGAAGAACTAAGTGAAATGGTGACGTGCGTTAGTGCAATCCTGGGGTAATTTTTCGTCTTTCATGCAACAAAGTTGCTCTATCCTCCCAGCAAAAGACCACCTGCACATAATAGTATTTGGTATGCACAGAGATAAGATATCTTTAGTCTAGTAATGGTTGCTCGTCTATCCTTTTCGGGTTAAATCATACATCAGACGCCTTCCGTTAGACCTCAAAGCCATAAGCAGAGAAGACCCATCAAACATGCCAACATTCACCTTGTGGATCCATGACAATCAATATGTTCACATGTGTAAGTCTCAAGAGGAATAGATGATCGGCCATATCGGTATATTTTACTCTGGATAGTATCGCCTTCTCGAGTCCCTGGGCATATCCAAAGTCGAGGGATAGAAGTAACGGCTAGGTCATCAATCTTATAAGAGATCCTATACTTAGTTCTCTGAACTGGAACTTGAGATTTTGATCTCCTTAGGCATCAAGATCACAATTTCTCCGTCAGCGTCTTTCCAGCACGCATCCCCGTATTTCAGCTTATTTTCACTAGCACAAAAAAGCATGAGGTATATTTCTTTGACAACCCCACCCCAACAGTAAACTCTTACAGTGTTCCAATCATTGGTACGTTCAGCTGATATTCCCCATCCCAAATCGCCTTTCGGAATGACCCGAAGAAGGTAAGACCAAAGCCTTTTCTTGAGAAGATCCCCGAGATCTTCTGCGTGAATAAGCCAATATCCGCGCTCCAAAGGGCGACAGGGCCGAGTCTGGAAAGTAGGATTGAAATGTTTCTTTTGCAATCCATTGAAATTCCCGCGGTTTGCTTTAATCTTTTTCAATGAAGGTGTTAGAATATCTGTCTCCTTGAAATCACCGACAGAAGTGGGGGGCGTAAAAGATGGAATTGTGCATGTTGCTAGGGATGCTGCAGATGGCAAGCTCGACATTGGAGGAACGGAACTTGAAGGAACAGAGCTTGGAACACCAGAAGCTTTTGGTGCCTCGAGAGCTGTAGATGTGGGAGGTCTTTGAGGGGCGGGAAGAGACGCTGACGACGTTTCAGCCGTGGTATCTGATATCACCAATTTTAACCTTTTGGGACTCTTGTCCAATGACGATGGAAAATCGAGTCGCTGACGCTTGCCGTGCACATGTTGGGGCAGCGAGCTAGATGGTTCTGGAATCTCACGTGCATTGGATGTTGATCCCTTCTTTGAAAATCCAGTCGGATTCACTTCTTCATGCGTGAACTCTGCTGCCTCTTCCATCTCTGTAGCTTGACTTGCGCGTCGACTTGAAGTATTTGCGGCCTGCCCTGAAGCCTGCGTATTATTGAACCTGTCAGAATTTATCACATCGAGATCATCTTCATCAGAAGTCGCAATTGGAAGTGCGTTAACATGCTGATACCCAGCCTTAGGCCGTCGATAGGGAGGGGAAATCGTTTGCAAAGGCCGGGGTGGTAGCGAAATGGCAGCGTCAAAATCGGGATGAGCGTTGCCATTCTGAGAGCTAGTGATTGGTATTGCTAGTGGCACCTCAAGATTCAAGCTACTCTCATCCGTATACTGTGATATCTCATTCGCGTCAGCACTGTCTTGTGTGCTCTCCTCTTGTTGCTGATGTAGCTCCGAGATCCTCCTCGGGGATGAAAATTGAGCAAGTATTCTATCATTCTCGAGCATGGAATCCTCAATTACACTGGATTCTCTTTTCGATGCTGGCAATGAATCCATGAATTGATCCCGCCATGGCGTTTTGTCTCCAGAACTTGTTCCCAATTCAAGATGACTTTGCTCCGGTGTTTCGCTTCCAGACTGTACTTGCAAACTCATCAAAGTCCTGCTTCGAGTTCGAAACATTGGGGAATTTCGATTATCCAAAACACTTCGAAAAGACAGTTGCGGCGAAAACATCAGGTCAGATAATTCCTCCTGAGGAATTTCACGGTACGCCCCTGGATTCGTCTCTGGTTCTTGGGTTGGTAGGCAATAAGATGCATTTTCATCGTATTCCTGCGTCAAGTGTTGCGCCCCTTCAATTAGGCCCTCCCGTTCTGCCCCGTTTCCAGTATCTTCTTGAGGATCATCTTGTAATTGTAGGCTTGTTGCTGATTCGAAATTTAAATAGGCTCTTGCAAATGCCCGGTATCTAGTATCATCTTGGCCTCGACTTGGTGCCGATGTGTGAACCAAGATCTCTACGTTTTCTCTTAATGTGTGAGCCATTGTAATCGTAAGTATGTATCTTGTGCATTTTCTTTGATCGTAAATCTGTAGGTCTTAAGAAGTGATGTGAGAGACAGAGAGATAGGATTTTGGATTCATCCTTTCCTAAAATCATTGATGGTATGGCAGACAGACGCCCCGACCACCTAGCCTAGGCTGTAGCCTGAGGCTGTAACTGCTAGGAACTTTGAACGCAATGGAAGTCCAGGCCATTTCGAACAAAACAACACCATAAATTCATTTCATTGCAAATGCACCAACATCAAAGGATATCATTATTGGTACACCTCTAGATGAAATGATCCAGTTCTTGTTAGTATTTGCACTCTCTTGGTACACAAGTTACTCAACAAAGTTTGTTGAAGCTTCACCAGGTTTTGGCAGTGTTTACACAAAGGCCTTTTGTGTCCATGAAAGTAGCACTGTCATTTGAAATGAATTGTTGCTTTTTATTCAGTCATTTGTCATGGAGTTTGTCATGGATTTGATTTATCAAATTGTTTCTGCTTATATACCTAGTGATTTGCAACCAAAGTACAAAGTCTAAAGGACTCATAGTTGCTAGGGATAATCTGTAGTGAAAGCTACCCCTAATCATCTGGTTGGTAACTTTTCTTCATCATTTCGTCCATCATTTCGTCCATCACAGCATGTACAACTTTCTGATTAGGCAAAAGGACTAAATGATACCAGGCGGCTTCCTATTTGAACGGCAGAAAAAGTACTGGTGCTTAACATTCTCCACTAATTAATCCTAGTCAGATATTGAATATATGCAGTGAGATCAAACTGTTGGTTAATTGCCCGTTGGTGCCTTTAGACAAAGACCATTAATATGTCTTCATGGAAATACCTTTTACTTTCAATAAATACCGAAACTTAGGGATTGATTTCTGCGGCTTCTGGATCTTACAATCATACAGCTTCTGTTCTTGGACTGATACATCACAAGTAACTTGAATTCCATATATCACAAGGTAATTAATTGCCATATAAATCTGAGCTACAAAGATATTGAAGAGAGACCAATCAAACAAATTTACTAACTTCACTCCAACACAGTAAACCACCAGTATGCCTCCTTTAATACTCAGTGCCTTCCAAACCCGCAAACCAGGCCTTACTCCTGCTGAATTCAAATCGTACTACGAAACCATTCATCTACCTCTGCTTATCTCGCTACAAGGTTCCTCCTTCCCCAAAAGCCACACCCGTAACTACGTTATCCGCACTGTATGCGATGCTTCATCCTCCGACACATCAAACTTGAACTATCCAGCCAGTGTGTATTATGGCACGGATCATCAAGATATCGATTACGATGTATACAGTGAGATGATTTTTGAAGATGAGAAAGCATTTAAGGCTTTTGAGAAAGTGATGTTGGATCCGGTTTCGGGGAAGATATTGGTTGAAGATCAGCAGAAGTTTCAAGGGCCAGGAGGTCTTAAGGTCGTGGGTCTTGAGGTTTCAGAAGCCACGTTGAGACCTTCTAAATAGCTAGATATTAGCCATGAGAAAATGGCTAGGCTGATTGAAATGCATTGGGACAAGAGAGCATCTAATCTATGTCACCTTTCATTACTTTGATCTGGTTGTCAGGTAGATAGATGAAGAATAGTCACTTAACTCGATTGGCAGTCTACGATGAACATGTACCTAGTGTGTATCTGAAATGTGAAGGTATGAAAGTAATTAGATGAGAAATTCAGACTGTCTTCCCTGAATATGATTTTCTGAATTTGACTTTGATTTTAAAGGTTGAACGCATAATTCAGTCAGGGTTGTGAATGGCATTTTATATCAGATCATATCGAGTTTGATGGAAGTATTGAAGAATTAGTTCAATAACTACAGACCTTGATAAAGGGGCTCCGACCAGATCAAACGAGTCTTTTTTCACCAGCGGTCACGTGCAAGGTAAACATAGACTTTTGACTTAAATTCAAGGCACCATCTGCTATCGCGAACTTTTGCCCCGCTAAGATTTTCCTCCACAAATCGAAATATTCAACGAATTCATTGTTGGAGGTTTGAACGTTTCCTCCCTTCCCGCATATCTCAACGTTAATCTTCCGCCGCAATCATGGCACCTATTTCACTCTCAGATATCATCTCTGCGCTTCCATCAGAGGACTCATGGGGACCATCGACCACATCAGAAACCACTTTAAATGGAGTTCCTTACGCCCCATACTCCAAAGGCGATAAATTAGGTCGCATGGCAGATTGGACCGCTGAAGGAAAAGATGGAAGAGATGGCAGAGGTGGAAGACAACAGTATAACCGAAACTACAGAGGTGCGATTTTTACCTCGAGATTTATTTGCTATATATTTGCGATATTCTTTACACGCACTGGAGAAAGTTGGGTATGGTATGATTTCTTTGTGCTAACATATTTTGTGCATCAGATCAACAAGTTTACGGCGCTGGAACCTCCTCATTATTCGCAGTTCAACTCGCCGAGGACGAATCTACCTTCTCTGTTGTCAGCAACACTCGCGATTCTACCAAGACCCGCTTTGGACGTGGAGGACTCGCTCGAGGACGTGGACAACGTGGCGGAAGAGGTGATACCCGTGGTGGTAGAGGTCAATTCCAGCGAGTTGGAGGACGAGGCGGGCAACAAGGCTACAACAGTTATGATACCCGCGGTGGAAGAGGTGGTGCTCGAGGTGGAAGAAAGTTTGGCTGGAAAGATTACGACAAGCCACAAAGAAATCGCGATGCTTCTGTCAACATTAAGCCTGACTGGAAAATGTTGGAAGAGATTGATTTCAACCGTCTGGCCAAGCTCAATCTTGATACCGATGATGGAGAAGATATTGACAGTTATGGTTTCCTTTACTACTATGATCGATCATTCGACAAACAACCTGTCAAGGCTGCCGAGAGAAAGCTCAACGTGGTCGACCGCGCTTCATACAACGTTACCACATCTTCCGATCCCGTCATTCAAGAACTCGCCGAGAAGGACGAGGCCACAATTTTCGCAACAGACAGCATTCTTTCCATGCTTATGTGCTCCCCCCGTTCAGTTTACCCTTGGGATATCGTTATCGTTCGACAAGGCAACAAAGTGTTCCTCGACAAGAGAGACAATGCTACACTCGACATGGTTACCGTTAATGAGAATGCTGCTGACGCTCCAATGGATGCTTCAGAAGGTAGCAAGGACGCTATTAACCAGCCAAGTGCTTTGGCTGAGGAAGCTACATACATCAACCACAACTTCGCAAATCAAGTCATGAAGGAGAGCGACAGCCAAAAGGTAGACATGGAGAACGAGAACCCATTCTATAACTCCGCCGAAGAGACCGATCCACCTGCCAGTAAGGCATACAAATACCGTAAATTTGATCTTTCTTTGAACGACGAAGATCCAGTTCACTTGGTTGTAAGAACCGAGCTTGACGCTGTTTCAAAGAACGCTATCAGTGGAGAAGATCAATTCTTGACTGTCAAGGCTCTCAACGAATTCGATTCCAAGGCACAAGGAAGTGGAGGTGCATTGGACTGGAGGACGAAGTTGGTCAGTCAACGTGGTGCTGTTGTTGCAACTGAAATGAAGAACAATAGTTGCAAGCTTGCAAGATGGACAGTTCAAAGTATCATCGCTAAGGCTGATGTCATGAAACTTGGGTATGTATTTGTTACGCCTGCGGTCACTATTTCATACTAATTTTTGATAGATTTGTTTCCCGTGCCAACCCAAAACTCAACGATCGTCATGTAGTTCTCGGCGTTATTGGCTGGAAGCCACGTGATTTTGCTTCGCAAATGAACTTGTCCCTATCCAATGGATGGGGTATTGTCCGTACCATTGTTGATATGTGCTTGAAGCGTGAAGAGGGCAAGTACGTACTTGTCAAAGATCCTAACAAGCCAATCTTGAGACTGTACCAAGTCCCAGCTGGTAGTTTTGAGGATGATGGAGAGCATGATGTAATTGAGGAGAATGTTGAGGAGGATGATTAGATTATATGTGGTTGCATAAAAAGTATCCAGCGTGCAATGGTTCTGGGCTGGGCTGGGCTGGGCCTCATGGAGTTATGATAATGCGCATATATCGTAGATAACCGATATCACATATGCTATATTTGATGAGTTCGAGAGAACCTTTTACCTTCATACCCTCCCTCCCATAGATTGTAATCTGATCATTTCGCTCGAGACCAGGTTGACTGAATTTGCGAGTAAACGATTACAAAGAGTGTTATGCTGATATTCAGGTCGATTCCCCTTTGTTACGCGGTGCGGTTAGACTAAACCTATTACAGTCATTGGTATAGCCAATCAGATGAAGTTTGATTTCAAAGCTTGATTGCCAATGCCTTCAATATCAATCTCACCTCATCAGTCAACTACCCTATTTTCTGACTACCCCTGTTTTTGGCTACCTCTCATTGTCCAAAACCGTTGAAAATCGAGATGATGAAGTCAATATAGTTCCATGATTCCAATGTATTATAGTGCCGAGGTGTTAGCGCAAGCACGGTCACATGACCTTATACCGACAGGTGTTTTTGCGGAAACGTTGAAATTTAAGGTTTTGAAAAGACGTTGTGAATCGAGTGTGGTGGATCAATATACATTTTCGACACGTTTCAATTCTCAAGTGCAGATTCCCATCCTTTTTGATCTGATTATCCTCCAGTTTAAATTGTTGTACTGGATGTTGGTTGGTTAGTGATCAATGATCAGTGAACAATCGCAGCCGAGGACATGAGAACCAGGTCCGACGTCGTTATGTTGCTTTATAAGAATTCGGCGATTGCTTTGTAAGATGTCTGATAAGAATTGATTGATATTGCTGATATTGCTGAGTTGGCAATTGGTGTAGATTCTGAGGGCGAATTATTAACGTAGATTCTTGGATCTTTGGCTGTGAGGCTATATAATACTTGACGAGTTCCTCCATTTCCATTTCTTTCAATATCTACTTTCGTATTCAAACCCGATTGCATTTTACTTGGCTTTGCTACAAAGAACAAAATTTCCCCTCTTCTGAAGAATTCATACTCAAGCACACCACATCAATTGCTCAATAAAACTTCAACTTTTGCACGGATTTCAGACATTTGATCTACTCAGTTGTCCTCCTTTGTTCAAACACTTACCAAGATTCAAAATGAGCGGAACACTAGATACTGATGCGTATACTACGCCTTTCGCTATCACTAAATCTATCCATCGTGATCCTTACTGGGCTATCGATTCTAAAAATCCAACGAACAATCAATCTGGGAAAATCATTATTATCACGGGAGCCAGTGCTGGCCTTGGAGCTGTAAGTACTGTTCTACATTCCCTGTTATACAATCTTGATTCTCTATTCTAACAGTATCTCAAATTAGGCAGCAGCAAGAGTTTGGGCCGAAGCACATGCATCTGGTATAGTACTCGCAGCTCGTCGAGTCCCGCCTATAGACTCTCTTATCGAGAAACTTCAGCCAATTAGTCCGGAAACCAAATTTCTTAGTGTGAAAGTTGATATTGCGAATGAAGAAGATGTTAAGAATCTTTATGAGACGGTACAGAAGGAATTTGGTAGACATGCTGATGTTCTATTGAACAACGCTGGATATATGTCAAATGGTATGATTGGAGAAGTGGAACCGAGTGATTGGTGGAAGGGTATTGTGAGTTTTCTACGTCGATGTCAATGTCCATCTCAACAAATTGAGATGAGATAATTGGGGAAAATGTAACTAACATTTGATGAACACTAGGAAATTAATCTCAAAGGTCTTTATCATATGACCCACCACTTCATCCGATCTCAACCTTCCCCGAAATCGCCGACTGGCACAATCATTACAGTCTCCTCCGGACGCGCTGCTCTCACAGGACCTGGTGGATCCGCATACAATATCTCTAAGCTTGCTGAACAACGTTTATCCGAACATCTTCACCTCGAATATCCTTCCCTCCGTGTTTTCACCACGATGCCAGGAATTGTACTGACTGCTATGGTGTCGGACCATTTCAAACCATATGCACTTGATCATGCTGAATTGACCGGTATGTTAGCATTGTATCTAGCTCAGGAGCGAGCGGACTATTTGAGGGGGGGGATGGTGGGAGTTAATTGGGATGTTGAGGAAATGGAGGGGTATAGCAAGGAGATTGCGGAGAAGAAGGCGCTGCAGACAAGTTGGATTTCTATTCTACCTATCAATGGTGGAAAGGGACTAGCTGGATTGAGGGACTAGCTCTAGGAATGTAGCGGAGTGATAATTGTAGGAGTGAAAGTGTTAAGAAGTGGTAGGGTGGAATCTTAATTTAAATCTTGACTACATGAATAAGGAGGTTAAGCGAAGCAAAATCCCTCCTTTTTATGGGGAGAAAAGTGAATGTTTAATATTGGCGAGCAATACAATAGACCTTCGCTCAATGACAATCATGAACCTGTTTTATCCTTGCCTTTCCAAAATCGAATCTTATTCGCTACTCAAATCCCATCTGATTTGGCTGTTTTCTACCCCGCATTTTCATCAGCCACCCCTACTAACACAGGTTATCCGACTATCAGATCTCCAAACAGAAAGCCAATCACATCACACAAGCGAATACGAATGCCATGCTGTTAACCATCATGAGAAAATCTCACAATCCTTATTGTTATTATATCTATCAAACCATTTCCCACTCCTTCATTCTACCCTTCAAGCTCAAATCAAAAGATATATACTAGATCGATATCAAAATGAACGATCCTCCTCCCCCATATACATCCCGTCCGCCCTCATATACAGAAAGAACACCTCTGCTCCATCTCCATCTACCGACTGAACCTCGTCTTTATCAAGCTCCAGTTCTTAGATCGGACGATGCGTCGAGGTTCAGAGCAGCTACTTGGATGTCGATTTTTGTAATCTCGTTGGTGGGCGCGTTTTATGTTTTTCTCATAATGGTGGTGGGATTCAGTATTTTTTGGCCGAACGAAGGGGATTGACGAAGATTGGAAGGTAGATCGGGATGTGGGATCGATGGAATTTACTGAGGAAGGAGGTACATTGGGGATGGAGTTATTCAAGAATTTTGGAGCAGGACGCACATTTTCACGTTGATTTCGGAGGGTGTTGAGTTGATCACGATACCTATTCGCAACATCGATGATTTTTGAGCTCGTTTGCCGCTTGAAAAGTATCCGATTAATGAACGACCATTCAAATGATAATCACCCTGTAAGTATGCCTTACATGCGACAATAGCTGCATCACAAAAAGCCTATCAAGATAGACTCGTGGCGGCGTCCAATCCTATTAGATATTAATACCCTGTTTTATGCAGGCGGCCGCATTGCGACCGTCACACGGAGGCGCAATACATTTGATGACAATCACCTCACTTCATGTATCAAGAATCAGGCTGTGATTTTCAGCTCTATATGATGGATTAAAATCTCGACATTGCAATCTCGACGTGATTCTTTCACTAATTAGCGAATGTGTTGATATCAAGCAAATATGACAATCAAGATGCAAAAGGCTGGCCCACCACCACCATATACGCCTGAAAGTCCTCCGAAATACTCATACTCGGAATCATCACCTCTTCTTCCAATAGTGACCAGGGATCCTCTTTCAGAATTGGGAGAGGCGAATAACAGAAAGAGAGAGAAGTCCTGCAAGACATCACTCACCGTTATCGCGGCATTCTTGACTGCAATTATAATTCTCAGTTCAGGAATTTCGTTGTGGCCTATCATTCGGAATGGGATTCCAGCAACAAGAGTCGTGAATTTCAAGATCGGAATTATTGGTGGTGGACCTGCGGGGATCGGTGCAGTTCAAGGTGTGAGAGATGGGATTTCACGGTATAGGTAGGAGTTCAAAGATCAGAATATTGATGTGCAAGTAGAGATTGTAGTTTATGAAGAGAAGACAAGAGTTGGCGGGAGGATGGTAGTTGAGGGTACAACCGGCATGAAGCTTGAGGTTGAAGATGTTGCGAGCGGAGTATTGAATGGCAAGCTATTGAGCATTATTGGAGGGTTGACAGATGTGAAGGAGCAAAAAGATATGGCTACTGAAAGCGAAGATCTTAGAATAGGAAAAGTTGGATAGTAAGTTTACATTGCTTTGTTATCTCAAATACGTTCAAATAATAGCTTCAAAACTAACATCTGCAGTTTCAACGTCAACGATATCGTTACTGAGACATACCGACCTTATGCTACCACTCCTTGGAAACATTATATCTCTCTTCTCTTCAGATATGGTCCTTCTGTTTGGCTTGCTCCAAAAATTCCCACGGGGACTATGAAATCCTTCCATACTTTCCTTTCCACACTCGACACTATAGGGGTATCCTCCATCAGAGATCTGACCTACATAATGTCCAACAAATTTGGATACACCCCCTCCAGTCTCCCCGCAAGCGAAAGACTGAAGAAAAACGGAATCGGAGGAAATTACGTACGAGATATACTAGCCCCGCAAGTTCGGCGTCATACTGGACAGTCGATTGAGCAGATAAGTGATCTGACACTAAGTATTGCACTTGAGCAAGAAGAATCAGGGTCTCCGAAGGCTGTGAACCATGGATTTTATCAAATGGTGATAGAGAGGTCATTGAAAGAGAATAAAGCAACACTCCAACTCGGTGCAAGAGTCACACAAGCTCGCTGGAAAAAAGTCATTGGAGATGATGCAAAGTGGGTGATACAATGGGAAAACGCAGCACGTATCGGGGAAAATCTAGGTGCTGAAGAATTCGATAAAATTATCATCGCCGCGCCGTTTAACTACACAGAACTCCTAGGAAAAACACAGGATGGCGAATCACTCTACCCTCTCGACGACGATACCCAGGATATCGAATACCAACCCCTATACATTACATTCTTCACCACCTCCTCACTCCTCACTTCTTCACTTAAGAACGCCCCATCCCCTCTACCCGCACAACTCCTCCCCATCCTCGATTCCCGCCAACCCTCCACTTCCCCCTTCAACACCCTCATCGAACTTTCTCTTCTCCGCACCATTTTCCCTCCTTCTCAATCACCAGATTTCAATCCCCATTCTCCTAATCCCCAAAACCATCCAGAATACCTCTACCGTCTCCTCTCCTCCCACCCCATCTCCTTCACTTCATTCTCTAGCATCCTCCATTTCCCCAACACAACAAAAGTAGAAAATTGGAATCAGCAGGAAATTCCACACGCATATCCACTCATACAAACTTTGCTCCCCGATGCAGAACAAGAAAAAGGATCTCTGAAACTTGGAGATCATATATGGACGACGCGGGGAATAGAGAGGGTATTGGGGGATTTGGTAGAGGGGGCGTGGAATGCGGGGAGGATGGTGGGGGGGAATATTGCGGAGGAGATTTTTGAGGAGGCAGAGGGGAAGGGGATTAAGAAATAGATATGAGGATTTAGGATTTGGGATTTGGGACCCTTGGGGGAATAGGGTTGGATTGTAATGATTTATACGATATGAAACTGATCAAGCGATGATTTCTTTATACGTTTACTTATTTACTTGTTTGAGTCTCGAACTAGCTAGCAGCATTTATATTCATTACTTATAAGAACATACATACACGTACACATTTGTAAACGGCCCCAAACAACCCCAAGTCCTCAAGTCCTCAAGTCCTCAATCAACCCCCAGATACCGCTAATAAATCAACATCAATATCACTAATACTAATATTATCTCCACCCCACTCGACCGTAAATCAAGCATCAAATCCGACGTACTCGAGAACTACCTCCTTTGCAATTTTCATTTGATTTCCAATTTTTAGATATGATACTTGAGTATTGAGTATTGGATGTTGAGTGTTGGACTGGATGTATGCAAGATTGAAAGATGAGGCTTAGAAAAGGGGTAGGTGGTAAGGCTTGGGGATTGGGAATTAGAAGTTAAGAATTGGAGAATGAGATTTAGAGGATGAGTGAGTGGTAGGCGAGTGAGAGATGGGGAAATGGTGAGACTAGAGTCTAGAACTTATTGTAGAAACGGTGTATTGGCGAGGGGACTGATAAGTGATATACAATTGATAAGATATAATGAGTAGAAGATTGGAATGATTCCTAGAGATCAAGTTCAACAAGCAAGTAGCAAAAGATAACAAGGTAGACTTTCCATTCACCGATTCCCCAAAAAAACACAAAAACAAGAAGGATACAAAAAGACATCAGATGTGGGAATTTTATAGACATTAATTCATCTATCATAGTAATATACAAACATCAGATCAACTGGTTAATACATACTCCATAACTCCTATACCGATCTTTCGATACCCCGTCCCATTCCAATCCAATCCAATCCATCCCAGTCTATCCCAATCCAATCCATCCCATGCAATCCCGCCTTCTGTTTTCGGCAACTAAACTCCACACCATTTCAACCTCTAAACCTCCAACTCTCTAATCCTATAAACCCCCTGCTCCTCCCTTCTCCTCCCAGCATCTCCCCCGGCAATCTTCCCCCCCACCATCCACAACCCCACCACGACCGCCACCCCGCCTACAAACCCAAAAATTCCCACTCCCAGCCCCGTATCCTTCAGTCCCATAACTCCTCCCATCTCCCCTCCCATCCCCTGCTCTATCCAACTCGGCATTGCAATGATCAAAAACCCCGTAAACAAATTTTGCAAAACTGCATGTGCCCTATCCAATCCCCCTCTTCCTCTCTGACCCTCCTCCTTTCCACTATCATCCACACCCTGCTGAATTGCCAAATATCTCTCTACCGCGAATCCCAAGATCGCCGCTCCGGAAACCAAAACACCGAAGATTAAACTGATAACTTTGAGACTGCATTCCATACCTGGAGTTGAGACGACAAAGACGGTGGAGCTGACTTTTGTGGCTTGGGGGATGAGCGTCGTGGATACGTATTGTGTGAAGGCGATGGTACCGGTGGTGAAAAGGATGAGACCCGGGATCGCGATACGGAGAGCGCTGGTTGGGGTTCCGCCTAGGACTTTTTCGGAAGAAGGAAGGATGGGTTTTCCGGGGGAGACGATGGATAAGAGACCATAGGAGATGAGGGAGAGAACGAAGGGTCCGATGAAGATATATCCTACTTGGCTTGGGAAGATGAATAGCGGTGAAGCGGAGAGGAAACTCGAGAGACTGAGTGCAAATGCGTATGCGGATGCTGTTGGTAATGAAGCCAAGACGAATGTCAGAAGTGTGATAGGAGAGACGAGTTTCTTGAGTGGTCTTAATAAATCCTCTTTGGATGGATTGCCCCAGTATGGCATAAGGTGTAATGTTTTCCACCAAGATTTGAAGGAAATGGTAGGGGGAGATGTAGGAGGGGTAGGATGAGAAGTACGATAGAAGGATGTTTCCGGAAAGGCGATAATCAAAAGGAATATCGAAATGGCTTGGATGATATTCATTACCATGATTTGGTTTCCGTACCCATCGATTGTCTGGCTTAGATATCCGCCGATAATAGGGGTTCCCCATGTGAAAAAGACATCGATTATTGAGAGGACTGTTAGGCGAATGGGGAGTTGTGATTCCTAGTACTGTTAGTATATTTCGTTACTTTTGAATAATCTCCCTGGGGTTTGAGCATTTCTTGCTTCCGAAACCAGCGATCAACAGAAAAGAAATAGAGGGTAATACTCACAAAATACATTTCCGCCATGGCACCACCAATCAACGCTTCAAAAGCTCCCCATCCTAGTCCCTGCACCATTCTACCTCCCAAAAATTGACCATAACTCTGCACATGCATATTCCACAAACTACCGACCAACATCAAAGCCGCGGCAAAAATGAAAATTCCTCTCTTTCCCACCTTCATATTCAATATTTCCCATAATGGACTACTGATCGCAGAGAAGATGAATGCGATTCCTGTTAACAATGCGGTTTGAGTAGATGAGATCGAGAACTGTGCTGTGATGACTGCATTTACGGAAACGAACATTAGGCGTTGCATGCCTACTATTGAGAAAGCAAGACAGAGAGTGAAGAATGCGAGATTTTTGCGATGAGGACACCAGTTCTGTAATATGTTAGTACCACTCCTTTCGACGATCTTGTAATACGTTTGATTCGGTACAAAAATGGCAAACAATAATAGATTACATACCAAAGGATCCATACTTGAATCATGACTAAATTTCTCATCATCCCACTCTCCCATGTCCTTCTCGAAATCAAAAGGCGTAACTTTTTCCACAAATGTTTTTAAAGTTCCTTCATCCATCTTTGGGAATCCCTCAACTTTCTTCTCTTTCGCATTCGCATTACTTCCAGACCAAAACTTTAATTTTCCACTGATAGTATCCCTCCTCAATTTCCCTTTCATTCCATCGTCAATTCCGCCTTCGTCATCCCCTTTTCTTGAATATTCCGATTTCTGAAGAACAGGTTGTGGTTCTGTTAAAGTTGCCATGATTCCCGTTTGCTCCCAAGTGTTCTCGCAATTCGTTTAATCGATTCGATTCAACAAAATGCCTCTTATGATCTTCTATCTTTGACGTATTTCCCTTCATATATATTTCTGGTCCAATTCGCTTGTATAGTCGTCGAATCGTGTAAAATAATTCGATGTAATTTCCCTTTTCTCCTCCTTTTCTCTCAATCTCAGAATTCTAAATGAATGTCGCGCGATCTCTCAAAAACCGTCTACAAAAGTAAAGCAAAGGAATGACTTTGAAAATATAAAGAAAAAACACTACACAAGAAACAAATCCAGACACCCAATTGACCGTCTAGCAGTCTTAAAGGATAGATGTCAAAAATAGAAAAGATAAGAAAATAATCAAATCAAAGGCATAAATGTCATTAAAAGTATCCGAAAGACCAAGAGAAATTCGTAGACAATGCGCACAAGTTAAGTGAACTCGAACTCGAGACGAACAATCATTTCATACACCCAACTGCGCCTCACCGCATAAGGAATCCGATTTGATTCCGCATCACATACAATCTCATACGCTTCAATTCCCCTATAACTCCCATTGACGCGAATATGAGCTAATTTTCTGATATTCCGTAGGGCTTAAATTCATGCACTTGCATTTTCAGACGAGTTAGCTTCCCAAGTTTCCCGAAATATACCATTTTTATCCAATCGTAACCCCTGCAGCGATCAAAACCTAGGTCGAGGTTTAAAGTCTAATACTAAAAGGGGAATTTTCAATTCAGATCAAACTCAAACCGTGGCAGCGGCGTTTGGAATGATCGACACGTTTCATCTTTGAATGTGCCGCACTGGCGCGGTAGCTGCTCGGACTCGGATAATTTGATGAGGGACTCGGTTGAATTGAAGCGAGCATTCACCAATAAACCACCGCACTCACCTCGATACTAAATTGCGGGACATGGCACCCGGACATTTTGATGTTTGGCGACTATGAATTAGATAGTCCTGGTATGTGTGCAAAGAAAATTAACCTTAGCAATACGATCAGTGCGGGCTGACCTCCACTATTTCATAGATTGGCCAGGTATAGAGTATATAAGTGGTATTTCCCAGTTCATTGATCCACCTACCTTGTTTCCAAATCCATTGTCTTTCTGCAAGGCCAGCTTGATATGTCAATCAGACTTGCAGATTTCGCTCTTCTTTTCTTCCTCATTTAACACCCGCCTTGCATTAGACCCTTTGATGATCTAATCTAGCTCTTTCAAGCCCAACGAGGTAGTTGAGGTATGGATGATTATTGAAATTCTGTCTTATCATGATAACAGTACCCGGTATGTGCGATATGTGTGGTGAGATTTTGAAGATATAACACCCCTGATATCCTTCGAGAATCCAAAGATGTTTCTGCTAGGTTCGGGTTCGCTCTTGGACATATTGGGCGTGTTTATGAAAGGTTGAGGAGAATCTTTTATCGTGATTATGGATGAGGGAGTCGGAGACCCCCTGTAGGAATTTCAAATCATTCAAGAATTTCTACAATGATATCTTGAATAAATGAACATGTTGTCGTCTCAAAAAAAATGGAGTTGACATGATAGATTGTAGATCAAAATCAAGTCCGTGCACTCCTTCCTTCCTATCATAGCCGAGGCATCAGCGACAACCTTCCTCATGGAGCTTTATCAAATCGTGATATCAATGGTGTCATTCAACATGGGACCCGAGTTTTCTTCTTATCAATGCATTTCCATACATAAACAATTAATCATTATCCCTTGATACCTCTCTTATACTTTTCTACAAGATTCAATACTCTTAATGCTAGGAAAAATGGCAACAGAAGCAGCAGCTCGTACTTTCTTCTCGTCTCCTTACTTCGCTGTAGTGGGCGCCTCTTCAGACCCTGCAAAGTTTGGACACAAAAGTAAGTCCCCAAAGTTTATTTCACGATCCCTGATTACAAGTGTTCATCTTCATTTCCTGAAGCTTTTAGCTGACACTTCCCCCCTTAGTATTCGCATGGTATACGGCCCACGGTCTTCCAGCAACTCCTATCAACCCCTCCTCCCCCTCCATTAAAGTCGGTTCCACCGATTACTCCACTCTTCCCTCAATCTCCGCTCTTCCCCATCCAACTGAGACGGGTGTCTCTATCATCACTCCTCCAAAAATCACAAAGAAAGTCTTGGAGGAGGCAAAAGCTCTGGGAATCAAGAGTGTGTGGTTGCAGCCTGGAACATATGATGATGAGATTCTAGGATTTGCTTTGAAAGAGTTTGAGGGTGGGGTTGGAGGGGAAGAGGGTGGAACTGTGGGAGGGGAGGGCTGGTGTGTTTTGGTTGATGGAGAGAGAGCGGCTAAGGCTGCTGGTAGAGATTTGAAATTGTGAGGAGGGGTAGTTGACTCGGATTATAATGAGGGCGAAATGCAATGAACGCACTGTGTTTATTTTCAATGCCGTCCTATATTTGAAATACAGATTGTTTCAAAATCAGGAGAACTCTTAGAGACATCTGTAGGGATGGGTCTCAACTTAGAGTAACTACAATCGTGGCCTGATATATTCGCGATGTTGAAGAATCATATATAGCAAGCCGTTTCCGTTATTTTTCACCATACAAGTTAAATGGTGATTTTCGGCTTCGAGAAGGATTGCACCCTCCTATGAAGTCTACAAAGATAGACATGAATAGCTTCATTCATTTACTTAATCATTCCAAGGGAATGGAAATGAGTCTCTCCATGAAAGTGGTTCCATCTTGACTGTGATTCATGAGGGTCAGACATTCAGATCTTGGCCTGCAAACTCGTCAGTGTATAAACCTCCAATAACACGGTCTTGTTGCACAAGCTTTGAGATAAGACAGCTTCTCGGTGATACTGGATCTCTAAAGCAAAAGCTTCAATGAGAGCAAGAAGTTTATAGTCCAGCCCTTCCTCTTGTATACAAGCACTCCGCAGTGAGATGAACATCTAGTATCCTTCATTTCTCTATCATAGTTTTGACGAGAAAGTTACCAGGGCAAATGATAGATGTTGTCCTCCTATATCATCACAATGAGCGGAGCCTACTTCTGAGAGCAGCTTTAGCAACGCAGTGCCACTGTCGCCCTTCGAATCTCCCGCGAGATTCGATGCGGTAGCTGAATATACACTTGAAGCTTATCGCCCACCAAAGTATATATACAAAGCCCTCCTTGGTATATAAATAAGTAGTACAGAACGACAATTTCGGTTGAAAATCGTATCCTGTACTGCATTGTACTTTGTATCTCCATGAACACTGAATCAACAACTGAATCGTGCACATAGCTACCTAGATCTCGCTATCGAATCATCTGAACCAGTGTACAATTTATTAATTAAATGTCTTTCCCGCAAATTGGATGTATTGGATCTCTGCTTATTCTTCATAATTCGACAACGATAGAAAGAGAAAGCAATCATGAAATCTCCTCTCGAGTATAATGAGCTTCCAGGATCAAATGATTCCGTGATACGAACAATCGTCCTATTCAGTCAACCCTTTTCAAATATGATGTATGTGTAGCCAATTATGTATTTCTTCTTTTATCACGAAATACGTTCTTTCCGTCCCGCGATGAAGATAACCCGAAACCGATAGCGAAGATTCAATGATTGGGTAAATGTTCAGCTGTGAAGTGAATTTTCCTTTCTTCACTTGTCCTCTCCTTTATTTTTGTCATTGTCACTTTCAACAGACTTCAAAAGTTCATTTTCAACTAAGAATTATCAACTTGGATTCGCTTCTGGTTCCTGTCTCGTTCCCTCGTTGGCTTCCACTCACACACTCTTTTTGACTTTCGACGAATAGCGATAACACGACAAACCGCAGTGCAATCGTCTCAATTCTCTTCATCTATCATATCTACTTCATTAATTTGGCATCTTCAATCCGATTTTCATGATGTCGAGGACTGCACCAGTCGAGTCTGGCGATCTAGGTAGTGGCGATGATGTTCCTGCTACAATTGCTCCACCTCCTCGACCACTTTCACCAATAGATACTACATATCACGGCGCATCTGATGCTGAAATGGGCACTGCTACAACCGCTCCAGATCGAGCTGATGAGAATCTCACACAGCAATTGAGAGGCCCAGAGCCATCTAACGTTGTATCTTGGGATAGCGATACTGATCAATTGAATCCTATGAATTGGTCTAATACTAAGAGATGGGCCAATACGGGAGTGATCTCTGTCATGACCTTCTCCACGCAAGTGATTCCCTCCTCGTTTCACTCCAATTTGCTAATTTTCTACAGTCCTCTCGCATCCACCATGTTTGCTCCTGGTGTTCCTCTCGTCATGGAAGAATTCCAATCTACGAATATGATTTTACAAACTCTCGTCGTCTCAATCTTTGTCCTCGGTTTTGCCGCTGGTCCCATTATTGCGGCGCCAATGTCTGAATTGTATGGTCGGAAACCAGTTTATCTGACTGCCAATTTCTTGTTCTTATTGTTCACACTTGGCTGCGGTTTGTCGACTGATCTTAACATGCTCATCACATTTCGATTCTTGGCAGGATGTGCTGGAGGAGCACCCACTGCACTCGGCGGCGCAAGTATCGGCGATATGTTCCATCGAGATCAACGCGGACTCGCAATGGCTCTTTGGGGAATGGGACCGTTGATGGGACCAATAGTCGGACCAATCATCGGAGGTGTCCTTGCTGCAAATGCGGGATGGCGATGGGCTTTTTGGTTGGAAGCTATTATTGCGGTTGTGACCTTGATTGGAGGATTTTTTCTCTTGCAAGAAACTTATCCGGTTGTTATCCTAGAGAGAAAGACGAGACGGATTATCAAGCAAACGGGAAACAAGGCGAAAGTATCGGCTCTTTCTCATACGGATACGCCAATGGTCCATTTCACTCATGCTATAGTCCGACCTTTGAAGACGTTGTTTCGTTCACCAATCGTCTTTCTACTCTCCGTATACTATGCTGTTCTTTTCGGATACTTGTATCTATTCATCACGACATTTCCATTTACATTTTCCAATCAGTATCATTTTTCCGTTTCACTTAGCGGTCTTTCGTATCTGGGTCTCGGATGTGGGATTGCCATTGGGCTTTTCGTATCGGGGAAGGTATCGGATCCGATTTTCACGAGGTTGACGGAAAAGAATGGAGGAGTTGCCGAACCGGAATATCGATTACCTGCGCTGATGCTTACGAGCCCGCTGATGGCGCTTTCGCTTTTTGTCTATGGATGGACGGCGCAAGCGAAGATTCATTGGATCGTGCCGATTATCGGGACGAGCTTCTTTGGGATTGGAATGATTCCTGCTTTTGTAGGTTTTCCTATCCTCCTCTCTCTCTCTCTCTCTCTCTCTCTCTCTCTCTCTCTCTCTCTCTCTCTCTCTCTCTCTCTCTCTCTCTCTCTCTCTCTCTCTCTCTTCTCCCTATTCCTCCATTCCTCATCACACCCAATCAATAAATACATACATACTAATTACTCAAACCCCAGCTCTCAATAAACATGTACCTAGTCGATAGTTTCCCTACCTACGCCGCCTCGGCAATAGCAGCAACGAAAGTTTTCCAATCTATCGGTGGTGCTTTCTTACCATTAGCAGGCCAGCCTTTATATTCAGCTCTGGGATTGGGTTGGGGGAACAGTGTGTTAGGGTTTATAGCGTTGGCGTTCTTTCCGGTGCCGATATTGTTTTTTAGGTATGGAGGGTGGTTGAGGGAGAGGGGGGTGGTGAAGCTTTGAGGGGGTGGAGGTGGAGATTTTGGAGGGGTGGAGAGAGGACGAGGAGTTGGGAGAGTGTGGATTTGGTTCTGGGTTTGTGAGATGAGATGAGATGAGATGATCATATATGGAAATAGGGGAGGAGGTAATATTGCAGTACATTGAAATAGTATATCTGTTTGCAGATCAAAAGCTAAAAATTAAATGCAGAGAAATGTAAGCCAGAGTGGTACCTAATACTTGATACTTGATAATTGTATCTACATCTACATCTACATCTACATCTACATCTGCATCTCTCTCTCTCAATTAAGTTCCCCGTGCATCTATCAATACTGAATATACATTTTAGAGGTGGCCATGTCACCTAGTAGATACATACATATCCACGCATAAATTCGAACAATCCGAAGAAAACTCATCATCTTGAGAGTTGCGTAATCGTCAAAGTTAGGATGATGAAAATGATGAAAATGATAGGAGTGGAAAGAGAGGGAACGGGAACGAGGGAGATATTCGATGATTTGGTAGTTGGATCTTTGGGGGATTTGAGAGATGGAATGATTGAGAGATGGGATGATTAAGTAGATAGATACATAGATACCTCGTAGATATCTGGTGTAAATTTCACTATAAAATTACGGAGCAAGTGATTTATTTCTTGTGGAGATGAAGGTATAGAGTAGATATTTTGTGTAGGTAATATAGTATACAATGTACATGAGAATAGTAAGGTTGGATACCAAAGATTTTCCCGAATCCGGTGTCGCAAGGAAGGGATGCGGTATCGCATGTTTGGATCGGAGGGGAGGGGTTATCGGTTGGTCGGTTGGTTGGTCGGTTCTTGGGACAAGAATTGGATAAGAAGCGTGGGATTGGATGAGGGAGGGGATGAGATAGGATAGGTAGGTGGGTGTGATTGATGTCAGATCCTCGGATAGGAAATGAAGATGGAGATATAAATATTAGGTGGAGGTGTGCTTTTGATTGTGGTTGTGAGTGTGAAAGGATATTGCTATTACCTCGTTTGGTGATTATTTATTATACGGGTGAAGGAATTCTGGACACAGGTTTTGAGGATTGATTGGATTTTGGATGCGATTTGTTCTATTGGTGATTAGACATTGGGAGAAAGAGAAAGAGAAAGAGAAAGAGAAAGAGGGGGGTGGTATAATCACCTGAGCAATTAAGGATTCTTGAGAATATTCTATCAATTCGTGAAGGAATTGAGTTAGTGGATTCCGTCACAGATTGGTAGATTGTTTCGTTTACCATAAACGGGATATCTATTCTCCCAAGCACTTTGATTTTCTTCAAGCCGTTCACAAGGTATCCAAGATGACTACATTTGCGTGAGTTCTCCTCTATCCTCTGTATTCCTTCGCACTAACCTCAACCTCTAGACACAAAACCTTCTCCGCAGCCTCCTACGCCGCATTCCGTCCCTCCTATCCCCAAAGTTTCTACACCAAAACCCTAAACTATCACATCGGGCCACGCTCTACACTTCTCGATCTAGGATGTGGGCACGGAGTCGTAAGTCGAGCGCTTGCTCCCCACTTCGAAAAAGTGTACGGTACAGATCCCAGCGCGGTAATGATAAATCAAGCGCGCAAAATCGCTTCAGAAAATGATGCAGAGGCGAATGTAGAATGGAGACAAGCGTCAGCGGAAAACCTAGATTTTGTCGAGGATGGGAGTGTGGATATGGTGGTTGCGGGACAGGCGGCGCATTGGTTTGATTTTCCGGGGGTGTGGAGGACGGTAGGGAGGAAATTGAGGGAGGGGGGGACGGTGGCGTTTTGGGGATATAAGGATAATTTGTTGGTGGACTTTCCCGAGGCGACAAAGGTGTTGGATCGGTTTTGTTATGGGGAGGGGGAGAAGTATATGGGGAGGTTTTGGGAACAGCCCGGGAGGGAGAGGTTGAGGGGTTGTATAGCGATGAGGTGATGAGGCCGTTGGGGGAGGTGTTCAAGGATGTGGAGTGGGGGAGGTATGAGCCGGGGTTGAAGGGGACGAAGAGTGGAGTGGGGATTGGAGAGGGAGGGGTGGTGATGGGGAGGAGAATGAAGTTGGGGGAGTTGGAGGGGTATTGGAGGACGTTTAGTGCGTTTCACGGGTGGCAGAGGGAGAATCAGGAGAGGAAGAAAAGGGAAGGGGGGGAGGAAGGAAATGGTGATGTGATTGATGAGATGTTTGAGGAGATGTTAAAGGTCGAACCGAAGTTGAGAGGGAAGGAGGGTGAAGATTGGAGAGATGTGGAGGTGGAGACGGAGTGGGGAACAGTGATTTTGTTGGCGAGGAAGAAATAGGAGGGATTGATATGGGGGTGATGAAAGTGCTTTCTTCTGGATGAGTCTGAATATGAGATATTGGGTGTAATGCTTCGTAATAGATCAACTCCTCTGGCCCACGAGCATCTACACATAGAGTAAATTAAGTAGAGTGTGAATCCTTATTCTTCCTAGATATTTACAATTAAGAGATCCCACAGGATCTACCTTTTTGATTTGAGCATCGAGTAAATCTCAACATATCATGACAGCGGCTGTGATATACCATTCATGTTATCTGGATGGTATTCATAAACACTCCTGTCAAGCAGACTCTTCCGTCCATGGAAAGAACAAGCAAGGAATGATTCCAAATCACAGTACCCTGGGACTTTGGATAGTATTATACGAGTAGAATGAATGAATACTTACGCACATACTCATATATGAAGAACTATTGGGAGAGATATTCTTGCCTTGATTTCACTTGGCATGTCAAAGTATATAAATTGAAATGGTCTTTATGCTTCATTGTGTCAACCGAGGGGGACGTCGATGTTCAGTCACTCTTTGATGCATTTTTACAAATCCAAACTTGTGAGTAACTTTTGAAACGGCGAGACATACAATGAAGAATTGGGCTTCTGGTGTATTGTTATCCATGGTTAAAGTTTTTGAGAAAAAACAACACTACTCACCGGGAGATCCCTCGCTGAGACCCCTTTATACCATTTTCGAATGATTGGGAGGCTGATTATGCTTGGTTGCCCTGCCAAAATTTAACTTTGGTCCACTCTAATAATTATGCTGAAGGAACAACACATAGAGTACGAATAAAATAGATGAGAGGCTGGCTGGCATAAACATAATAATAGGCACGGACCAAAGTTATCAGATTTCTAGACCTACAATCTCTCTTCTTCTAATCATACCTACATTCACAGATCCTACATTGAGATATCTTCAATTTTCATACCACTCGCAAAGAAAACATACAGAATCATAATCAAAATGGTGAGTTTTCTTATCCCTTGTTTCGATTCCCATGACATACTTCCACATGCATTCCATTCCATTCCTTGCTTGGAATGGTGTTCCAATCAATGAGCGTTGCTTCCGATTTGCTGGTGCTCATTCTGGTTTGTTACTGCCCGCTCACTATGCGGTTGCAAAAGCAATAATGGCCGGGTAGTAACTAAGGCGCCAGTTTGTGTTGGTTTATTCACTATTTGATCTCTCGGCGCAATATCATACGTCGTGGGAAATCAATAAATGTGTACACCATAACAAGGGCACTCATCACATCACATCACTTTACTTTATAACTCTTTCTATTCTATTCGGAATATCACTCCTGCAAATGTCTAAAATGTCATCAACTAATCCTCCATACGATGCGCAGGCCTCCACAAACTACAGAGAAGCATTTCAACTCTTCGATAAACGCGGTACCCAACGTGTGCAATTGGACCAACTTGGAGATTTGTTGAGAGCGTGTGGTCAGAATCCTACGTTGAATGAGATTAGAGAGTTGGAGAAGAATGTTGGTGGTGAATGTGAGTTTATTTTGTTGGTCATTGTGATGAGCAGGATTCGAGGAGGGTTTCCTCGATTTCGATATTCTGCAAAGGACTCTCGTGGAGTGCCGAGAGCTATGGCGCTTCCTCTCACCATCAAACTGTGGAGTCTATACTAACACTATATTCTCGCAGTCGATTTCGAAACCTTCTCCAAGATTCTCAACCGACCAGGTGGATTCCGCGACCCAGGTGAACCAGAAGAATACTGTCGTGGTTTCCAGGTGTTCGATAAGGATATGACTGGATTCATTGGAGTGGGACAATTAAGATACATCTTGACGAATTTGGGAGAGAAAATGAGTGATGAGGAGGTTGATGAATTGTTGAAGGCGGTTGATACCAGCAGTGGGGAGATTAACTATACTGGTAAGTTCGGGGGATTTCTTGGAGAAGATATACTAGAAAGTGGGAGATGCAGTGGGATTATGGAAAGCTAATATAAGGATAATAGATCTCGTACGAACTATCCTCGCAAACTAGATTCTATGCTTCATTATGGAAGAGGGTTTAAAATATTACTGGGAGATGAGCAGAGATGCAATGGGGACAGGCAGAGAGAAGAGTCAGAGATATACAAGTAAGGAGAGGAACGAAGATATCATATCAGTTGTAGGAATTACTTTTTCGCGACGGCATAAATAGGAGCTGTGGAGTGGAAGGATATTGATAATGGCTATGGCTATGGCGTTGAATGAACTTTTAGGCCTGCAAAGGCAGAAATGGATATTATGATTTTTTTCTACATGAAATCGAAGTGCATAGATTTTGATACGATGAGAAGATTGTGAAGTTTGGAGTGTTGTTATTATTCATGATTGGAGATTGATTAGATTAAAAGTGTTACTGAGTTTGGGTTTATCAACCAGGCCAGTTGTGATGGGATATCAAGAGAAGGCTGAAGTGTTAAGCTTCGAGGCTGCATTTCTGTGTTGTTAACCAAAATATGTTTCTTTCTCATATTGACAACATCACTCATACTTCCTTTGCATTCAGGTAATACCCCAGACTACTTTGGCGTTTGAAGAGAGTAAACCATTAGAAGTCTGTCATATCTCGAAATAAGAATCGACAATTAAAGCTCAATCAATCATTACTTAGGAAAGAATTGTCCTCGAGCTCGAGTCGAATTCGAGCGCGTACAAGCTTCAGATTCCGAGTTTTATTTGGAGTTGATTCAGAGCGGAGTAGCTTCGAAGCAGATCTTGCGAGTATTGCACAACGGTTCCACGAAGAATTTGGACGACAAACTGCCTTTGGTTGAGAGGCTACGGATTGGAGATCCAAGTTGTTGGACCTTTTGCGCTCGAAGATTTACAGAGCGAGGGTAGGAGTTTACAGTGTTGCAAGCTCGCAAGCTCGCAAATTCACAAATTCACAAGCTCACAAGCTCACGATGTCTCCCCCAAAATTAATACGTATCATTGCGCTTATTGTACGAATCTTCTGCTGGCGACGACGCATACGATTTCGACGCTTCCGAAGAGGAAGGGGGCGGGAGATGGGAGCTTTATTTTGCCGGTTTCGGGGGTGGTGCCTGGGTTTGGAGGGGAGAGGGATGGGGATGAGGATGCTATGGATGTAACTCGAGATGGAGTTTCTGCGGAAGGTGGAGAGGGGAGGGGGGAGGAAAGGGAGGATGGAGGGGAGGTGAAGGATGGTGCAGAGCAGGGTTCATTACCAAGTTATGGGTATACACATCTTCTGTCTCTTACGCAACCTAGTAAACAGGTGATTATACGGAAAGAAGATGGGTTTGAGAAGAGAGGAGTGTGGAAATGTGGACGGTGTGCGGTGGCGGTTGGGTATGAGGTTTGGACGGAGGGAATGGGGGTGGCAAGGGGAAGGAAATTGATGGGGAGGAGGAGTTTGAAGGGAAGATTCTGTATTTGTTGAGGGGGTCGTTGATGAGTACGGCGGTTATGAGGAGTGGAAAGAAGGTTATGGAAGGGGATGCTGAGGTTCTTGAGACGGGGGTGGGAGTTTGGGAGTGAAGATGGGGAGGAGGATGAGGAAGGGTGGGTAGTTGGGGAGGTTATATTGGATGGGAGGAAGGGAGGGAGGGAGTGATTATATTATAGAATTATGGCATTTGATATACCACACACCATAGATGGAAATGAAGGAAAGATTCCAATTGATTTCTAGATAGTATAGACGTTGATTTACTTGCCATGTAAAAGTACCTGGGTACCCCATATTTTCGGGTATGAATAACCCTTGCTTTCCGCATTCATAGCATAGGTACCATACAACCTTACTCCATCCTCCTGGAATTCTGGACTCCAACATTATCAAGAATTCATCTGTCCCTCATATCTTTCAGAAGCCCCTCTTGAGTCCTTTTTGATTCGTACAAGGTTACCAATACGTACACACATTTACACACATTTACACACTCGAGACACTCATCACTCCTGACTCAACACGTCTATCATATCATATCATCTCCACCCTAAAGCTACCCACGCTCCCTTCCCCACCAACATATCTGTCATACCTTCCATTCTTGACAGCTCTTAAACGCCTAATTAACCACCAAGGGATTCTAATACCCAACCAACTTCATCCATCCTGGCTTCCATCACACGTATCATACGTTCCCTTATTGTACTACTGCTCATCTTTCTTTCCATATCTGCCATTCTGGCTACCTCAAGGATTGGACCCAGACTGGGAGCTTTATTTAGTCAACTCAGACCGACAAGTATAAGACCTCTCTGGTCTCCTCTCTCAACCACCATCAATCCAACCTCAACACGACTCATCACTACCGCAACCATGGCACCTTCTCAATATCAAAAGCCTCCTCAGGCTCCCCCTCTCTTTACCCATACCGAATCTCAGATTGTCGACGAGGCAAAGGCCTTGATGGATAACTATCGAAAAATGCTCGATGATATCGTTGCAAATGTCAAACCGGAAGATGCAACATTCGCAAATGTTCTCTTGCCTACCGCCAACCAAGATGATCTTGATTCGCTGCAAATCAGCGTTCTCACCTTCTACCAAGCTGTATCGGGCGATTCGAAACTCCGCGATGCGAGTTCTAAAGCGGAGGAAATCATGGACGAAGCGCAGATTGAGATGGCGATGCGAGAAGATGTTTTTAAATTGGTCGATGCGGTTTACAAAAAGAAAGAAGATCTAGATCCCGAATCAAAGAGACTTTTGGAGAAGGAATACAAAGGATATATTAGAAATGGACTGGGGCTTGAGAAGGGGGAGAAGAGGGATAGATTCAAGGAGATTAGTAAGAGGTTGGCTGCTATCGCGACTAAATTTCAGAAGAATCTGAATGAGGAGGATGAAGGAATTTGGTTCACATTGAAGGAACTTGATGGAGTTCCTGAGGATGTTATCTCGGGATTGAAGAAGGGTGAGGGGGAAAATGAGGGAAAATTGAGGTTGTCGTTCAAGTATCCTGATTTGTTTCCTACATTGAAGTTCGCGAAGGATGCGGAAACCAGAAGGCAAGTCTTTATTCAGAATGAGAACAAATGTAAAGAGAATGTGGAATTGTTCAAGGAAGCCATCGTTCTTAGAGATGAGGCTGCTAGATTATTGGGATACCCGGATCATGCGAGCTTCAGGATTGAGGATAAGATGGCAAAGACTCCTGCTACGGTTAACGAGTTCTTGCATGATTTGAAGCTTCAGCTTACTCCAGGTGGAGCTAAGGAAGTCGAACATCTCAAAGCTCTTAAGAAACAAGATTTGGATGCTAGAGGATTGAGCTCGACATTTGATGATAATTATTACCTTTGGGATAATCGATTCTACGATCGAATGATGGTGGAGAATGAGTTTTCTATCGACGAAAATAAGATTGCGGAATACTTCCCTCTTCAATCTACAATCGAAGGAATGCTTAAGATCTTTGAAGAGTTATTTGGATTCGTCTTTGTTGATATCAGCAGCGAGGAGGAATTGGCTAAGGTTTCACCAACTGGAAAGGGTTCTGATGTTTTACCTCATCCAGATGCCAAACTCTTTACCGTTTGGGATGACGAAGGTGAAGGTAGTGGCTTTGTGGGTTATCTTTACTTGGACTTGCATCCGCGTCCAGGAAAATATGGCCATGCTGCAAACTTCGGTATTCAATCTGGTTTCTACTATCCAAATGGTACAAGAAGATATCCTGCTACAGCGCTCGTTTGCAATTTCTCCAAACCAACTGATAAGAAACCATCACTTCTGAAACACGATGAGGTGGTGACCCTTTTCCACGAATTGGGTCATGGTATCCATGATTTGGCTGGTCGTACTCGATACTCTCGTTTCCATGGTACAAACACTGTGCGTGACTTTGTCGAAGCACCAAGTCAGATGCTGGAAAATTGGTGTTGGACTCCAAGTCAATTGCAAAAATTGAGTAAACATTATGTCACTGGCGAATCTATCCCAGATGATTTAATTGCCAAACAAATCAGCACCAAGCATGTCAACGGCGCTCTTTTCAATCTCCGTCAACTTCATTTTGGTATCTTCGATATGACAGTCCACACTCCTAAGAACCACGCAGAAGCTGAAGCTTTCAAGATCAGCGAATTGTACAACGAACTCAGAGCAGAAATCTGTGGTCTCAAAGGTCCAGAAGCTCTGGGTGCAAAGAGTGATTGGGGAAATGGTCAAGCTACTTTTGGTCATTTGATTGGTGGATACGATGCAGGTTATTATGGATACTTGTCTAGTCAAGTCTATAGTGCAGATATGTTCTACACGGTTTTTGAAAAGAATCCAATGGATCCCAAGGAGGGAAGAAGATATAGACATATGGTGCTTGAGAAGGGTGGTAGTCAGGATGAAATGACTACTTTGGAGGCGTTCTTGGGAAGGAAACCTAGTACCGAAGCGTTTTATAGGGAGTTGGGTTTGAAGGATGCGAAGAAGAATTAGAGGGGTGGGGAGGTGAAGAGTCAAAGGATGGTGATAGGGGGCAGCATTGCATATGTGATTCAGGGAGGGGAAGTTCAAGGGAAGGCTGAGAGGGATATGATAGTTGCTAAGAAATAGTTTGTTACTATGCAAGTGAACCATGAGACTTGGGATGGAAAAATGAGAATATATTATGATGATTTAATTTGGGTTTTGAGATTTTGAGGTTTCGAGGTTTTTGCGAAGATTGAAATGGGTTATGTGAATATATTATGATATGTTATGATGTATGTATGTATGTATGTATGTATGTATGTATATAAAAGGTGATAGATAATGGTAATACATTTTCTATGTATCGATCTGGATTTTTAATAGGGAGAGCATGGAGGAGTCTTACTGTGGAGATTTGAATTTGAGGTTTGGGGTTTGGATAGTGATATATAGATTGATGCTGGGACTGGATGCTTGCTGGGATTAAATATCAAAGTTTAGGTGGGTCATTATTGAGATATTCATTATTCGTTGTTTGTATTCAGTAATGGTTTTTTTTGGTTTTTTTTTGGTTTTTTTGATGAGTTGTTATTGTGATTAGTTGGGGTTTGACGCTTGAGGGGGGGTATTGAGGGGAGGTAGGGTATATGTATGTTTTTTGGGGGTAGTAGTGGGGGGGTAGGGGGAGAGATGAAGGTGTAGGTTTAGGTGTATGTAGATGAGGTTTCTAGACTGTGAGTCCATCCGCGGTGGAAATCGTTCGGAGGTGGAGAGTGCGGTGGATATGAATAGGAATTCTGAATATGGATGTGAATATGAGGCATGGCTGGCTGCTTTCAAGATGTTCCTGTACTGGTGATTATGTATCGTGTATATATGTGTATGTTGTTTCCTTACTCATTCAACATCAATTGGCTAAGTGGTTTGAGTAGTAACACAGTACAGTTTAAGTTCCCTGTGTGGAAGAGGGAAGAGCTTAGGTAAAAAGTCTGATATCTATATTGTCTGCATAACTTTGAATGGGAGTTTATAGGCTTTAGAATCAATTTCAACCGTAACATTATAACCATTCGATTAAAATCGTTGTATATACTCATAAGAAATAATATTTACAAATTCACAGGAATAATGAGTAGATTAAAATACTAGTCTAATTAATGAGTGATTCTGAAGGAAGTGGGGAATCTATCCTTCCGATAATAAATGATCTTTCATAAAGGAAAAGAACTGGATTGATTCCTCTTCTTATATCTGATCCAACCTATACAAACTAATATCTAGTGAAGAGAGCCAGACCTCATAGGAATAAAGAATCTTTGAATGATAGCTCTATTCATGTTTAGAAATATCTTTATTAATCATATGTAATATTACAATTTGTAGCTATCCTCTTCACACTCTATCTGTCTTTCCAGCTCTTCCTCGCTTCAATTCAGGGGTAAAACCTCTCACCATCTCGCTATTTTTCTCAACTCCCTCTTATGAATCTCGTGTGTTAATATGCCATGACTTATATCTCACACATCGATAAGTATAAGTACCTCCTTGAATCCTCTTCGCATCTGCACAATCCTGATAGATTCTTCTCAAAGCATAAAGACAATCATCTCGGCCCATTTTCCAATCATATCCCCTATTTTAATCGTCAATAAAAATCCTTCTATAACCAGTAAAGAAAGGAAGGATAAATAACTTACCCACACCACTTCATATTCTTATACGGTACCGGTCCTCCATTCTCCACCGTCTCAGCCCCCATCGTCAAATGCATCTTATACAAATCATTATTGTAAAACTGCGGTTGTCCTTCCGCGGGAAAATCATACATGTTTTCCCCATGTTTACCATATCCTTTTATCTCAGCCCCATTCGTACAGAAGCCATCAATCGCGGCATCGATATCGGTTGAGGAAAGGGGCCGTCCGGCTTGTCCGTTAGCGCAGGATGGTGCGGTATCTTTATCTGCGAGATCGGGCTCGAACTCGGGGGCGGGAAGGAAGGAGTTGTGGCCCAGGGTGTACCTCCAGAACGCGTGATCCCGCTGAGAATAATACTATAGTCTACACAGTTACTTTCGGTGGTATGACCATGTGTGCGTGTTTTTTTATCATCACATTGATTCATTCCATCGTGTAGGGCTTGGATACATTGATCCTTATCAAATGTAGCTTCTTTCGTAGGGTGTGCACCATGAATCGGATTACACTCATCATTCATGTTCGCACGCAGCCAGAAGGAACTGCGATCTGGGACTTGGAGATTATTAATCGGAAAACGCCAGGATATATCCTCCGATACTAACCAGTCGATTCGTTTACCGTGGTTATCGCTGCACCATTGCGCGATGGCGGAGTTGACGGTCACGCCTCCGGAATTATCGTCGTCGCGTGGAGCGGAGTAGTGACCGTTTTGATCGGGACAACGGGGTTCGGATTTGCGGAGGGAGCCGGACGGAAGGATTTCTGCGATGAGAATTTTATTCGCGTTTCCTGATTGTCGATAGGTGTAGGAACCCCCGTGTTTGTCGTTCTCATTGATATCGCAGCCGTCGATGATGGCGGTGAAGAATTTGCGACAGCCAGTTTCGTCAATGCGATCATTTTGGTACCAGGTGATTCGCACGTCCATTTCATCGTAGACGCCGTTGTTGTAGTGGGCATTGATTACTTTTCCATTCTTTAATTCATCGGCGCTGGCGACGTCGGAGTGTAGACGTTTTGGGTCCCGACAGAAATCTCCCATGGCTGACATTGCAGCTTCCCAGTTTGCGAATTTGGATTTGGAAGAGGAACATTCTAGAACGGGTTCTTGGGCTGCGGGCTTTCCGATGAAGCGCTGCAAGTCGTAGAATGCGTGGTTGGTGGAGGTCCAGGGGGAAGATGTTTCGGTCACCATGCATTCGCATCCTTTGTATTTTTGTCCTTTGTCGGGTAGTCCCTGGATTGTAAGTTAGTATTGAGTGGCTTGATGAATCAGAAATACTTACCCTGCATTTGCTTTTGAGATCATCTCCTCCGCATTTATCGCAATATGGAATGTCGTCTTCGGTGGGACAGACGAAGTCACTGCAGGGACAGCCATGGAATGCAATGGGTCGTGTGCAAACGCCATCTTTCCCATCGCATAGAGGATTAGGACAATCTATACAATTGTGATTAGATCTCGGGATAATTTCGCTTGTGTATGATATTAATCACTTACCAACCATTCCATGTTCATCACCAGTAGTCGTTTTGGGACAAGTATCCTTATCAGACTGTTTCTCCAAAAGCCTATTCGCAAGAGAAAAGAGAGCCAAGTTCTCCACTTGATCAACAACCCTTGCATATTCAGCTGCAAACACGGCTTGGAGAAGTTTATTTGCGTTGTCAAACGATAAAGATGGAATCATCTGATGGAGAGAATCAGCTCCATATAACAAGAGATCACTAGCTTCTCGTTGGATCTCAGGATCTTTGTATGTGATAAAATCGAGATTGACTTGTATATCTTTGACGAATTTCACCATGGGTTCGAGAATATGCCCGGTTGAGAAGGCGGGAACAACGGCTTTTCCAATTCCGTGAAGACATCTGATGAGTTGTTTGCCGCTCATGGGATTTACTCGCTTGTTGATATCGACGGGAATTTCGGGTTCCCCAGGCTGTTCGAGAGAAGGAAGGTCGACTCCGCAACTGTCTAAGGTAGTGTCGAGTTTGAGAAATGCGGAGAGAGCTTTGGCGGCCTCGGGGTGGATGTTGACTTGTAAGTCTGCATTGTCGGGTCCATTTTGTCGCTTGTGGGTCCGGAATGAGTAGGGTATTTGGTGGGCGGTGGTTATGTCAAGAAAGAGGAAACAGAGGAGAGGATATGAGAAATGCATTTTTATGGTACAATTGTGGTTGGAAGATGTGTGGATGTAGATGCGGTGATGCTAAGGTGGAATGGGACGAGACTTTATATCTTTCATCTGAATATAATATTCTTCACATCACTAAATGCAACTGAAGATCCAGATAGGAAAACGTTGCTCCGCCGAGATGTATTCAATATCCCCATCGCCACAGAACCTCCTTGACATCAAACAATCTGACACTATCCTCCCAAAAAGCACGTTTTCAATTATCTATTCAATCTACCTCAAAAAGTTACGAGCAAAAATGAACCACGCTGACAAGCCACTTCGTAAATTCAACATGTTGATTCAAAAATTCAAAGACCAAAAACTTCTGAGCTTAACTTTAAGCGTCCATTCCAGCGCTTCGAGAACGAATGAATCTTCTAGTGATGAACAAGCATTTCAGTTGGAGCATAGGGCTGATAATGAACAGCCTTAAGGCCAAGCTTTGATCTGACATCTATGGGGCTTGTGTTCTTGGTATCACGTCACGAGATTGGGGAAAGTAAGAGCAGTCGAATGGGAATGTTGGGATTAGGATTAGTCAGTTTTTTGTCATCGCTTACTGTGAGATATTTGAATACTTTCATTGATACGCCGGTATGTATTTGGTTGACGATGACAGCCAAGATTATAGAGCGAGTGTTCCATGCCATGATATGTATGAGATTGAGAGATGATAGTGAATTGGGAGACGGCTGAGTTCTAGATGCCGGATGGGTGTTATGGAAATAGATCAAGTTACGAGCGATTTGTAAACTTCAAAAGCGATGTCTACGGAATTGAGTTGGTGGGTGTTTTGTTGTATGTAAAACTTTAGATGAAGGGATTCATTGGAGGAGATCTGTTCAATTGATTTAAAACCCTGGAAAGAGTTGGGAAAACTGTTCATTTTCTCAAGTGAGCAATATTCTTGGCGATGCTGCGGTATCTTCTAGTTGAGAGTTGATATGGATGGGTATATACTATAAAGACTTTGGAAGTTCCAACTACTTCCGCATCTTTGTACTCAGATATCATCTTGTCTTTTCCCATTATTTGTTCGATTTTCTCTTTCAACAGAAAGACCCAACATGCATTTCCCATCTCTCATATCTGCTATCATCCTGCTGCCCTACACCACCCAAGCACTCACCTACTGGCTAGACAAAAGTTGTGTTCCAGGAAAACCACTCGAAGCGCCCAACAGTACACCCGTATCTGGGGATGGTACTCATGGCTGGGATGTGCTTTTCGATGAACTCAGAGCTGTAGGAAAAAATGCAGGAGATCGCTTGACGAATGCAAGACGCGATCCGGATTTTACTAGAGCGTTCAATGTTCTTTTTCGACAGGATACCCATAATTTTAATAATGGGGTTGATCAAGATGGACAGGCGGCACTGGCACTGAGAAAATATTTCATGGCTCTAGAGGGAATGAGACATGAGGAGGTTCAGGTCAATGCTGATCTTAGGTTTTGTGAGTTTTATTCTTTGATTTTTGAAGACGCTTATGACAGGTTCTAACGTTTTCAATTAGATTGTGATAATGATGCACGCTGGGTTCAGAAAACGGGAGATGGAGAAACGGGATGGAAAGGTAAGCATTTTACCATGAAATCTACAATTCCTAAATAGAGGACTAATATTCGAGGCAATACTCAGATACCGAGAATCATTTATCGACGCCAAAACCCTATTGTAAGGATACTGGTGTGAGTGCCATTACATGTAAGTTCTCCTCGAATTGGCGATTCTCTAATGTCGAAACTTTCTATCTGATTATATACTTACATATCTTAGATATTGATTATCCGGGACAAGACAGACCAGCTGTACAACCCGGTACACCGAAGACAAATCATAACCCAAATCGTGCAACAATCACAGTAAGCTCTCCAATTACACTACTGATGAACATATTCAATACTTTTCATTCCATCCAATTCCACCTAACTCACAACATTATATCTAGCCAACTGACTATTTCTCCAGCTCTGTGACCACGCCTTCAAAAAAGTAGACGCACAAGCCGATCCCAGATCAAACAAGTTGGCTCGATATCTATTCTCCGATGTCCCGGAAAATTTCGATTATGCGGATGTACATTTAAATCCTAGACCTATCGATTTCATCACATCTACTTTCACCGCATTGTTATTACATGAGGTGAGATACTTTTGAACATATTTTTTCCCAAAGGAAGCTTCAAGAGAGGGGAGATGCTAACTGAATACCACAGATATCACATACAAGACCATTTTTAAGTTCGTTATAACCCCTTTCCTTCAATTTTAGTGCGAGTGGGAGAAGTAGAAACTAACGTCTCATCAGCCAAAGATCAATTCGGAGACGATTCATATGGATGGCATCATGTAGCAGAGGATGTAGAAGTGGATATTGCCAGAAAAAACGCAGAAAGTTTCAGTAAGTATCATCTTATCTCTCTCTTTTTATTTCCTTTCAAATAGGGAAAGAAGAGAATGAGAAGGAAGATTAACAATTGCTGATTTTTTTGCTTTTTCTCCTCAACAGTGTATCTAGCCGTCATCTCAATGTTCCAAGATCGCAATTTTGTACTCGATAGGAGGGCTCCGGCGAATGGGGATCTGGATAAGGAAGATGATGTGTATAAACCGACAGCTTGATTTATTTAGTAGATGGGGGTTTGAAAGATATTTCTTGGGAAATGACTGAACTGGGATAGGGGATTTAAAGTTTGGGCTATCGCTTACTAGAAAAGGTATAATTTGGGGAACCGGTTAATTGTCAAAGTTTGATGAACCACTGTTATTCCTATTATTTAAACGTACTTGTTACATGAGCTATGAGACTTCAAATATGTAAGGTGAATCCAATCCTGACTTTATTTTTGTATAGGCCACGGTCTCATCGATCTTAAATATTCAAATATCACTCAAGTTACATGTAGTGTGCTGGTTTTCCTTTGTTCTTAACTAGCATTTTCCTCCATTTAATTACAACATTTCGGGTTGTGATTTTCTCAACGATTAATAACAACACTTTGAGGAACAATCGGATTTGCGAGACTTGTTCAAGTGCAAATCATGATTTCTACCTTCAATGATTATACGACGTCTTTTAGTAAAAATAGTAACAAAAGTCAATTTTCAGTGCATATCGTAGTATTTCACTACAGATCGTGAGTTTTAGCCGCATGTAGCACAGTTGTACAATCGCACAATAGCCCCTAAAAACTAATCATTTGGTTGGTACATAGAATTGCTCGAGTAAATGATGATTATATGATAAATCGATAAAAAAAATAAAAAGAAACAATGAGAATTAGTCTATATAGTTATTTGCTACGATCACAAACTAGAACGTATCGATAGAGCTCAAATAACCTAAAATAAAAAAAGCTAAAGAAGAAATAGATCATTTAGGGATCTCTCTAGGTCGCTTAGTTCAAGCTAATCTTAACTAGTCTCGACCTAAGGTAAGCGTGATGAGTACTCACATAGATATGTGATATTGGTCACATTATTTAATTTTTTATTACCTGACACATATTCTCAATGTTTAATCTGCAGTGTACTTGTACTATATACGGCCAAAACCTGTAATATGCACTAAAAAGTCTAGTCTTGTCACTATTTGCCCAAAAAGGCTTCATAGATTATATTTTTACGGGGTGCAACCACTCACATTATCGTAAGCGAATATGTCGATGGAAGGTCAAAGTAATTTTTAGCTACATCCTGGACTATGCAGTATATCTACAGCAAACAAGGCATATCTACAAGTGTTCAAAGACTTCACATTCATCTTCAGCAGCTGGTACAATCACATATCTATCACAGGTGATTCGAAGAAACTGCATTGGCTTGCGTGAATCAGCCGTAGCTAAATCTAGCCGCACAAAATCCACGCCGTATTGAACAGTTCTACTACCGCAAACACTAAGTGGACTGATACTCTTCAATAGCCATTCATAATATACCTAGCCATGCAGTAGCCTCTATCTATGAACTTCCCAACCGTACAACCGTAGCTACAATTACTAGTATGTACTTCCTGTACAAAAAGATTCTCACAAACACTCATAAACCTTCTTCTCTCCATTCCAAATTCTTTCAAACATCATCTTCCCAGCAAAGATAATTTTTAACGATCATATTGAAACAAATTCCAAAAACGAATTATCTTACCCAATCTAAATTCTCAAAAATCAAAACAAACACCATGTCTCAAGCAGACGGTCCCACTCTCAAGGCCATCTTCAACACAGGATTTGCTCTCTCACAAGTAATATCCAAGAAATTATCTTCATCTGAGCCTGTATCTCAAAGTCACATGTCCATCTTTTCTTCAACCCCTGGCCTTCCCACTGATCTTGCAACTCCACGTCCCAAGAAAACAAAGTTCCCAGGCCCCGCAACCCAGCTTCTCAATGAATTATTCGAAGAACTTGATGAAATCGAAGCAGTCGAGTCAATCGAAGATTCTACCTATGTTAATGTCGACCACGCGCGAAAGAGAGCTGGTAGACTAGGACATAGACCTAGACCTAGAATCGAATCATCTTTCAAGAGTAAGTCATTAAATGGTCCACATCAATCAGCAAGTTCCTCCGATCATTTTATGAATTCCTCGGTCGAATATTCACATCTCACTGTCAGCCCCGAAGAGGATCTTCAAAAGCTCGCAGACAGATTCGGAGAGATTCAATCTAGGAACAAACAAATCATCGAAGCCGACGACGAGACTATCTGGAACTCTCTTCCAGATCTGAATACCGGATACTTTTCACGCTACGCTAAAGTTCAAGGTTCTGCTAAAGCCTATGAGCAGGGATTCCAAGATACTTTAAAGAAGGAAAAGGAGATCTATGAATCTACACCTGGTTTCATCAATAAGCAGATACCTGGTCTTAGTGCCACTGAAATGCGCAAACGAATTCCGAGATTGATTATTGCTGAAGCAGAATACGAATGCGATGAGGAGGATGAAGATGAGAAATCGGCAATCCAGATCCTCGAGGCACTTTTCAAGGAGTTAGCGGAGAGAGAAGCTAGTACTGATGAGAGTCAGTGGAAGAGTGCTAGACAGATCATTGAGGAGGTGGAAAACAAGGGCCAGGATAGCAAGGAAGGACAAGCCGTTGCGAAAGGAGATAGAGAGGACAAATCTGAAAAGTGCTATGGTTCCAACCATGATAACCATAAGTCTCGTGAAATAAATATCTTTTCAGATTTCGCCGAACAAACAGACGATGAGATTCGAAAGTATTCTGCTATAACCCAACAATACATTAAAGACGGATGTAGAACTAAGGGGCTTGATGAGATTCTCGAGAAAGATGAGGGGGAGCTGGTACAATCAAAAAAGCCAAATGAAGTCGAACCAGAAGTTACTCCTCCCCCCGAGGTCGACGAAAAGGACGAGAAAGAAATCACAGAACTGCAACAAGATCCCTGCAAAGTCTCACCCGTGACGGAATCTCCCAAAGTCAATAAAAAGGACCCAATTCCACAGGAGCAGCCCAATATAGAAGGAAGTGAGTAGTATTCATCACAACAACAAACATATAGCCGACACTGACAAATAAGACACAAAGGAAGATGAAGACACCCAGAACTCTGCACAGGATAATAATACTCCTGAAAATCAAAACTTGCATGTTGCTATTGCTGAAAGTGTCGATGAGGTTGCAAGCGTCAGTTCTAGTACCATCTCGGATTCTACTTCTTCTATTGATGGAAGCGTATCGGAGGAGGAAGATGAGATGCAATTTGGTATGGCGGCGCTGGCTACAGGGGTTATGGTTGCTGCACTATGGATGATTGAGAGGAAGACGGGAGTTTGTTAGGGATTGGCTATTTGATTTTCGGCTTGCGTTCTATTTGGTTGATATTTTTGTCTTTTTCTTTGGGTCTTCATACTTTGGATCGATTGGATTTTTGATTGGTGAAGTGCAAGTAACACGGATATTTGAGTAATATCTTTTCAATGATTTTTAGCATAAATAGTATGAAATCCTTGAGAAAAAACAATAATTTGTAAATATATCTAAGAAATCATAATGTGATCTTATCTTCAATTACCAACACCAAAACCGTGACCAATGCAAACGAGCTTATTTTCGGCTAGTGAACGATTACGCGATCTCTTTCTTCGCCGCTCACGTCTCACGTCTGAAGATTTATCAAATCGTATGGAATTTACCTATAAAATATGTGTTGATCATTCCAGTAAAGATCCATGCTTCAATACTATTCATCTGAAAATGAACCACCATGTGAGAGCACCTTGCAAATCCCTAATTTTATACACAAATGAATATAATTACAATGGCTTCATTAAGCTTGCTGGTGCCAACTCAACATTATCCCAAAAGAAGGATATATATGTGCATTTTCGTAAATTGAATGATCAATATAATGTATCAAACCTGTAGGAAACTGGTATGTCCCAATACCACGCTCTTATTTACAACGTCTCATATCCATGACTTTGGACTCTGTTGAGGCTCAAGATTACACGCTTTATTAACAGCACTCTTCAAAGAATTGGATAACTGGTACCCAGTACTGAAAAAAAAGTAACCGCAAATCCCTACTACACACAATTCCTCCTCTTCATCCGAAGATCTCCATCAGCATGACTACAACATCCCGTATATACAATCAACCGTATCGAACGCAGTCACTCTGTACGGCCCGATCTTGTCTTTCTACTCCTCGTACCTAGTGATCCAAAAAATATCAATGTATTCTTCATGCAACCGTAGAGAACCGTATCTACAATATTAGCGTTCTCTAAACACTTACTTGCTGTATGAAGAACTTCTCGGAATGGTTTAAAAACTTCCATCTTGACGGAGAGAGTCCATATTTTTTTTCATCTACATGATACTTTCATAAGATTACTTTAATAAGACTACTTCAACAACTCCTGAACAACTCCTGAACAACTTCCAAACAACAACAACATCTTCTCAATACCTACACCTCAAATAACACCGCATCTCCACACCCTCAAAAGACTTCTGAATACTTAGTGTAACTCTACACTTACTCATCTTTCTTCCACTCTAAATTTTCAAATTCTTTCCATCTTCTCATCCAAACTCAAAACCCTCACAATGTCTTCAGCAAACTCCAACACCCCCCCAGAAATCTTCACCACAACATCTAACTCCCATATCGAAGACGATTTCGCACAAACCAAAGAAGATTTCGACATCTCTTCTATTCCGGATTCTGATTCAGAAGATGGTGTTACAATTTATTATCAAACTCCCGATCCCAAGAACATGGCATCTATATCTAACGATACGCATCACCAAGCCAAGGATACCAGTGCTAACTCTGTGTTGGACAATAATGTTTCTTTTCAGAATTTGAATGGAGATGATACACAAGGCCAAGAACTCCTCGAAGCCACTACACCATTCTGTGCTTTCATCCCAAGCAGATTCTCAACTCCTACAACTGATGAGTTGATTAAGTATATCAATGATACTGGTCTCTTGGGAGATGACCATGATGAATTTGACGAGAAGTCTCCGACTACCTCTCATCAAAACTCACAAGAGCTCGCGAGAATCCGAGCAGTGATCACTCGACATCGAGTCCCTGGAGCTTCTCACACGGCTCAAAATTCTCCAGAAGCAGAGCATCTAGCTCTCACAGAAGTACAAGACACCACAACTCACCTCCCACCAGGCACGCCCCTCATCCGGGATTTCGCAATTCCCTTGTTGCCCTCTATCCCCATTCCCATCCTTCGCCGCCTCTCAACCCCGCAATCCCACCGCTGTAGAAATATCCTCGAATGCCAAGCTCTACAATCACATACATATCCCTCAGCCAGCATCCGCACTATGTATCATTATCACGAATTTCATTTTCGCCATACAATTAATAATATCCACACACCCTCTGATGACAAAGAGGAAGAAGAATTACAGCGGGAATTATCAGCGGGCGAAGAAGCGGATGATGAGGAATATATGTATATTTCAGGACCTGCACCTGCACCCCCACGAACTCCTATTTTAGGGAATCGAGATCAGAATATAGAGGATTTGGCGAAGATTGAGGAGATTGGGGAGATTGAGAATGAGGGACTTTTCCAGATTGTTCCTAGACATCTCGGGGAAGTACAATGGCCAAAGGAGAAGGATCTCACAGACTCGAGAATCGGCAAATCGCCTATCCCCACCATCATCCCTCCCCTCACCATCCCCATTCAATCCCTACAACAACTACAACCCCCTCGCATCAACCCCTGGCCGCTCATCGCCCTCGCTCACCGCATCCCCCTCTTCCCAACACACATCCTGACCACCTCCTCTCTTACCCAACTCTCTCTCTATGAAAAACATCTCCAGCACCAAAACGGATACACCGACTCCCCACTCGATCAATGGGCCTTAACGCAACATCGACTGTTTCTCTGGATAAATTCCGGCGCGTTAGAAAATGGTATTGATGGAGAGATGAGGAGGCCGGGGAGTGCGGATATATTGCTTGGGGTGAGGAGAGTAGTGAGGTGTGGGATTATGAGGATGTGGAGGTGTTTGCGAGGTGTGAGAAGGAATGTTTTGGGAGGTGTTTGGAGTGGGTGCAAGATGTGGAGGGGGATGGGGTGGGAGTAGGGAAGGAGAGGGATGGGAAGGATTAGGATTGCAGGATGAGGTGTATGACTTTTGTGGGGAGGAGGAGATTCTTCATCGGTCGGTGAGTGTAGTTGATAAAGAGGAGAGGAAGTATGAGGATTCATCTTCATCTTCATATATCTCAGAAGAATACGACGCTTCCGACGAGCGAGGCGAAGTCAAATCCTTATTTCTCCCCTTACCCCTCCAAAACCAGAATGAAAACAAAGATTACGATCCCCGCCTAGGCAGAGTCGTAAACATATTCCGCACGCGAGCTCTCGAACGTCAAGGAATCACATATCAAAATTCCCCACTTCGCCAACCGATTAACCATGCCGTGTTTCGAGAAACTGGGATCCAAGCTGTGGGTTGTGCGCGTGCGAATGCGATGGCGAGGTTTGAGAGGATTGCGGAGAATTTTGTGAGGAGTGAGGAAGCTGAGGAGTCTGCTGGAGATGTTGGACAATTGGTTTTGAGGCCGGAGAGAGATTCGGGATTTGATGGGGCGGAGGTGCATATGAGAGGTGGTGCGGGGGCTGGGGATTTTTGGGAAAGGGGGGTAATGTTGTGATGGGTTTATGAATCTATTATTTTGAGTGTGAGGATATAAAAATGTTCTTCCGATTTGATTTCGTTTCTTGAATCTTGTGAATTGAATCTGAGACAAGGTTTTGTAGTAAAATTCAAGTAAAAATTGATTGTTTAACTTATGAATCTTCGTTTTTGATAGTGATTTTGAAATAGTCACATTAAGAAATTGATTAAAATCGATATACAAATAAGTGAATAAGCAACTTGCTATTTCATTCTTTCACTCTCACTTATAACAAATATTCCATCGTTATTGGAAGATAATTAGATGGCCATAATCAACGACTTCAAATCTTTCATTGAAAGTTCGGAAATGAGATACAGGAGGTATCTCAAACATAAGAAGCAGAGAATAACGTAAAAAAGAGATGCATTGAACGGAGTACTCAACTTTCAAGATGTGATATATCATTCCACTTTAAATCCAAGATTCAAGAAAAAGAAATCCAATCTCCAACTTCCCAAACTTCCAGATACACAACTCATGCTTCTCGCAGGGCTTTTCATCTACGTAACTTGCTTCTTCACAGTCCCCTTTCCCTTTGGCTTATCTGTACTGGAAGTACTACTCGTTCTCTCCGGACGTTTCTTTCCTACACTAGAAGCACCTGTTTTCACCTTCCTGAGCTCTTCTTCTTCCTTGTTCTGTTTCGCCCGCGCATGAGCTACATTCTTTTCAATTCTCTCTCTCAGCTTCTGTCTCTCTTGTTTTATTATATCAGCTTTTATGTTCGCTTCTGCGACTTCAAACACTTTACGCAGTCCTGCAAATTCAGATTTCTTGGCGTCGTTTTCAGCCTTAGTGGCTGCTATTACTGCTGGAGCATTGGTTTTGTTTTTCATTGAGGCAATGGGGTCGAGTCGCGTACTGTGGTGGCACGGTTAATGTTGATTTCGTAATGGAGATGGGAAAGGGGAGAGGGCTAGTATTTAGATATTGGTGTGTATGAATAGGGTGAGTTTACCGTTTCCTTTGGGATGGATCCTTACCAGTTCCTTGACTGGGTTGAGGCATGATAATGTATTCGGAATAGAAGATTGGATTGTCGAAGCTTTGTTATGATTACGTGAGGAAATGAATGCGTGGTGTACTGAGATATGATGACTTCCTCTTATACAGAAGTAAGGAGTCTTAAATACATTTCAGCGGCCTCACCAACTTTTGTATTGGGTAAAGAATTTTCTTTAACATGTTATTATGCATTCTCTTGGGGGCGAAAAAGAGAAAAAAAAGTAGCAATGGCCAGGTAGATTCTGTAGCTGCAGTTGGACAGGTCGACCTTGCGAGATGATTCGGACAGTAGACCTAATATCGACCAACGAGAATAATATAATAGTTTGAATTGGAAGCGCAAATCAATAGTCCTTATCAGAAGTAATAAGAGATAAAAAGCAAATTTTGCCTTCAGATACTTCTCTCATCCTTATATTCAAGAGGTTAAACTCCATCTTAATACCTCAACCTCCGCCTTTGAATAGTTTGTTAAATGAGATAAGTTTATACTCCGACGAAAGCTATTAATAACGCAAAACTAATATAGATTATTTATCAGAATTTCGTACTTACTAAAAATTTACAATTAAAGAATTATACCCACATGAATAATAATAATGATACTATATAATAAATAGACCTCAAAGATTTATATAAAAATAATAATCTTTATATTTATTCTTATAGATATTATTTATTCAAGTATGAAAGATAAAGATATTAAAAGATTGTTATGATCAAGTCTTAGAAGGCCAGTCGAGGCATATGAGTAGGTCCTGTGGACCTACCTCGGGCTGACATTAGCCCGCGTACAATTATAAGTTGTAGAATTTTCATAGTTTGAAGGAATTAATGAAAAGTCTTAATGTTATATAACACCTAGTTGATTCATTGCCATTATCTACTCTAACAAAGATCAAATAGACTCTTTTCACAATTCTATTACTCTTTAAAACAACTTTCTCTAATATTAAAACTTCAATTGTGATATTTAATTTTCATCTTTATCTTTAGAGGAATGTGGAGGAGAATGGATGTGTTTAAGAAATGATAAGTATAGGAGTATGAGAGGGAAGATGGGAAGGATGGTAATGGAGGGAGGAGGAGAGGAGAAGAAACGAGTAGTGTGATGGATGTAGCATGGTATATAAATTTTAGGATGGGAATGGAGAAACGGAATATCTTATAGATTTAATGTTGATCCTTGAACAAGTTTCTATCAAAGTTAGTTTCAGGAGAAGATACAAATATAAAGTCCATCGTCTATTCTATGATTCTGCGTTTTTGATAGGTTATTGTGAAATAGTTACCTATATCTAGAAACTGATTCACATCGCCACCTGACTCAGAGAATCAGCTACTTGCTATTTCATTCTTTCACTCTCTTATTATGTATATTTCATACTCAGGCTACCGAGGCTATCGAGTAGTCATTACAATATAATCAAGAAACCATAACTGACAATCTCAAATATTGTTCGAAAATTTGATACCGACACATGGAAATGAACTTAAACACAACAAAGGAAAGCAAGGGAGAAAAAGATGTATTGAACGCCGTTTTTTTGTAATGTGATGTGAAGCACATATTTAAGTTTCTATTCCCGATCCCAAAAACAAAACTCCAATCCTCAGTCTATGATTTCTGATTCTACAACCCATGCTTCCACGTGAAGCTTCTTACTCGCCTACATAACTCTACTTCTTCGCAGCCTTCGCAGCATCCATTGCATTATATACAACATCAGAAAACCCTGGTCCTTTTTTGCTACTTCCTTTTCTTCCTGCTTTTCCTTTATTGGCTTTTTTGCTTTCGGTCGCGTTCGCCACAGGGCGGGTTGTTCTCGGAGCATTTCCATCCGTGGTGGGGTTACTTTTTGCTGTGGTTGGCTGTGCCGGTTTGGATACTTTGGGTACATTTGTGGTAGCTTTTGCTGGAGTACTATGGCCAAAGAGTTAGTTTTAACACAAAAACGGAAATTGCGGAGGAGAAAAGGAGTAAATAAGATGTTAGAAAGAGGGGGTAGATAGGGTGTGCATACCCTCTGTTTTGAGATGCGCTGGAAGTGGGTTGAGGCATGATGATGTATTTGGAATGGTAGATTGAATTGTAGAAGTTTTATTTTGATCAAATGATGAAGTGATGAAGTGAGGAAATGGTGTGATGAGAGAGATGTAATGTTTTCTTTCCCTTGTGTGGAAATAAGGGATCTTAAATACTTCTCAGTGGCTTTACCAACTCTTGCATCGGATGGAGAACTGTCTCCAACATATGCGTAGGCATATGTATCAGCGGTCGTATAAATGAGGTAGCTGTAGCTGAAGAGGTCGAACTTGGGACATCATGTAGGCCGCGGGCCTTATTTCAGCGAATAGAAAGTATAACAGCCTAAATCATAATCACCAGAACAATAGACCTCGTGGAAAGAAATCAGGAATGAAATAAAAACTTTGCTTGTCTACGCAGACATCCTTCCGATCCTCACATTCAAGCGGTTAAGCTCCGCCGAAGGATTTGACCTCTAACTTTGATTCTTTTGCCTAGTAGGATTTTCAACTGAAGCTCTTGATAAAGGTAAAACCAATAGCGGTTATTTATCTGATTTTCGTGGTGGTAGGAATGCTTTTTCGGGTGAAGAAATATACCTTGGGTGATGACATGGAGGAAGATTTTTGATCTTGAATAACTTTGAAATTGACCGTTTGATATATGAGATGGCGATCATGACTATACAGTGACGCAGAGAAGATAGATTATTGAGGTTTATGCCTTAATAATGATATCAAAATAAGGAATTCAATGTCGTTCACTTGAAGGTTGATGATGAAGATTGATGATGAAGATTAAAGACCCAGATTGAAGTTTTAACATCAGAGAAAAGTATCATATATAGAGTGATAGAACTGTTGTTAAAGGGAAGGTCAATGGATACATCTCTTTGGCCCAACCATCACATCACTTTGAATTGAAACACATCTAGAAATAAACTCACTTGAGCTTTGTGAATGAAGTAAATCCGGCAAGAAATAGAAAAAGAGTCTTTCTTTACATATTCACAAACAACAACATGCACACATACAGAGCTACAGAGCTACAGATATTGATTCACAATTACTCATCTCTGGTTGGTTGGGCACAGACTCCCTCTTTTGGTATTGATGGTGGGGGTGAATCTTTATCTGTTTGCTATTCATATTCGAACTTCAACCTCATCATCTTTCATCTTCTACAAACAAAATCTCTCGCCATCTTTTTCTTCCAAATAGTTCATACTTTCTTTCCCTTTAGATTCTTCTTCAATTTACATTTGATACAACTCCTCTTCGAATCTGTACGCTCTCTTACAGCCATTCCATTACACAACCGTTTTGCATATTCGGAGAATATCAATACACGCACAATCATTCCAATCAATCGCGGGGTACCCAAACAAGAAACATGTCGTCCATCACCCACGAAGCAAGTAACCAGGCTGGTAGGTCGCACTACTTCTTTTGGATTCCTCTTTCCAAATCAAAATACCATGTGTCTGCATGACATTTGTGATACATTCTAACGCAAAGCTAATAGAGCCTTCGATTCTTGAAGCTGCCGCTGCACAACAATCGTGGTCTGTGGAGAAAGTAGTCCAGGATGAATTCCCCGTCGTACCAAAAGAGAATTCGGAATCGCCAGTACCATTCTTTCACATGCTGGAGAGATTGAAGACGACCAAGCGTGAAGGATGGCGTAGATTTGGTATCGAGAGGCGAGTTGCCCAAACAAACTATTAGATTGGATCAAGCTAACAGTCTCTTCACAGAGGAGAATCGATTTCCGATCACATGTATCGCATGTCACTCATTACCATGTTCGCACCCAAATCTCTCTCTTCCAAGATCGATATTGCACACTGTACCAAGATGGCCCTCATCCACGATATGGCCGAAGCACTGGTGGGAGATATCACGCCCGTTGACAACGTACCGAAAACCGAGAAGAATCGTCGCGAAGCTACCACGATGGATTACTTCACCAAGAATCTTCTAGGTCGTGTTAATGGTGGATTGACTGGAGAGGAAATCAAGAAAATCTGGCAAGAATATGAGGATTCGGAAACTTTGGAAAGCAAATTCGTTCATGATGTCGATAAGGTGGAATTAATTCTTCAAATGGTGGAATATGAACGTGCGGACAAGAATGGATTGGATTTGGCGGAATTTTCCTGGGTTGCTACGAAGATTGTTCTTCCCGAAGTGAAAGCTTGGGCTGATGAAATTTTGGCGGAGAGAGAGGAATTCTGGGCGGGTAGAGAACATAGGGTGTTCAGTGACCTTCAGAAGCCGGATGAGAAGAGAGTGGCTCAACATGATCAATATTATGGAGGAAAGGAGAATAAGATTGCGGAAGTTTAGACGTAATGGAATGGATGAATATTGAAAGGGTGAATGGCGTTGGAGAGAGGTAGATGATACCTTTTTTGTTGTAATAGATAGTTAGATACCAGATACAGATGCCAGACACAGATGCCAGACACAGATATCAGCATCGTTAATAGTTTACTCGAGTAGCAGTTTGGGAATTCCAAACATTTAATAGACATTCTGCACTATTCTTTGAGCTTGTATGTTATACGTGACTTGGAATTAGATGTTTGAATTGGAATAGATATAGATTGAACAATTTGATGGATATTCTACGAGTATTCTATTGAAACACTCCCATTGAAAAGTGTTATAGAGCTCATCAATTTGGGATGTATCTTGTAATTATACATCTGCATTTACCTATCTAAGCCAAGTTACTCAACACGTACGTACATGCATATATTATGCCCCTCTTGATCCTTCCCGTTTCATATTATACCCATCTGCCTATAGCAACAAGACATGTAAAAGCATAAAAAGGCATCTCATCGTATCAGAGAGCTCTCACGAACCAATGGGGATTCAACGGTGAAATGGATCCATGGAGGGTAAACGCGTGATTTGTCAATATTGAAAGATTTCACCCGTGAAAGGATGATTGATTCACCACGGCA